GGTACTATAACTTACGCGACAGGGTGCTCAGTCGCGATTGGTGCGTCGCGCGCCCCCTTCACATGCGCGGCCACGGCGACGCACGCTGGCCGCGCCTCGAGGCGTGCATCTCGACTGCACGTCTGGCACTCTTTTTTCGCTCTCGAACGCTGTCCGCGCGATCGCCTGCGCCAAGGGACGCGAGGGCTTCTCGGGCGGGATCTATGCAGGAGATCGTCGGTGGTCATAAGTGTCCATGACGCCCCGTGCAATGTTTTTTCTCCTTCCGCGCATGCACAATTGCACCCCCATTGCTTCCTCTGGCGTGGGCCTGCACGAGGGTGAGGCAGTCAGTTCGCCTCCGACGCGGCCGCAGCGGTGAGTCTCTCCTCTTCCACCGGGACACCTTCTCCCGCCCGATTCTGCCATTCTCCCGTTCCGTCCGGATTTCGATGGAGGCAGTCGATCGCGTACAGCGAGACGCGCTGCGCCGGAGGCTCACTAGCGTAAGTAGCTCACGTCCGCTCACGTTCGCAGCGCAGGCATCGCTGGTGCCCATCGCGGGTCGCAACGTGCGTGGCTGCCGTCATGCGAACACAGCTGCCTGCTGGGGCTGACGCTGCCGTCTGAGTGCGCTGCCCGAGAGGCGTGTGCTGCACTCCGACTCCGACCCCATCACCGGCGGAACAGAACCTCCATGGGCTTCCAGCTTCCCGCACGGTGCTTCTCGGGCTTCGCAGCTCCCAGCGCCCGCGCGTGCTTATCTATTTGACACCCTCCCGCGCGCGCTCGCGCTAGCAATTGGCCACAGATCTATCTTTCAGGGTGGGCGATGCGGATACGAGGCTCTCGGAGCGCGAGGCACTGGGTGTGGCAGAGGTGAGCTTGCGCGAGTGCTGATATGCTTGCATGCAGGCTGTGGGAGGCGCAGTAGGTGCTAATGAACTGTACCTGACTATTCCTGAACTCTGCAGACTAAAACGCGGGTCGAAGCTGAACGCAATCAGCGGTGGCGGATACAAGGCCCGCCGCGGACCGCTGCGCCCATGTCTCCGGTGACATAGTTTGAGGGGAACTTCGTCTGTCTAGTGCTTGGTGAGTGCTCCCGCTATGCCGCGCGGCTCCCGCTAACACTCCGGAGTGATCAGAATACATAGCCGATGTCGAATAGCACTCTGTGGCGGACGTGTGCGTCGACCTCGTCTAGGCGGGAAGGGCTGGAAGATTGGACACGGGCAACCGTGTTTCCCTGTTCGGCCGTGCAGATCGCCGTGCACATGTCTGACAGACGCGTCCGGGCGTGTGCGTGCGCGAAGGTTCGTCGTTCAGGCTCGCGCTAGAAGTCGCGCGGACGGGTCAGAATGGCCCGCCGATGCGCTTCTCGCGAGGGCGGCCTCCGAGGGGCTCGCGAGTAGTGGGCGGTCTGGGTGCGCCTGAGCTCTCACCACCGCGCACGCCCTGCTTACAGCCGACGAGTAGGATGACCCCATTCTTGTTTGGACGGTGCTGATCAGTGCTTACTGACCGCGCCGCCCTTGGTGCCGCCTCTTCTCTGTTGCCGATGTCTCTTCGTTGGCCTCAAAGTCGTGCCGCGCCCTCCTACTAGCGGGTTCATGAGTTGCTTGCTGATTTTGCCCGTACTCATCTTATGCTACTACTTCGCAGGGTATACTCGGACGCGTCGGAGGAGCGAGCACTCCCGCCGACATTCAGTTCCCACCCCGCTCCGGCCCCGCGCCTTCGTATCGGGGCCCATACAATGCGTTGCGAGGACCCTGATCCCCCCTCCAAATCGGACACAGCACATCATCTCGGGGTGCAGCGGAACGGAGCGGACGTACGAGTGTCGATCCGGACGCGCGCGCCCGAGCCGTCGATGCTCGACGCTGCTTCTCCGCGCCCCCCGGGGGCGTGATCCGCAGCCGCGTCCGTCTGTACCGTCGATCTGCCCTCGGAGCACTCGCCCGGGCCCGGGATGGGGCTGCTTCTACGCGCGCGTCCGCCCCTGGGGCCCGCCCGGCGGGGGACTTCTCGCTCGCTGCTCGGGGGTTCTCTGTGCTTCGGCGGTCTGGGTCCTGCGGATGTGCTCAGGGTCTCGCGCGCCGGGTACCTCGATGGTGCAGACACGGCGTCGTGGGCCTGGAGCGGTGACGTGCGAGTCGGCCTATGGGGTTCTGTGTGGAAGGCTGGTAGTCGGTACGGTGCGCCGCTGGAGTGAATTGGGGGACGCGTGCGAGGTGTTCCTGCGATGACGCGCCTTGTGTGTGTGCAGCTCGGAGGGAGGGTCTGTTTCTCCCGGTGCGATGGAACGGATATAGCGGAGGTTCTCATAGATGCTTGAGAGCCTGGACGTCAGATAACATGTACGCAATCCGTGTGCGCGAATGCATCTATTTTCTTTCTATCTCGTGGCATACCCAGTTGTATACGTTGTTGGCGGGTGTTTTCTGACTCTGTCTAGCACACGGACACTCTGACGTGACTTGGACTGCCGGCTCAAACATATGTTGCTTCCCCGAGTCTACGAACCGCACATGAGAATGAATAGGTATAATATGCCGTCGTAGTCTCTCATCGAGTGCTGCGATACCGGATATCCAATAACAACTATAGATTACATCGTATCAGCAAAGGGAAGTTCCTCCAGAACAAGAGCAATCAAGCACAGTACACTGGAGTAACGCGGTCGTCACAGCGGATAACATGTACGTTCCGCATGCTCAATCGCTCTGCTCGAGAACGACGTGAATCGTCGAGCGATGCGCCGCATGCATGCCGCACCCATTACCTGGCAGGACCTGAGCCCGACGAACACGACATAGATATGCTGAATATTGGAGGATGCTCTCGGCGACCGGCGTCGCTGCGATCTCGCCTGCCTCGCGCCTGAAACCGATTGCACCTGCTCAGCTAGACTATTGGCCTACAGATGTTACATCGCCCACGCGCATCGGTCCAGCGATATGAGTGAATGCACAGGCGATGCACGGTACATCACGTACTGCGGGAAACCTAGACGGTTCGAACGGTCAGCCATCACGCTGAGCTCGTATAGTACGAGTATCACCGTTGCTCACAGTACTATTACCGGACGTCTCGACATGATGAGGAAGATGCGATCAGCGCGAGACTCCTATGCACGGGTCAACAGGTGAAGTTGCCAGACCAGCGCAGGGCGGCGATTCGGATATTCCACCTATGGGCTGGGGCTGAGCTGCAATGCTTGTAGTTCAACATGAGCAACCTAGTAGTGCAACGAGTACCGACGTACAGCGTAGCTCTCATGAATGTTTGGGGGGTCGAAGAACGAGGAGCCTCGAGATACTGCAAATTTATAACAGCACGCAGAATCCAGCGCTCTCGAGGAGCATAAGAGTCCCAAAAATTGGTGGTCGCGAACAGCCGGGGACGGGCACCACAATGGCACGCCAACGGCCTACGAGAGGTCGCTTATGATGCATGTCATGCGGCACCACGCCCAGCGACTCTGAACGCCGGACCTGTACCTGGTTCAAGAATGCCCCTCGTACCCAGCGACGGTGCGACAACAGACGATACTGTGCTGGCCAACACAGGCCACCCGTTACAGCCTGCCAAACTGACAGACATGTAACTTCGGACGGTAATACCCCGCAATGATGAATTGCTAAAGGCGAAATAGGCCAGAGCACCGTACGGCGCAAAGGCTCAGTCATGGACCCCCCATAGCGAATCCATGCCTCTTGAAAAGCCCCCGGAGGAGCTTCCCGAGGACCACACCGAGCTCAGACAGCGCACGGCGCGAAGCCGACGCGCTACTCGAAGACAGCGATGTGACCCGGGGTTCTTGGTGTCTGGAGCCGCGTCGCAGGAGGGGGCCATCCCTCCCGTTCCCGTGCAGCAAGAGCGACAGGACCTGTGCCGATAGGGCATATGAACCAAGTACAGACCGCACGCGAAAAATCGCTCCCCCGATCGCTTGCGATCGGCGACAGTCCTAGGTGGCGCCAGAGGCACAGAGATTCAAGTTGACTCTCACCGGTGCTCGATATCCTATCCAGCGGCATGTGCGTATGCAACGTTCAGCCCGCAAGAGCGATATAGGCATGGGTCACAAAACAGGCGTGTGAAGCTAGGCTGACCGTGCTAGTGAGTGAGCGAACATGTTGATGGTGGATGGAAACAACGAGCTGAGCATAAAGTTGGAACGGGTGAACGAGCGCCCGAGAGCATCGTGGCGTTGTCTTCGATAGGCGCCTGTACTCTCTTTCTCTCGCCCGGCCAACATTACGAGCGGGTGCATGTCGACTTGTGAGCTGAGCCGCGGCACACTCATCCCATAAACCATTTAACTATTAGACTGCCCTGCAGAGCATTCGTACCACGAAGTCATGAAGCAAATAGGTCACGGACGTACGCCCGGCAGTAGCCGGCCGTTCCCGCTCCTTGTACTCTGCAACTGCCCGCATCCCTCCGGCCGAGGCATGGCTGCCATTTCCTTTCTCTCTTCGTCCCTTGTTCCTACCCTCGTCCTTCGATGATCAAGGAGATCTTCACCTCTCACATCACCGTTGCATCTAACACACTCGGTCTCTACCCGGACGACTACACAACGCCACTGGATTCCCCGCCGTGTCTCATGCTATCGGCGACCTTTATCTTAGTCTCTCTCTGCTGGTCTCGCATATCGACTCTGTTTTATATCCTTGGCCCTTGGACTATGCACATTCTCGGACCCCAGTGACGAGAATGCGCCACTCTACTCACCGTAGGTGAGGGTGTGGCGTGGGAACGTTTTGAGGGTTCCCAATTAGGAAATGTATGTTGTTCGGACGCCCTTGTTTTCCTGCTGGCTGGCTTCGCTCGGGAAACTACAATGTTTGCTAGAATTGGACTACAACGTCTCTCGGGCAACGCTCTGATCTGGCACGTCAACATATGCTCATGCGGACGCGGGGTATCCTCCACCTCTCTCTTCCTCGCACTCGTCGCACTCGACTCTCCTCGCGCTACTCTCACTGTCATCCCGGACGACGCTGGGGATGTCTAGGATCAACATTATCACGAACTCGCTCAGTCGATTTCTGGGGAAGAAGCCACGGAAAGACTGTCTCGACTGTCTTACAAATGATATCCTACTCGACTCTGTCATGAGCTACCTGGACGTCTTGGATATTCTCCGTCTACGACAGGTTCGTCTTCTCTATCATAGCACGGTACAAAGCGATGGGCCATATCAAAAGAAACATGCCCACGCGTTTTGGAGATCCATACGCGATCACTGTCTTTCATAGCAGTTGAATCGCTCGCCATCCAGGCTGCCCCCATTCTAGCGGGCGTTTGGAGGCCTGACCGAGGTCGAGTGGGGCTCGGCTCTCCATCAGTCCTGAGCGTGGATCTTTCGTGATGGCCTATCTTTTTGTGCCGCGCTGCAAGGGACCAACGTTCGTCTCACATGTATTACAGGTTAGCAAGCTCTACTATGAGCTCACACATCACGCCGCGCTCTGGAAGCGCATCCTCCGCACCACCGACATCCCCCTCCCGCCCGTCCCGCCGACGGCTCGCCACACTGCCGATCGGATGACAGGCTTGGAGGCTGAGAGGCTGGTGGTTCGGTCTCTGTCCCTGCACATGAACTGGGAGAGCAAGATTCCTCGCTCCAGAGATCACTGGAGGTTCGATGCGTACCACCGCGTCCTGGAGATGACGCTCCTGCCGGGCGGCCGATATCTCGTCGCTTCCGTTGCTGACTTCAAAGCGACGAAGTACTCGCTCGTCATCTACGCTCTGGACACGTTTGGGCGCTCACGACCTATCGCGAAAACGGACACCGCCACGAAGGCGTACGACATCCGCGCCAAGTACGTCACGATCAAGGGTCACAAAAGCATCGCTTTGGCGTACCTTCGCAGAGACTACCACCACAAGACGGACAAACGAAAAGCGTGAGTCTCGCGTCGCTTATCTCGTTGAGACTGTGTTAACCATTTGAACAGCGCGGCGGGCCACCTCCCCAACGCCTCCGAGTACAGCACGTACCACGACATCGACCCGGATATCGAGTTTCGATACGAGTGCATCGCCATCCACGCCCGCCTGTCCTCGCTCGAAGCCCTCGCAGATATACCTATCGATCTCGGCCCTGAAGCATTCTTCGAGGAGGCCAGGAAGCTACCACCACCCTTCGAGAACCTCGTCCGCATTGTCGCCGGGCCTACACATCGATTGATGTGCCCGGACATTGAAGAGACGTTCGACTCTCCCTACCTCTCTGTGGCCAAGTATCCGAACGACATCGTCTTCAAAAGGCTCGAGGGAGGACCGGCGGGTACCTTGACCTGCATGCCGGTGGCCCATCTCGCTGTCCACGTAAGTGTCTTTACCGTCGTCCACCATAGTTAAGCATGTACTGACCTCTCTCAAAGACTCACACCATCAAGGCCGCCCGCCTGATCCCCCAGGAGAGCGCCGTCTTCGTAGTGCGCCAGATCGACGTCCCCAACCACCCCATCTACGCGTTCGAGAAATACACCATCATCCCCGCCGGCCAGAACAAGATCGCGCAGACGCGCATGTCCGACCAGTGCATCCTCGGTGAGGAGATGGGCCAGCTCACGCACGTCTACATCGCCGACCCGAACGTCTCCCCGCGCAACGACGACTCCATCCTCGGCCAGCTGCGCGCGCAACACGTGGACCCCCCGCCCCCGCCCCCGCTTGCTGTGTACTGCCGCCGCGTGCACGAGGAGGGCTTCGTGCTCGCGCGCTTCTTCCCGCAGCGCATCGTCGTCGAGTACCCGCCCACGCCCCCCGGAGGCCGTCCACAGCGATCACAGCCGCGGCGCCCGCGCGTGCTGTACCACTATCCGCTAGGGAAGAACGACCTGTTCGAAAAGGACGCGCAGGCGGACGCGCGCGTGCGCATCCTGCCGGGCGTCGTGCGCCCGCTGCTGGTGTACACCCCATGGGACGACATCACGGCCGCGCCGCCCATCAGCGAGATCCGCCCATGGATCGACCGCGGGATGCACCAGCCGCACATCATGGACGCGGAGGGGTTCGTGCGCCCAGAGACGGGGAAGAGGCGGCAGGCGACGTTTGGGGATGCGCCGTGGGACGGGACAAAGGCGATCGCGTTTGCCTGGGACGAGACGATTGGGAGGTTGGTTATTGCGGAGGAGGACAGCGATGATTTGCTTGTGTATGAGTTTGCGCATGCGCCGAGGCAGGGTGAGTCATTTGTTTTCCTGTTGGCGAGAGCGCTTCTGATCATGGTGTGGTGCTAGACGAAGACTCGGGGGAGAGATTGCCGCTCCCTCTACGTGAGATCCCTAACCCGGATATCTTCCATCGCTCGGGTAATGGGGTCCTTGACCTTGAGATGGCTTCATGATCGGGATACAGATAGGATTCGATTGCGCTCTGAATTGGATACTTGTACAAATATGACTCTACATGTATATAACGACACGGACTGCGAATCTTGAAAGCGACATATGATGGGTACGAGGGTTCTTGGTCTAGACGTTGCGTGCATTCTATACTTCTCCTGCGCTCTTCGCCTTCCTACACGTGGCGTATCGTTCTGCCGCTGCATATCTTGTCCACAACGATCCTACGCGCCACGCGCCCACGGCCACGGTGCATCCAAGGAACCTTCCTGTCTGGCGATGTTCTCGAATTCTATGGCACGAGTGTTGGACGAGACAAGCTGATGGTGAGCACCTCCGATGGGAGCGTTACATTCAGGGCATTTAGAAGCCTCCATAGCGCCTCCGCACTGCAAGGGGTGGTGCATATAGTCGTCAATACGAGACGCGATCTCTGTGATCCATTTGTGGCATGACATACCTCGGTGATGACGAACGTGTGCCCATTCTCGCAGTTGTAGAAGTGCCCGCGATGCGCTGCGAGATATGAGCAGGTTGTCCGGACCGGATAAGAGACGGCGGAAACGTACAGAATCCGAATGCCTTCACGATATCCGCACGCTCCTGCAGCGACAACGGCTGGTAGAATCCCCCTTTGACGAGGAACTCCTCGAGCGCATCGCACTCGCCCTGCCAAGCCTCGACCTTCCGATGACAGTGCTCCTCGAGCCACTTCCGCTCGGCCTTCAGGTCTTCCATGGTCTTAGACGGACGCTTGCGCATGTAGTCCTTCTGGACCGTATCGAGGGACCTCGACATGCTGGACTTGTGCGCTTTCACCTCGCGCGAGAGTTCGTTCCGCGCGTTCTCGTCGAGAGCGCCCTCTCGGAAGAGATCGGTCCGCTTGCACTGCATCCTCCACCGGAAGACTTCGAACTCGTAACGAATGACGAGTAGAGACGCACGCGCGGCCTGCCGTGTGGCCGACGAATTGTCAGCAAGATCCCGAGCCTTCTTCGCGTCCGTGATGCAAGACGAGTACAGGAAATCCACGAACGTCGTCCACAGGGCTTGATGGTCGATGGTGGAGGCCTCGGTCGACGTCTTGGACAGAGCCTCAACGCGTGCTCGTGCGACTTGGGCAATAAGCGAGCGAATCTCGAGAGAGAGGAAATATGCCTCGATCTGGAAGCGGACGTCCGCCTTGGGAGGGGGCTGCCCGATCTTGTGATCAACAATCTTGAGGGCCAATGGCTCGGGCGCGTCGGTAGCTCGGGCGGGGTCGCTGGTAATCTGCTGCATTTCCAAACGATAGAGTGTTGTTAGCGCGGACTCGTATGCCTTGACGTGAGCGCCACGGGTAGTAGCGATGGTGATGACACGCCGGTAGGTACCGATGATGTTCTGGACGATCTGGTTCCAGGCGCGAGCTTCCTCGAGTGGCAGTCCGTGTACCGTCTGCATAGCGTTGAGGTTCAAAGCCGTGGCGGGAAGAGGCCCGTGGTCTTGTACCCAAGGCGGTGGTGCGTCCTCGGCGTCGGAGTCCTCGTTCTTGGTGCCAATGGGCAACTTCCTGGCTCGATCTTCGAGGGCGGGGAGCGACGATGAGAACTTGGAAACTGCAGGGCTGCACGCATCTAGATCGCCAGACATTGTGCTCGCTACATTCTGCTCGAGAATGTCGAGCGTCGCACGCTTCGTGACGCGGCCGTAACGCAGAGAGTTGATCGGCCCTCGGCATGTCGGGCACGTCGGCGGAGATTGATAGTTGACTGGGGGTGACTTCGTCGAGAGGAAGCGCCCCATCGGATCCACCTCGTAATACTCGCTCATGCTGCAGTGCCCGTCGAGGGTCTCCACGGTGAAGATATGTCCGCATGCCAGAGCGATGAGCCTGTCGCTCACGTCGGAAGACTCCAGGTCGATCTCCTCGAGCCGTCGTTGCATGATGAAGTCCACGATGTCCGCCTTCTTGTTCTGCGGGAGTCACACAATGCACCTCTGATCACTGCAGGGTTCCCCACAGACTGGTATCGAGGATTAGCGAGTGGTTAGTGATTTAAAGATGAGGCATACCGGATGGGCACGTATGACCACAACGTAGCTTCTTGGTACAAGGCTCGTCACACGGTAGGCGCGAGCAGATCTGAAACAGACAGAAAGCGTCAGTTGAGCGGTAATTGACATTTGGTGTTACAACTTACCGAACCGCAGAGAACAGGGCATGAAAAGTGCGCACAAGACCAAATGCAGGGCTCCATGCACGGCGCGCAAGGCTCGGAACACGGCTTCGGACAGCTGTGGTGTACGCATTGCTGACGGCAAGGCGACTTACACTTCGTGTTGCATTCGTGGTCCTGCGAGCACGGGATGCCGCAGTTGTGCTGACAGTACATCGGCCGCTCGCAGGGATGGGGGACATGGTGCGTCCGCACGATCTTGCCTCCTTGGCCCCGTTGGGCTTCGAGGTTGAGCGCTTGGCAGTCTCCGCACGAGGCTTTGCAGGACTTGCTGCAACACTCCAGAGAACCTGTGCAAGGTTCCCTGCAGGACACAGTGGCGGGATCGCGATGACAAGGCATAGCCGCTGAATGCTCGCAGCTGGAGAGTGGTTTCCGAACCTGCTTGGTGCATTTGACTGAAGCGAGCTGCTCGAGCTGGTAGCTGTCATGAAGAGATATTATAAGACTCGGCTGTCCGGTTGACGTCGCATGACGGTGCAACTTACCAATACACTTTGGCAGCTGTATGTCCACAAGGAAGGACGACCTTGTACATCGGGAACTCGCATCTTCCGCAATCGTCAGAGCATCTCTTAGCGCATGGGTGGTTTCTAGGACATGGAGTGCGGTTGCAAGGCGCAAGGCACCGAATGCTGCGATGGTTGTCCGGCGCTGAGTGACACTGCGAATGACCGATAAGCCATTTGTATGTCGCACAAATGGACAAAACTCGTACCGCAGAGGGACAAATGTGCCCGCAGCTCATGCGGAAACCGCAGGGAAGGAGGCAACCACCAGCGGGAGCGACGATGGAGAGTTCGCCCGGTTTAGTGATGAAGGAGGTCTGGTCGGGATGGCGGGGGCAAATGATCGGGAAACCAGTTCCAATTTGGCCCCGATCTTCCATCTCGTCGAGGATGGTCGACCAGGTGCCATTCTTGCGAAGATTTGCGGCATTCCCCAGGATGAAGAGACCATGCTTCGCCCTAGAAAGAGCGACATTGATGCGGTTCGAGCTCTGGAGAAACGAGTGAGTATTGACCGTAAACATAGTGTGTCGTGCTGCTCGCCTTCAGGAAACCAATCGACGCGGAACCTGTATCACACTGCCCCGAATTCCGCACGAGCGAGACGATGACGATCTTCGCCTCTTGTCCTTGGAAAATATCAACGGTACCAAGGCGCACCTATAAGATAGGCATAAGCTTACATGTCGCTTGAGAGAGTGCCTCACTCACATGTTTCGCGACGAGAACTTCCTCGAAGTCGATTTGTTCCTCGAGTCCTTGTCGAGCGAGTTCTTCTGCATCACGCTCGTCGACAGCGACAGCGATCTTCATGTCTCGGAGTGCAGCACGCACTTTCGTCAACTGTCCGAGATAGGCGCAGAGAACAGCAATATCGCCTGGTTCGCTGTACATGCCTTGTCGCAGGAAGTATATGACGAGATCGCGAATCATCTCCACCTAGTCAAAAGTGCTGAGTTAGTCCCGGAGGGGCGTTGAATTCGTATCACTTACCTCGAAGGTGTTATACTTCGATACCGAGTCATCCGAGCCGCCCTCCTTGTTGAGGTGGTTGTAAAAGAACACGTCCTTCTGCATACCCTGCACAGCCGGATATTGGTACACGAGCGCGTTGTCCTCAAGCTTGGGGTAGAGAATCGTTCTAGCACAGAATGCACAACTTCAATATAATATTGTGTTGGACTGGGGTCGAGCGTACCTGATGAAATGCGAAATTGTGGGGCGCATCCGACGCTGAACATTGATCTGAGACATCTGGAAGCCGTTGTCTACGAGGCGTTCCATGAGTGATCTGTCAAACTTGAACAGTTGATTTCCCCGTTCGCTATCCATCGAAAGTGCTATGAAATAATCAGATGGGCTTCTATGCCTTGTTGGCAAAGGACATACCGAACGTGGCGAGAGTCGGTCGAAGTTGTTGGGGATCGCCGATGCATATGAGGTGGCGCACTAGGCCAAGGTTAATCTCTGGGGAATATAAATATAGCAAGGGCGTCAGACGTACCGGAAGGTACAAGAGATGTCAAAATATGGGCTTCGAGGACCTGACCGGCTTCCTCGACTAGGAGGACCTGTGGACCAACACTCTGTATGGAACTCCAGCATTAGAAAGATCACTGATTTGAGGGTCATGCAATGAACGTACCTCTAGGAGAGATGTCAGCGAGGCCGCACCTTTGGGTATACCAGTAAGCAGATATTACGATATTTGAAGCGATGACCTACCGGTCGTTGTGCAGGCGATCAGATCATTTTGGCTGAGAAGACGACGACGATTCTGGTAGTATACCGTGGATGTTTAGCATTGACTGTGCTGGGTTGCAAGCGCATGTGAGCGAACCTCGTCCCTGAGATCATCATAGTTCTTGCACGCCTCCTTGTAATCGTCACGTATGGAATTGTAGTGGTCCAGCTGCGATGCGTACGCGTTCATTCGGATGCGTTGCTCCCAGTCGCCAGCCAGACGAGTGCGCTCAGTCAGCGACATCGCCCAAACACTCGAGTGCTCGAGCAAGTCGCCGAGGGGTCGGTCGAGTACTGGGATCGGAGGCATCATCCCGACGAACCCCAGGGACTCGAAGAACGCGATGGGATTCGCCAGCAGCGGCATCTGCTCGGACTCGTCCTGCGGCGATACGCCGACGTCCTTGCTCTTCCCTTTGCCTTTCTGCGTAGGCGGCGCTTCTGTCGGCGGCTGGACCTGAAGGTACTGGATGTCCCGCCCCGCTCTCCAGAATCCGTAGAGCGTGTTTCGCACGGAGCTTTCCACGGTCTCCTTCTTCTTCGTACTCTTCTTCTTGACGTCCTGCCACTCGCCGAGCTCCCCCTCTTCCGCCCACATGAGCCCCGAGAGCGCTACAATCCAGAACGGCGGCATCCGGAAGGCGTTGGCGTGATCAGGGTAGTGGATATCGAGGTATTGTTCGATCTTGTCCCAGTCGAGCAAAGGAAGGCGAATCGCAGTCATCACGTTCGTCATCTGTTCCTCCAGCTTCTTCATGACGGCGTACTGACGCTTGAATGATCTGTCCAAGTTGGAAGCCGAGGCGACCTTCTCGAGCTTGTCGAGCGTATACTGCATGATCCGCTCGTCCGAGGAACGCGTACCGAGACGCACGACCTTGTTGGTGATCCCGGCGTCCAGTACGGAGGTGAGCATATGGTCGAGAGCGTGATTCGTGAACGCGATGAGGACTAATGAACATAGTCCGTGAGATCGTACCGGATGTGCACAAGTATAGGATTACATACCAATGGGCCGAATCTTGCTTGTGAAGAGCACTCGAAGAATCTCCTTCGCTGTGTAGCTCTAGGAAAGATAGGAATCATTGAGCTGAAAACCCCTAATCTAGAGGAGGGGACATACCTTGCCCGTCCCGGGGGGTCTACGGTATCGGAATCCATCAGAACGGTCATTCGCTGAACGGATGCTCACTCACCCTTGGATCAGCGAGACTTCCTTCGTCAGGGTATCTACAACGGCATCAGCTTGGCTAGGATCCAGCACGCTGCTCGTCTTCAGCTGCTGCCGAGCTCTTGCGACTGCCGCGGGGTTCAAGATGTCGAGGTCGTTGATGATCTTCCCCTTCTGAGCCAAGCACTGTAGCTTGAACCGGAATGCGGGGACCCGCGCGTACTTGGGCGGCATGACAGCGACCTCCTTGATCGACTCAGCGGGGGCGATGTAGCGCGCGAAAGGAATCGCCGTCGGCTCGATCGTCTTGATCCTCTCCAAGAACGGCCGGACGCTTTCGAACATGACGCTGTTGTCAACCAGGAACGCGTACGAAGACGCATTCTTGCAAAGCCGCTCGCCCTGTAACGCCTTCAGCTCGACGTCGGCGTCGAAGAATGCGACCTGCAGCTGGATGCGATCCTTGGCATGTTTCGACGACTCGGCGATATCCTTGCCGAAAGAGGAAACGACGCCGAGGTAGGCTCGGATGGCGCGGTCGGAGACCACGACGAGTGCGACGAGACTCGACCCCTGCAGACGTTTGCTGTGCTCCCAGAAGTCGTAGCGTTTCTTCGCGTCCTTCTCGCGCGCGGAGCCCACCGCTGGAGAATCAAGGACCAGGGTAACACAAACTCCGCGTCGCTGAGCTATGGGAGGTTGCTCCAGGAACTCAACGTTCGTGTAGATCTGGAAGAAGACCGAGTCGTATCCGCTGGTGCGATACGCCCCTCCTTTCTTCTCGAGAACCTCTTCCAGCTTCGTCTTCTGTGCGCGCTTCATGTTCGGACGGCGCTGCCAGATCGTCAGGAGATCATCTTGGATCGCGGCCATCGATGCACGAGTAGTAGATCTGCGCAAATGTCAGCAAGAAAGCTGGTAGAGAATAGAAAAAATCGTACATCAGATCCTCTCGCAATAGCCTGAACTGGATGTCGAGGTGTCGTTCCATAGAATTTACAGGCAGGTGGTGGGGGGCGTCATGCCGGAAAACAGGAAGGTACGGCTGTACGGGGGAGAAGAGCTCTTCGTGTGTAGGGGCGACCCTGATATCCGCGATGTTGGTGAAGTCGTTGTCGTGCCGCCGTCCATCAAGACGCAGGTTGCCGGGAGGGTCGTAAGTCTGAGCCAGCTGCCCGGCGAGGGCCTGGCTTCGTTTGACCGGAGGCGCTGGACGATGCCGGACTCTCGTTGAACGATTTCCTGAAGGCGTTGGATGTCTTCGCGAACGTGGGAGATGCCCAGTTCGCGGATTTTTGGGATCGCATGGGCAATCGAGTCCGCAAACCGTGGCTCGGGATCAGAGACCTCTTCGGCCCAGATGTCGAACCAATCCGCGAAGTCTTGGATGAACTGGGCTACGTCGGCGGAGTGGTTGCGTATAGCGTCCTTGTAGCGGTTGAAGTACCTGTAGGCGAGGGCGAATCAGTAACCAGAACGAAGCACAGTTGATTCACATACTGTAGGAGAACGACGGATAGTGTCCTGAAGATTTTGAGGCCATCGAGATTGTTCTGGAGGGATGGGAGGAGATTGGGTGTTCGATCCGTCCAGGACTGAGCGGCCATCATCTCGTCTAGGCAAGTCTCGAGCGTCGCGAAGATGGATTCGTGATTGTTCTTGATAATGGAATACAGATGACTATGACATTGTCAACAGAAGGATCACGAGTCAGAGTAAAGAACATTACTTGATATTCTTGTGCAAAGTCGACTTGAGGACGAGGTCCGACGCAAAAAACTGCCGGTATATTAGCATCATACCCAAGCATACCCAAGGAAGATCGCGCACGCACCTGGAACAAGGGGAAGTATCCGCTCTGGAACGAGAGGGCACCTGTTCCAAACCCGATCGACGTCTTCACAGGTTCAAATCGTAAGATCTCGCCGATACGATGAAGCGCGTCTCCCTATGACGAGTAAGACGACAGCGACGAGCCAGCGAGACAGATGTAATCACCTTCACTACGAACTCCAAGAATTCCTAGTATGGCAGTAAGTATATATCCAACCCGAATGGCGAGAGAACTGGCGTACCTGCGCGTTCGCCGTATTCTGTGAAAATATGATACGAACCTGTAAGAAAGGCAGCGTCGTGGAGAACAATTGCGCGGCGTACCCAGGTCTTGTTGCTATCATTGACACTAGCCAAAATCCTCACGAACCCCATGATCTGACCTGGATTTTCGAGATGATGTTTGTCGCGGATGAAGTCTCTGAGGTGGTTGTGGACCTCGCTGGGGTTGAGAGTGTGCCGGCCTTCCGGCGCAGACCCGATGCCAGCAGTAAGACCTTCAGTAGAAAAGAAATCGACTTCAGGTTGTTCTGAGGGTTGTGACGCGTCGGGCGTCGATTGATCTGCAGGTCCGGGCGCGATGGCTTGCTTGACGTGGCGAAAGGAGCACTCGAAGCCCCTCGCGCATGCGCCAGTAGACCAGAAGTACTGACACACGTTACGTGGCACGGTACTGGGGGCCGTTTGGGGGAGGCGAGGCGTACCAGGAGCCGACTGCCCTGACGAGCCAGAAGCGACGGGTTGTTTGGTATGGCGGAAGGAGCACCCCGCACCCCTCGAGCACGCCTCTCTGGACCAATAGTATTGACAAACGCCGTGCGGCACACCATCGAGGACCTTCTTGGGTGTTTGAGGAGTCTGAGGGAGAGGGGTTTGCGAACGGCTGCGTGCTGGCGGCGATGCTGGCGATGGCGAGCCCTGCGAGGGGGACCCCCGCGACAATGGCACAGGGCCGCGATCGTGAGAGTATCGACAGCGGTCGCCAAATCGACAGCCCTGAGGCGTCTTGAAGGCCCTACAAGGACCTGGCGGTCGTTGAGACATGATTGAAGAGTGGGAGACGATGAAGTAGCGACGATGGTAAGAGGCAGGACTTGGTCGGGAACTCAAGGTAGGGGGGAGGTATAAGGTTGAGGACAAGAAGACGCGACCAGAAGGCGGTCTCGAGCTTCATATCGACAACATCAACCCCTCGTGCCCCACCTTGAGGCGCTCCCATCGAACCCTGTCTACTACACGCGCCAACGAAGCGCTTACAAGAGCGTATGTATTCTACCCTTTTCATCCTAGGTCATTCCTCGCCTACGGCATCCTCAAGACCCCTACGTTGTACCGTTTGTGAGGTGATCTTCGCTGCAATCAGGAACTAAGATTATCAGATGTTCGAATACGTAGTACACAAAAATCACTAGCCAAACCGTTCCGATGTCGGGGAGGTGCATGCCACTGGCATGCAACCGGCTTGAAGACCGGACTGAGAGAGCGCCGCATCCGAAGTGGGATGGAAACGAGGTACCTTACGGTCGTATTCGACCTACCAATACAGAGCCTGAGCATTCTGTCCTACGTACGAGAACAGACTATCCAGCTAGAGAGCACCGCAGAACTTCGAATAGCTGATGCCCTGTGTACCGTGCAGCAAAATGCGCACGTCATCGCCAGCCAACACGGTCTGCAGACATATTTTAGCTTGAGAAACCGGCATAAAACATAGATACAAGAAACCTTTAGCTTCATCTGAGTCGCATATCGCTTTGACATGATGGTGAGCAAGCGGGTGGAAGGTGAACATGGTGGAGTGGAGTCAAGCGCGAGCCGCGTAGGCGTCTATTCCAACTCGTGGCAAATTGCCGCTGCCGCGGGATGGATTTATGATCGCGATGAATACACACGCGCCCACATCGGCACTTTCCCCCCCTGCAGTCATCTGTCTAGATCCGAGGCACACTGCCAGACATGCTACCCATGCAAGGGAGCTCACATTCCCTCCGAGCTCTCAGTCTCATCGGCATATACTTCAACGTTGTCCGGCGCCGCACCCCGGCTGGTCACGATACAACATCAGCGGTCATCTGCCACTCCCTTCGTCTCATAAATTATGGCACTACTGCAGGCGGAGCGAGCTTCCTTCATTTAACGGGAACGAAACACTCCGGACTGGATCAAATATATTCGTCAAATGCTATCTGTTGACCACCATCCGGTGACAGACACGTGGCTATCTCACAGTCTCCTGGACAGCACTGCGACGGCCCGTATGCTCTCTTTGCCCGGTCTCGGAACGATAAGTGGCTACTTTGTCGTGTCTCATAAGTAAACACGCTCCACTGTGCACTTCCATAGCCTTCCAGCCATCATGGCCGTGAACCTCCCCTTCCTGAGGCTCGTCTCGCTCACGCCTGTCCTGTTGTTGGCCTTGGCAGTTGCCTTACAAGCCTTAGGGCGTGCTACGCCACCCAGAGACTCTTCGACGGCGGCGACTCCATCTGAGTTGAACCTAGCGGCTTTGGCAGCTCGCAAGCTATACTTTGGAACGGCAACCAACAACGTTGAGCTCAACGACACGGCATACTTCGAGATACTCGACGACTTCAAGATGTTCGGCCAGATTACCCCTGCGAAAGGCATGAAATGGGTGCGTCCCTTGTTCCTTCTATCAATTTCTGCCGTCTGATTTTCGATAAGATGGAGACAGAACCGGAGAGGGGTATCTACACCTTTGCGCAGGCCGACCAGATCGCGCAGCTTGCTAAGCAGGGCGGGAAGCTCCTCAGAGGCTCGTACATGGAAACTATATTGTACCTCCTCGATCATGCTGACACCATACCGCTCAGGACACAACTGCGTATGGTATAATGCGCTCCCCGGCTGGGTCACGAACACCACGTGGACAGCCCCCGAGTTGGCCGAGGTCGTGCAGGAGCATTGCTTCAACATCGTTCGTCACTGGGAAGGTCAAGCGTGAGTCCCACATTTTTCACTAAATATCCTTTCGCTCACTGGTGCTGTTCCGCAGATGTGAGTGTTGAACGCACTCGGAATGCTCACGACGCTGATCCTAGACACACCTCGTACATAGACAGCTGGGACGTCATCAATGGTAAGCTGCCCAGAAAGAAGTAGCACCCCCCAGCTAACTCCCTTTTCCGCAGAGCCTTTCAACGATGACGGAACGTGGCGCGAGACCATGTGGTTCAATACCCTCAACACGACGTACATTCCGCTCGCGTTGCACGCTGCGCGCGTCGCAGATCCGCACACGAAGCTGTACATCAACGAGTACAACATCACCGGCACAGGTACGTCGTCCATCGCACGCTCCAATGACATGCACTCAATCATTTGACTTGCAGGCCCGAAAGCGACGTCCATGAAGAACCTCATCAAAGACTTGAAGCGGGCTGGAGTCCCTGTCCACGGCGTTGGGGTTCAAGCACACGAGACCGTCGGAGAAGTGCCAACCGATATTCGCAAGAACCTCGAGGAGCTGGTCGCGCTTGGTATCGAGGTCGCAATCACGGAACTCGACGTCAAGTTCAACACGCTCCCTCCCAATGCAGCGGGACTCGAACAGCAGAGGCGGGATTATGAGGCGATCGTGGCTGCGTGTGCGGAAGTAAAGGGATGCGTGGGAGTGACGGTTTGGGACTTCACGGACAAGGCGAGTGTACATGACTGCACCAAGTGCAAGGGCGAAGGATTCACTTTGCGAGTGCAGTACTCGTGGATCCCTGGGACCTTCCCTGGTACCGGCGATGCTTGTCCTTGGGATGATGTGAGTGTAATGCTATCGTCTATTGCCTCTCTATCGCATACGGCTTACGCTTCGTTGCCACAGGACTTGAACAAAAAGCCGGCGTACTATGGCATTTTGGACGGGTTTGGGATCGCTCGTTAGAAGAGATCCACGATTCTCGGCAGTAGCCAATCTCCCCAATGCAAGAATTGCTGTCGCCAACGATTTATACGGTCATGCCAGTCTCTCATGACACTTGCGGGAACCTCTATTGGCTTGGCTTCCCTTTGAGCTACCGCAGAAGCACCGAGAATCCTCCGCACCCTGGGCGTCCATTCCGCAAGCGGATGGTCGTACGTACGCACCGCTACTCGATCGTCTCGAACCTATTCTTATACACTCAGGCCATCGATAACATACCCACGCGAGCACCCACATGTGCTGGCAGGAGGTCATAACGCCGTACTGATACACCGCGGCCATATAAGTATACACGACCGTGCGCAGTGAATCGTGCGGCCTTCTCAGTACCACCATGTCAGAAACTCGCACTTGGCTGATAACAGGGTATGCATTCGCGCTCATGAAATGTAGCTAAGATCGAAGCTGACTTGCTTACACACAGAACGTCTCGCGGGATCGGCCTCGAGCTGACCAGGCAACTCCTCGCGGATCCGTCTAACCTCGTCATCGCTACGTGTCGCACACCCGACAAGGCCACCGAGCTGCATGCGCTCAAGGATGGGGCGAAGGGCACGTTGCATATTGTCGCGCTCGACGTCGCCAGCGAAGCGTCCATCCGCGACTCCCGCATGCCCGTCGAGGAGGCCCTCGGCGGGCGCGGGCTCGACTATCTGTACAACAACGCTGCCATCGTACGTGCCCTCCAAGTATCCTTTTGCTTTGCACTCGTGAAGCTGAGACGGGTCTTCCTAGAATGAAGGCGATGACACGGCGTTCACACTTAACGCGGCGGCGGCCGTGCGCACGTATCAAGCGAACGTCATCGGTCCTGCGCTCATCGCGCAGACGTTCCTGCCACTGCTCGAGAAGGGCACGAAGAAGGTGATCGTGAACATGTCGAGCGGGCTCGCGAGCATCGCAATCGACTGCGGAAGCAAGTGCGCGACGTACAGCATCAGCAAGACCGCGTTGAACATGCTGGTATGTGCCCGCCGAGTGTGCGGGCGCCGCTGGATGCGCTGACGCGACTCCATGATGCAATCCAGACGTACAAGCAAAAGGTCGAGCGTCCGGACTTCATTGCCATCGTGCTCGATCCCGGCTGGGTTAAGACCGGTGAGTCGAGAGGTGGATCCGACGGGATCGAGCTCACCGAGTCTTGCAGATATGGGCGGTGAGGGCGCGATGCTGGAGGTGGAGTTCAGCGTATCCAACATCCTCAAGGTCGTAACTTCCCTCACTGCGAAGGAGAGCGGAAAGTTCTTCAGGTACGACGGGTCCGAGATCCCGTGGTAAGCGGGACAAGGAGAACTATAAGAGTCACGGCCGCGCGAAGAGGTTCCAGACAACATGTATCGATACGAAATACACATCTCTAACAAAAGCAATGATACAACGACGTACAGCTTCTCAGGTGTTCTCCCCCTCACGATTCCTCCAGCGTCATCTCATCGAAATCTTCCAGGAGCTCGTTGAGCTTGACATCTGGGAAATCGGGCTCTTCCTCCTCTTCTTCCTCCGCACCTGGCGCCGCTGCGGGGGCTGCATCCTCCTGCATCGCGCTCTCGTCGACGTCCATCGCATGCTGGACCTTCTTCCGCGTCTTCCCGCCCGAAACGCCCGCACCCGCTCCAGGAAGGTCGTTCTTCGCGCGGTACAAGTTGACCGCCCCGCGCATCTCCTCGTCCTCCTCGAGCTCGCGCAAGAAGATCTCGTAGTCCTCCTCGACCTTCTTCTGGTCGCGCCCGCCCATGCGCCCCACCACACCGCGCGCCCCACTCGTCTCGCCCTCCTCGCCCGCCTCCTTCGCGATGCTGCGCAGGCGCCACGCACGCGGCTTGTTCTTTTTGCGGCGGTTCGGGTACGCCTTCTTGACGAGCACGATGTCGGGGATGCGGTGCGCGGGCAGTGCGGCGTAGTCGTCCGAGTTGAAGTTTGCGTTCGTGAGGAAGTAGCCGAGCGCGGAGTCGCCCGGCTGCAGGATCGCGCCGAGGTGTGTGCGCGTGTGGAAGATCTGCTCGGCCATTGCGGACTCGAAGTCCATCCCGTCCTCACCAGCGGCATGGGAGCGGAACGCGCCGGAGAGCGCGACTTGCGCGTCGGCGAGCACCCACTTGCCGCGCGTCTGCCCGGAGGGCTCGACGTCGAGGACGGTGAACTCGACGAGGTCGGTGACGGTCGCGAGGGCCTCGAATGGTGTGCGCCAGTAGACTGGGGCGGTGACCTCGCACACTTGCAGCGTAGAGGGGTCGAGGAGATGCAGGGAGTTACCGACGCGGACACAGATCGCGAGGGGGGAGATGTTGCTTTGTTGCCGAGCGAGTTTTGGGGGTATGCAGACAAGGTCGTCTTTGCAAACGGGGATGATCTCGACGGAGTAGGTGTACTTGAAGTTGGCGGTGTTCGTGTGCGTATCTGTCGAGAGCAGCTGCTCCGATGCTTTTGACCTGGCAAGCAAGTCAGCGACAATGATCTATCTGCAAACAGTATGATGAACATACCTTACGGGCACCACGCCGGCGAGGAACTCGACCATCTTCTGCGCGTGACTCCGTTGCGCGTAGAAGAAGTCAAGACCATCCCGGACTTCCTTCACGGAGATGGTATCTTTTTGCGCGCCGTGCTTCAAGATGAGCTGTTCCAGGAAAAGGAAAGTCCGCTTATGCGGGACCTTTTGGCGAACCTGGACGAGCGCCTTCCAGGTATTCTTCGCCGCGAGCTTCGTACAGTCCGGACACTGACCATACTGGACCAGATACTCGATCTCGAACACTTGTTCAAGGATTGTGGCAGTGAGGACCTCCTTCTGGATGGTGAGGGATACGCGGAGACGTTTGGAGTGCGGCTCTGTCCAGATGAAATGCGCCTCGGTGAGGCGGACCTTGTTGAGGCCTTTCAGCTTCTTCAAGCATATCGCGAGGAGTTCTTGAGACTCAGGTAGTGCGATAGTCCATGATGTAGGGGGAGATAGGAACCGTTCGCAATTGCGGCAATATGATACAGAAGCTAATGGGATTTGAAAGATGAATGATCGGGCGAGAAACTAGATGCAAGGAGCGTACCTTGCTTAGGAATACCCTCAGTAATATCCACAGAGTTCCTCAAACATGCTACGCAAAGGTTCGCGGAGTTGGGTACGATTGGGGTACCACAATCCGCGCAGAGGACGCGGAGCACGGCGGGTGCGGGAACGAACTCCATGTTTTGACGGGTCGATCAGGCAGAAAATCCTCGCGCAAGAAGCGAGCTCCTAGTTGTGATTCTCCTCAGCCTCGAGCACACAGAGAAAAGTCGACAAGAGAAGAGAGATGGGGGAGGAGATGGATGTCGATGACTGAGTTTGCGAGACTCTCAAAGCTCGGTCCCGCTTACAAAATCTACAGATCTTGCTCAATCTAATCTAATCTTATTTGGCTGAATGATCGCCGATCTGGCGCTAAACTGCAACGAAGTTCCTACGAGCGCTAGACAACGCCTTGGACTCCTCCACCATCTATCACACTCATCGCAAAGCCTGACATTGCTTGGCGTCTTGCTCTGGATGTCTGCGATTTCTATTGTCTGGAAATGCTGTAAACACACTCGCCTGAAACCTCAAAGCTTTCTGCTTGAAAACGGTTGTGATGCACCTAGTCAACACTCAGCTACGTATTCATGTGAGCACGAGAAGTTCCCGTGCTTGAGATATGATATTCTTTAGGAACTAAGAAACATTGACACTCATCTTCATGCGTTTACTTGACATCTTGGAGGGCCCACACACTCTTTGATAGGGCGACGACCTCCAGTACGCGGAAGTCTAGCATATGCTCACACCGGCTCTGCGCAGTCTAGGTTCCAGTTAAGTACACGGACGGAGTCTTCGCCATAGCTGCGGCACTCAGGGGGTCCTTGGATCATGCTTCCGAGCTCTGAGACTTATCGTTAAGGACAGGCCTGTACCCGAGTACACAGATACCAGGAAACGCCCCCGCCCAGCATAAAACGTTTAGGTGCGAACTCCCCCTCGGCCTCAACTCACACCCATGGGCCATGCCCCCCTTCGCAACACCTTCTGAGACCCATACTAGCCATCCTGATACCTCACCCAGTGCTGTTCATCTATTCGTTCCAACCCCTCAAAGCCACAACGTTTGGCGTCATGTCCTTACCATTACCATCACCCTCCCCGCACTCCCCGCATACACGCCTTGGGCGCCTCCTCTGCTAGAGATGTCACAGGGTGGGCACGCCGCGCACACAACTCCATCCCCCATGGCGACTCCGATTTTGGACGTTGCCCAAGGGCAGCCGACAGACCGGTCCTCGATCAGCGTCATATCCGCAGTAGTTGGGGCGTGCGTCGCGCTCTCTTGCTTCTTGATGCTCATGGCGGTCGCGTGCGTGTTGCATCGATGGAAACGCACACGCTGTCGAGCCTTGATGAGGGACAGAGGCTGCAAGGAACGTAAGTACCATGATTACGGCGACGTACACATGTGTACTCATGCGCATACGCTGTAGCGGACACACGGGTGGGCAGCCCCGAATCGTTCTCCAAGTTTGACGACACGCTATCCCCCGCTTCAGAAAGCGGCCAGTCTCGTTTCTCCTACGATGGTGCTGTCATCCATATTCGTCCGGAGACGCCTTGCAGGAGAGATACACAACAGATGAGCACGCTAGCGTACGCGGGATCTTGTGTAGAACCCGCAGCCTAGGATATGGCAGAAGGTCTCAAATAGATTCTTACGGAGGATCCGTGGAGGTGAACATAAACATATCTCAGCACCGCTGCTTCGTACAGTGTATGCCTTTGGACTTGAGCTTCATTTATGGTACTAGCCGTGTAGAAACACAAATTCCATTGATCAATCATCACTTCACGTTCTCGCTTCTGTTCGTAATCTACCAAGGAATCACTTCGCCGTTAAACCGCAAGAACTTTCCGCTATCCTCCGTTGTCGAGGACGAGAAAACCTCGAGGAGACCGCGCACGCTGTCGCTCGCCTGAAGCGGCGCCGCCTCTCCCCCCATATCTGGTACAGTACCGGTAAACGGCTCGCTAACATGAAATGACACACACGCGACTGACCTGTCTTCACCCAGCCGGGACACATTGCGATCACAGTGAGGTCCGGACGCTCCACCTTCTGCTTTTCCACCTACAACGCCGTATCCCTCAGCACTCCAAACGCCGCCAGTGAGACATGAAAGGAGGCACGTACGACCATGTTTAGCGCAGCTTTGCTAACAGAGTACGTCGCAGCCTTCGCACCGACGCGCTCGATCGAGCCGATGCTGCCCGCGGTGCTCGACAGGTACAGAATCGCCTTACGGCGGCCCTTCTCGAGGAAGGGCAGGCACACCTGCGAGAGGAGCGCGGGCCCCGCCACGTTCGTGCGCATAGTGCGCAGGAGCTCCTCCGGGTCCATCGTGAACGCGGTGTCCGTCGCCATCTGAGAGGCGGGACCGATTTAGCGATGGAACGACGGCAGTTAGCGCTGCACTGGGATGGGGTGGGTCGCACTCACGATGCCCGCGTTGTTGACGAGGTAGTCGAGGCCGTTGTCGCCCAGGATAGCGGCGATGTCCTTCGCCGCCGCGCGGACGCCGACGAAGTCGTCGAGGTCGAGCTTCATGGTGTGCAGCGCGCCCTTCGCGTCTGCGCTGTCTTTCAACGCGGCGAGGCCGCTTGCGCCGGAGGGATTGCGGCATGCGGCGATGACGAGGTTGGCTGGGGATGTGAGGAGCTGGCGGACAATCTCGAGGCCGATGCCGCGTGAGGCTCTGCGGGGGATGTACGTGTGAGTGATGTGTCGATGGTGACGGGTTGAGATGAGCGTACCCAGTCACGAGCCAGGTGATTGAGGTGCTTGAGGCCGCCATTGAGGTGAATGGAAAGGGTGGGTGTACTACGCTGCGCGGAGATGGTTTTGTAGTCGCTATATATCAGCGAATCTCATCTGCATGATGCTCCCTTCATGGAGAAACGTCCGCATGGTGTTCTGTGGGTGCGACGGTCGTGCTGCATAAGACTAAGGACATATGCGCGTATCGCACACTTGAGAGGCACCCCCGGCCGCTAACGGTGAACGTGTCCAGATAAGTGTCTTCTCTCGGGCATCGCATAGACTCTGCTTTACATGATCCCGTCCCATAGTGTCGACTTTGATTGAAGTGCGCCGCGCAGATCCGGTCTGCGAGAACACAACTCCAAAGTCAGGGTGCTGTTCATGAACGCGAGTGATGACGGGGTGTGCGATGACCTGTGAAGATCACTTCGAGGACCATGTGATTCAAGACAATGATTACGAGGATGGTACCTAGACCGCCGTTCCATGACCGAATGCACCTTTACCACGGAACCTCCTCGCCGTTGTAGCGCAAGAATTTGCCACTGTCCGCGGGAGTAACGGAGGTGATGACCTTAAGGATACCTGCGACACTCTCTTTCGGCTCGAGCATAGCATCCTGTCCGCCCATATCTAAAATCGAAACGATCAGGAAACGTCATGCAGCGAACTGGGTCCACATCCGAACCTGTCTTCGTCCATCCGGGGCACATCGTAATCGACGTGATGTCCGGCCTCTCGATCTTCTGCTTGTAGGTCTAGCGGAGCAGAACGTCAAGAGCGTCAGTCTCAAACACAATTCGGGATGAAGTTCAGCGGCGCACTAGCATGTTCAGAGCCGCCTTGCTCATGGCATACGACGTGTTCCGCGTACCAACTTGAGCGGCGATTGCGAGGCTACCCCCGGAGCTTGAGATGTTGAGGATCGTCTTCTTCTCGCTCTTTTCGAGGAACGGCAGGAATGCCTGGGAGACGAGCGCCGGGCCGACGACGTTTGTGCGGAACGTACGCATCAGGACGTCCGGGTTTAAGGCGAACGCATTTCCTCCTTCGGCCTGCATTTGGAATGGAATGGTGACGATCAGCGCGAAGGTTGAAACATAGAGGTACGTACAATGCCTGCGTTGTTGATGAGATAGTCGAGGCCGGTTTCCCCGAGAATGGGCTCCAGCTCCTTCGCGGAAGCTTGGACATTGTCAGAGTCGCTGACGTCTAGCTTCACGGTGTGCAGGGTCCCCTTAGCTGTCGCATTGAGCTCCCCCAAGGTTGTCGCAGTCTCCGGGGTACGGCACGCGGCGACGACGAGATTTGCCGGGGACTCGAGGAGTTGCCTAACTAGCTCTAGGCCGATACCGCGAGAGGCGCTGTAGTTCACCATCAATCTACGCGATCAATCGGGAGATGTGGGTGCGAGACGTACCCAGTGACGAGCCAAGTGGTAAGACGTGTTGGCGAAGACATTGGGGATGGCATATGATTTGGAGGGGTCTCGTTGTCCTCATCCTGGGTAGTCGAGGGCCATTTTATACGTCGCGCCGCCTATGCATCGACCTCTAGTATGTACTGTGGACCAGGAGGACTGCAGCCTGAGCGCAGAGACATCTCCGAGATCGGGATACCTTGAACGATCATATGCTGACCACCGGATGCCCTTGGTCAGCCGCAGTGCGGTTCACGCCGTGGACGGTACGAGCAACAGCACTGGTGCGGCTTTGCAGGAGCGCCAGAACACCTGGTAAGAACTGCTACCTCCGATCTGAGTGGCGACCTTTGCGCTGAAGTACCAACGCTAACTGCGTTAACGCCGATACTTAAACACAACAACAATGGTGGTACCTACAGCTGCTGTTGAAACCCTGAGCGGGTTCCTGATAGGTGTATCCGGGATAGGATCATATCTCGGTCATTTCATGGAGATGTTGTCTGAGCCTCAGCGCCGCTATGGGAGTTGAGCAAGCATTTTACCTCGTTGTTTACCGCGCACGCGTGGTCTGGCCTCGTGGGTTTCTTGTGGGTCTTCCCTTCATCTCAGCCACTGATGAAAGTGACAGAGCGCTATGGAACTCAGACCAATGTTCCACACCAAAGACTCTGAGTGAGAGGAAAAAGAGAGAGGAGCGAAACAACGAGGCGCTGGGCCGCCAGTAGGCCGCCAGCATGAACGAGAGTGCCGGCGATACGGGCCGCAGGAAGCGCCCATCAACCCATGCTAGCGCTCGCGGCAGTCCCTCAAAGTATCCGCAGAATCGTTCACTTGTGGAACGAAACAATAAGTCATGGTGAACAGGTGCCAGTGGCACCTGAACACTCGACGCCCTTCGAGTCTCTGTATTGTCAACTGTCATGCTCTCGTGCTGCATCAGAAATATTGACGACCACCAGTACATCTATGAAGGGCACTGCGCTGCGGCGAGCCTACACATCTGCACTGAAGAAGCTTCTCGTCCCCGCGTTTATTGGTGTCTGAGATGGAAAAACGCGGCAACTCGATGCACAATCTTGGTCGCCTGCCAATTTGTTAGTACACCGTGATGCAGTGCCAACAAATGACTCCGAGTCAGAGCTCACCATCTTAACTCCCCCTCGGCGGGTGTCTTCGTCTTCCGACTCGGGAGGATTTCGGCGGGATGTTGTTTGATTTGTGGTTGGGTTTGGATCTTCCGTTTTGACTACTTGCCAGCTGCACTCGGGCTGGGCCGGCGTCGCGGATATCGACTGGCTCGCCCTCGCGCGCTCGGGTCTGAGTAGCTTCCACTCCGCGTCCTGAAGATCAGCGAGAAGATCCTCGATGCCTTCCCGGCCGAGCAGGCCGCGGGATTCAATCGTACCCGCTGCGTTGTCCGTTGCGTTCGATTGCGCTTGTAAAAATGAAATCAGCAAGGACCAATGAGCGATGAAGTCGCAACTTTGCTCACGGTATCCCTCCAGCCTTCTCACTGTCGTTGTGAGCACCTTGATGGTGTCTGCGAGTGAGAGGTACCGAGTGATATCGGCAATGCTTTGGGAGAGTTGAGCGAGCGTGCATGCCTTGATACTGCGGAGCTGCTGCGAATGGATGTAGTGGAGGTTCACAGACAAGGTGCGATGCTCGTCCTTTGCAGCGCGGAGATCGGAGATAGTCTGGTCATACTCGCCCCTGTGCTCCTGACATCGGGAACTCGTAGTGTCCGAGGCTTCCTCGGTACACCGCACGCGACCGTACTTGGATGCGTGAGTACGATATGCAACGCATACTAAGAAGGTAGTGTTTGGGGGAGTGGGGTTGGTCGTCGCGTTTACAAAGCGGTCGTAGTGGAAGGCTCTGGTGGGGAAGACGCGCGAATCGGTCGAAAGGGCACGGGAGCCTCGGTTTGCTGCTTCCCACTCGCGACGCTCCTCCGCAAAGCGCTTCTCCTGGGCAAGGCCCTCTTCCTCTGCATGCAGCTTCTCCGCAAGCTCCCTGTTTGCTGCAAGCTGCCTTTCTTGCGTGAGGCGCTTCAGAGTTTCTGTACGATCCCTCTCCGCATACCACCTCTGCATCGCTCTACTCTCAGCGAAGCGCCTCTCTTCTGCTTGATGTTTCTCGATATCAAGCTGTCGCATATGAGCTGCTGCACGCTTTTCGTCCGTAAGCCTCTTCTTTTCTTCGGCTATTCGCCTCTCCTCGGCATGGCGTCGCTCCACCGCGAGGCGTCTCTCCTCCGCAAGGCGCTGCTCCTCCGCCAGGCGCATCTCCGCGGTAGTACGTTCATCCGCGATGCGTTTCTCCTCCGCAAGTGCCGTCTCCTCGGCGATTCGTTGCTGCTCTTCGACGAGCGCCGTCTTCTGTTGATGGAGTTGTCTGGCAATATCTTTTACCTCGCACACCTCACTGAGTAGTGTCCGCATCCACCGCTGGTGTCCACCGTCCACTACAACACCATCATCAAGTATCAGTACTCGTATGCAAAGACGCACAATGTACGGGTGGCTTACTCTGAGCGAAGAACCGTTTTTGATGTTCTTGTCGTTGACGGATCTCCGTACTCAGGACCTCGATGCAACGGTTCGTGGCCTCTAGTGCCTCGTCCACGTTGGCCAGCTTACACAAGTGCCCGAGGTGTAGGTCCTGGAGTAAAGCGCGGACGCGCTTATACAGCAGTCGCCCTTTGCTGGATGTCTCCTTGTATTCCTTCGTTAGCCGTCTGTACTCCTTGTGATGGGGCACGCAAAGATGGGGACGGCTCCCGTCGCGTCTGCGGCGCCCTGGCTGAACACACGGCGGCTCATCTCCTGGAAGCACGATCTGACAGATGTCTTCCTGTGCGGTAACGTGCACTCGTGGCATTGCGGTGGACTGCGAGCAAGTTAGGAGCGCAGATTGAGAATCGGTTCAAGCAGCAGCGGTGTTGAGGACGGCAATCGTACGTGGGGTAGCTCGTCCTGAGAGATGGGCAATCGCAGCACGGTTGGCCTCGCGCGACGCGCGTGGACGGGATTCTGCGCGACGGAATAAGGTTACCGCTCGCCTGCCATTATAGCATATCTTCATACCTCGTTACCTCTCGGCAGCCGTTCCGATGTCAATTAAGAAGCAACACTTCGATTCGGAATGCAATTTATATATTAGCATCAGCATTACAGCCTTTATCTATGCAGTTTGTAATACCAAAGACATCTACCAGGGAATCGACTCGCCGTTGTGCCGCAGGTACTTGCCGCTGTCGGCGGTGGTCGCGGAGGTAATCAGCTTGAGGATGCCAGCGACACTGTCCTGCGGTTCGATTTGCGCGCCCTCGCCACCCATGTCTGATTGAAGTATACGTCAGCGCGTGAAGTTGACGACAAAGCCTGTGACCGAACACTCACCAGTCTTGACCCATCCAGGGCACAAGGCGATGACAGTGAAATCTGGACGTTCTAGCTTTTGCTTGTACGCCTAAAGACACGATAATGCACACGGAGTCAGGGAATAACAATGGCTACAAGTAAGAACGGACGGGGACGCACGAGCATGTTCAGGGCAGACTTTGACATCGCGTATCCTGCGACAATTGGTCCCACTATGTCAGCGCTCCCAACGCTGCCGCCGGTGCTCGAGATGTGCAGGATCTTCTTGGCGGTACCCTTCTCGAGGAAAGGCAGCGCTACCTGAGAGACCAGCATAGGGCCGATGGCGTTTGTCTTGAACGCGTCTAGCAGCTCCTCCGGCTTGATGGTGAATGCAGTGTCGCGGGGTGCCTGTCGTACATTTTCAGAAGCCAACATATAAGCTCGTGGCTCGAGTGGTGCTGGGATGGTAGTACATACGATGGCGGCGTTATTGATGAGGTAGTCGAGGCCGGTCTCGCCGAGGATAACCTGCAGATCTTTCGCGGACGCGCGGATGCTGTCGAAGTCGCTGATGTCGAGCTTGATTATGTGAAGAGTCCCCTTCGCAGTCTCCCTCAGATCGTGGAGTGCGGTTGCCTTCTCCGGCGCACGGGCGGTGGCTACGACAAGGTTGGTCGGAGACGCGAGCAACTGCCGCACGATCTCGAGTCCAATACCGCGGTTGGCCCTGGGTACAGCACAACACAGTGGTCAGACCGAGCGAGCACGGAGGAGGAAAACTTGTACTCACCCGGTAACGAGCCAAGAGGTAGGACGAGAGGTAGACATAATGGTATGTGGCACTGGGTGATGTTCGTCGACGAGGGATAGGCAGACGCTGTATGGCCCCGTCGTGCTCTCTTAAACAGTCTGTGAGCTGTATATCGCTCGCAAATTCCGATCGGGGAAAAAGTACTTACGAAGCAGCACGTTCGTTCTTCTAGCGGTTTTGACGGCCGTCATGACTCAATATCGGGCTGCGGCGCTTCTATGCAGATCGGGAACGTGAGTATATCTTGAAAACTATGTTATTCTTACACTTTACCGTGGCCGCAAGACGACTGCAACCGCGCATCGTAGATTCGTACAGATGATCAGAATCGCGGCTTGAAGGAGCATTTTACCGTGATTTATACTACTAGTATCGCTCAACAGAGCAGCTGATCCGTATAGTTTTACAGCGCTGGAGCTGTTTGGTCGTCCATATGCTCCGAAATTTGCGTCAAGAGCATTTAACATGAGCGGTAGGCCGTCATCCGTGCGACAAGAGCGTGAGCGGTGGACGCGTGGACTGGCGCCGATGTTGCCGGCGCAACACGTCCGACTTTGGGCGCTACTTCCTAACCGCTGCACTCGTCTACGTGTATCGAAAAGCCGTCATTAAGTGAAAATGTCTACGAAACAACAAAAAAACTGCATGGACTTGCCGTGAAAGAGCCTGCGACACATTGAGCCTCACGACTCGGAAATCGCATGTCGTACAGCTAAGAGGTTCAGCGCCACTCAGATCTACTCTGATATGTTTTGCCTTTCCTCGCAACGCTCGGTACCTGGTAGTGAGAAGGATAGATATTCTCTAAAACCCAAAGAGGCACGCATCAGAGCGTTGGGCCAGGTAGGAGTGGGAGTGCAAGCAGCGTTCGAGACTTGACAGCAAAGTTCGAACGGGTATATCGGCGACTCGGGCCGCCCTCCCGAATAATGGCCACCCGTGTGCGTGAGCGCGACTCGGACTCTCAGCCTCGCTCTCAGGCTCAGCTCTCCTGCTTCATCTTCGTCAGAGCGTATTCTGGTATCCCGGCTTGAACTTGCTTGAAAACTTTAATCAACAAGCTGTCGTTCGGCTCCTAGACCTCAGTTTGTCGGCGGCCCAACGTCACGACTGATCAGGACTGATCCCGGTGCGTATTACGAGCGAATCCCTCCAGCCTCGTGGTTTACACATGCTGTCTTGAGGTGGCGACACTCAGCTCTCCTTCTCTCTCTCTCCAAGACCATCGGAGAATCTAGATGCTCGCGACTCTCTCGGAACTATCGCAGAGTCTCGGGTCGTGTATTGTGGACTCTGAGGCACCGCTTACTCTCAATACTTCATCCAGCAAGATGGACGTCCCGAATTGCACGACGACAAACATATTTTCGCCCTCCTCTCGCGCCATCACGACCGTATGTACCCACCTACGACTCCTCGGTGTATCCCGGTCACTTGCACATCTTGCACGGACATCTCATTCCTTTCACGACGCCGCTCTCGATGCGCTGTGGCACACGATACCCTCTCTAGAGCCGCTCTTGTACACTTTTCCCTCCAGCCTATGTCACATTGACGGAGAACCTTGGCATGTTAAAACTTTGATTGTGAGTCAAGTTGTCCAGCATCCCATTAACGGTTAACTACACCCATGGATTTGGCAGAAGTTTACTCGCGAGGCGATACCCGCGGATTTTGATCGTTGTCGCGCCTATTCCGCTCGAGTTGTGTCTATCGCCGAGCAACACATTGTTTTTCCACAATCTGGAGCAAGCATCGATGCAGGCGTTTGGGACCAACTCGAGCGACACCGGCACGAGATTGCGTTCCCTCGGCTACAGTCGGTTTTTCATGGCAATTGCGCATCGGACGGGGCGCGCCGCTATCCCATCTTCCTCGCATTCGGTCGTAGTTTGCAAACAGTCCAGTTAGCCCACGTCGCCTTAGAAGAAACACCTCTGGAGATGTTTTGCCACTCCGACTGGCAGCCTTACAAGACTGCCGAGGAAGTCGCCTCCAGCATCCTCGAGGGACTGACTTTGGCACCTGCACTTACCCAACTAAGGGTGAAGGCGGATGGTTATGAAAAACCATACTGGAAAGCCCTGAATCACCTTTCGCGCCCGCTTGCAACTGCAACAGCCGCACTCAGGAGTATCACTATCATTTCGGTGCCTGAGATCCCCCTGCTACCATCCTCCCTGTGCCATCTTGGATCGCTCCCCTCCCTCACGGACATTGAAATACTCGCCCGATCGTGCGACTATGCTTGGGGCTTTCTAGATACGAACACCCCATGCTCCACGTCTTTCGCGGCCCTTCGATCTCTTTCCATCCGGTCAGACTCCTTCGACTGGTGCGTTGCCCTTCTGCGGGCATACACCTTTCCCTGTCTAGTTGATATCATAATCACCACTGAGGATATCGTACAATCGCCCCCCATTTGGGCCTTCACCAATGCCCTTGCGTCGCGTCCCTATGCGAGCGAGTGCATGGAGATGATCGGCCTAACACTCGGCCGTCTCTCGAACGAGCCGTTCGTGGAAGGAGGACTCCCCGTATACCTCGGAGGCCAACTCGCCCCGCTCTTCGCACTCTCAGCACTCCGTTTTCTATCTATTCGCGGGCATTGCCATGTTTTGGTGGATGATGACACACTCGAATCCATCTCCCGCGCGTGGCCGAAGCTCGCCTTCTTGAACTTCGAGCCTGCGCGCCGCTCCAAAGATGCCTTTGTAGCGCGTCCACCAAAGCCACATCTCCAGGGGCAGCACGCGACGCTTTCCGGTCTCCTACACCTCTCCGAACGGTGCCACGAGCTGCGTTTCCTCGGGTTAGTGCTGGAAATTGCGGCATTGCTCCCGACGGCCGAGGTTCGCCGCGCACTCGCCGCGCAAGAGATGCCATGTCCTCTGCGCACGCTCTCCGTCGGCTGGGCGCCGCTCGTCGATCCCATACCCTCCGATGAGCACATGCTACGACTCGCGTCCGCGCTGTCCGCGTTGTTCCCGAACTTGACGACCATCCAGGACGCGTGGGACCAGCCAGTGTTCGACCAGGAGATGTGGCAGGCCGTTAAACACGAGGTGCATAACTATCGGGCGTCGACCGCGAGCCGTTTCAAACATGAACAGTGGCAGCGGGTAGCCGATCGAGTGCCGCAGTTCGCGAAGGTGCGTGGGCAGGAGCGCGCGTGGAGGGCTGCCCAGAGCGCTGCACGAGAGACTGGTGAGGATATTGGCACATCAATCGATGTGCATGAGGTCCGCAGCGACCTGGCCGAGCTCAGGCTGTAGGAGCCCGCTGAGGTGAGTCCGAATTGCACGAGCTTGAGGTATATTCTGATTGTGGCGACTCTAATCGTATAGTGTGCTTTCAGGGTTCCCTGCCGTCAACAAATATACAAGTGTCCTTGACCGACTTCATGCCTGTCCAGACTGCAACGGCCAGGGACTCAATCCATCCCCCAAGCCTCTGAACGTCGAGTGTAACCGCATGTTCATTACTCCGCGGCGCTTTCGCACGGGCGCGCGCAGCATCCTCGGCCGTTCTCCACTTGTGCTCCTGTGCGCGCACCTTCGTGAACTGCGGTACAAGCATCGCGACGTGTACCCACTGATCCCTTATGACCAGGTCGTCGGTTGACAAAGGGAAGAGGCCCCAAGGATCTTCCGCTGTCAACTATTGCTCCTCGCTGATCGCGGGCGTGCCGCGCGCGGTCACGATGCGCGACAGGCACGGGAACCAGGCGGACGACGACGACGACGCGAGCGATGCAGGGTCTCCTAGCGGCGATTAGCTGACGGCGAGCGTGTGCAGGGTGCAAGAGTGGCTCTTGGCGGCGAGCTGCGGGAGTGCACGCTGTAGCTTTGCCTGAAATGGAGCCATCGCGAGATCTAGCTCGAGTTCGAGTTCGCGCAAGTTACGACACCGTTCCACAGTATGAAGTCGACCGAGGAGCGTCCCCCGCTGATGCTTACGAGCGTTCTGCCAGTGTTGATGTTCAGTGGGCCTGGGAGAAATTAAGTCTTCCCTCGTAGTTTCACAGAATCGAACAGCCATCGCGGCCATCCAGTCCTCAGATAGACCAAGAGAGAGAGACTCGAGGGAGCTGAGAGAGAACGGCGGCCGAGAGAGAGAGAGACCTGCGCGGCCGTTATACAGGCGCTCGCGCACGTGATGCGCGGCGGGAGAAGGCGCGCGCCCTCGGAGCGCGAGAGTCGCGACCTCAGACCTGTTCTGAACCGCCATCATGTCGACCACCGTACCCCGAATACTGGACACGCGGTCTTTGCAGCAGCGTCTTCGACTACTAGGTGGATTGTAACTGTCTCTGGATCTTCTCTCAGCGGATCTATCGTCGAACAATGGAACGCCGATGTGTGCCTCACAGCGTACTAGTATTCCGTATACGAGGAGAGAGAGAGAGCTTATCGAGGACATTCGTTCTCCTCAGGTACGCTCTTCGTCCCTCATTTGGTGTGGAATGGGGTACAAAGTAAGACCATCCAGACCATCTCATCCTCGGAATCCCCTCACTGGTAGACGTCGCTACTGGACATGACCCGGTCCCGTAGCGCTGTTCTATTTATCTGACGGGCAGAGAGCCCAGAAACTGACAGCCCAGTGACATCTGTAATAGGGTCGTTCTTGTCTCATCTTGATAAAAGGAGACACGAACTGCTCGCCAAATCTCTCACTCGCTATGCCACCACCTCAACGTACCCGCAGCTGCGTTCCCCCCGTACCATCTTCAGTATATCCAGATGTTCTCCCAACACCCATGGCCCGCAGGGGCCTTGACAACCCTCTTCCAGAGCACCTCGTCCTCACGATCGTTGTCACTCTCACCCAGCCGACCGCGCTACAGCCAACCTCTGACTCACCAGTCGCTGCCATGATGTCCCGCGACGTGCTCCCTACCGCTACACCTGCGACGCCCGGAGAAGACTGTCCGATGCCCGAGATGACGTCGGTCAACACGAATACGTCCTCCGTCGTGGTCAGGTCGTTGGCTGTTATCGGCGCCGTCACGCTCGGGGTGTTGATCTGTGCAATGGTGGCTTTCGTCTTTTGGCGTTATCACCGACTGCGAGCATCGGTACTACGGCGACCATGCAAGTCTGACGGTATGTTCCTCCAACTTTGTACTGTACAACTATGTCCGGTGTCTTACCGACTCTTGAGCAGATTCACGGTCGCGGCGCAGTAGTCGCTCTCCCACACCGACTCCCGTCACACCCTACCCTTACGACCATCACCCCAATATCACCGATATTCCCGGACGGAAGATCCCTACGTCGTGGTTGTTTCCCGACTACGAGCGGCCGCCATCGTATACCACCGAAATCCCGATCCTGCTCACGCCAGTTCCTGCAAGAGTTAGACGGGCTTCCGTCCTCTCGCAAAATTCCCGGCTATCCACGCCCACTCCAGCCGACCGGGATGCCGAGTTTCTTCAGCAGGGCTTTGCGTACTGACGCATCGGCGGGACATATCCCGATATCCCCTGCGTATGATGAGCTTGGCAAGGGTCATTGGTATGCTCTTGGTATCGAATTACGACGCGTCATCTCATCGTGTTCTAGCAGATTATACCCCTGGGACCGTTGTGCTATCTGTTAATAGCTTACAGCCACGCCGCTACCGCCTTCCCTCCACCCGACCTTGGTCGCAGCGCGACCGGTCGAAGCTCTCAATCTTGCGTTTCCGTCGGACCGATCATATAGCGCACATTCTTTTGGACTTCTTATCCCGCATATCTGACCACGCGACTCATAGTCAACGTACTATAGGCAGCTATCGTAGCTCGCACTGCCTAATATCACGCACACAGCCAATAGCAATCACCGCATACGCGGGTTCGTTGAGCCTATCACAGTGTCATTGAAAGTTGTGGATATCCAAAACGCTCGGGCCCAGCGGTAATACGCGGCACGAGGGACTCGGCACAGTGCGTGGTTCAATTTTACCGGCGAACATCTGGATATCACGCGTGGGTACGCACCTCTAGATATCTAGCCTCCCGGTGACATGCGAAGATATCCAATGACGGCGTGTAGATCTGGATAGACTTGCGAAGATATCCAATAACATCGTGTAGATCTGGATATCTTCTCCCGGATATCTTCTTCGTACAAATTTGGCGCTCATTTGCGCCGGCGAGGTAGGATAAAGGCAGCACAGGAGGATTTCTGGGATGCCAGTCGACAAGTTCCCCTCCCTACTTCTATTCAAGATGCCACCGATCACATCCTACACACCGCAGTCGGTGTGGTCACTCTCCGAACTCGCGACTATCTCCCTATCCCCTACGACGGTCCCGGATATGCAGCGCTCTCTCACAGCCCGTCGCCCCACCATGACCGTGTCGCCTATGGGCATTGTATCTACGCCCTTCGTCTCACCCGGCCTGAATGCGTCGGAGGGGGCCTCATCCGAGTCTCCACCGGCGCCCTTCGCAGCCACGGTCGTTCAGTTGGCCATAGCTATATATGTTCCTCTTGGCTTCTTCGTCCTCATGTACTTCGTGTACCGGCAATCCTTTGCGAGCGCGGAGGATACAGACGACGGATCGTCCATGGAACTTGGCGACGCTGTACGGGAATCAGGCACTGGTATGTGAATGAAGCCGCACGGTTGAAACGTACGCGTGATCTGACCAAATTTATTGTGAGTGCAGAGGGGCATCCCACCCTTTGGCGCGAACTGTCTATTTCCTCAAGCACGACGGTTTCGACAAACGACCATTACACCTCACCCTTCGAACCCAACCGCCGCAAGGACGCTGGCCCGAGGTCATCTCCCGAGCGCCCTCGTAGCCAGGAAGTATCGCGGCCTCCGACATGCCACAACGGCGTCCCTAAAATTCCTCCCCCAGCTGTGGCAATGCCCCGCCAGGTGACCTTCTCTAAGCCCGTCGACGTTCGCGGCCGGGGGACTCTCTTGTCCGCGCTGGACCCCGTGAAGCAATTTCCACAGGCCCCCGAGGTGTTGTCGCTCTGTGGACAGGGCTGATGGGGAGGATGATGGTGGTGCGTAAATTTCCGTGTTCAAGAATCAATTTCTAACAGCGCTTCGTATCAGGACGAAGGATTGGCTCTTTCTTGGACCGGATGGAGATCCTGTGTACCTAGAGTCTATCATGGGTCAAGGATGAAGCTACGACGCGTGCTCACGCTAAACCGGCGTGCTTTCAGCTTTCGTAGCTCGCCTGGGGGCGCGCTCTGGGCGTCGCCTATATGACGAGTCCGAAGTATCAACACCTGAGACAGTTACCTTTGCGAGGCACCTTCCGCACTAAGTGTCATACTGCGGTATCGCCTAGGGTCGGTGCACGGGCCTTTAGCTCTGGGCCTCGGTTCGTCCGCTCGTGTGCGAACAGAAGGCGGCCCGTGACCGTAACGAACTTGAAGCGGCACGGAACAATGTGGAAGTCATCGCGCCCAGATTATAAGCAAGACGAAGACGGGGCAGAATCACTTTCACTGCGGCTTGTGACTTCTCTTGAAGTCCGTCAAGGATGAGGTACGTCTTCTCTCATCGGGTATCAACTGTCAAAGCTGAAAGACGTGAAACACCATTTATTCACAGAACAGGACTATCATGGTTGAACTAAACATGAGTTACCTGCGCGAACGCGCGTACCTATACATGTGCCAAACACCGGTGTACGTGCATTCCAGGTGATGCTGGGCTAGAGTGACTATCCACGACCTGACGTCACGCCACAGACAACGTTTCAACAGTGCGCAGGCTGCCATTTGCGCTGTCCGACGCATATGCATGCTCATGGTGTACCCAACGCCCAACGCCACGTTCCTGGGCCCTCACCCTCGCATAGCGTGGTACGAGTTTTGCCGTCTCTTGCCATCTGCGGTGTATGTCCTCATTCTCGTCCGTCGCGCAGTACCCAAATGGCCTCTCCCCAATCGACTTCCATATCTCCTCCCCGAACACCGGCTGGTTTCGCGCGTCCTTGATCATGGTCAACGATGGGAACCACGCGGAGAGTATCGATGCGAGCCGTACATGGTCACCGAACGGCGACCAGCCTACAGCAAGGCTCCGAAGAGAGCACAGAGATTCTTGGGAAGCAAGCCGATCGAGGGCACGACGCAGTTCTGACGTGGATGGTAATGCCGTGAGGTCGAGTGCCAGCCCAAGAGAACGCAGGTGGTGGCACCGCTCGGCGATGCAGAGCAGACCGGTCATCGTCGCCGGCGGCCACGCAGGGTTGTGCAGGCGGATTACAAGCGCATCCTTAGAGCGGCGTGCTGGCTCGAGGTATAGCGCGGTGATCCCTGGCCATGCGCGGGAGACGTCGTCGAGGGCCGCGTCGTCCAGTATCACGTGGCAGTGTCCGCGGATAGACAGAGCTTGGAGGGCGGAGAGGGCGAAGAGCGGGGCGAGCTCCGCGCGGAGGAATATGGGGACCGCTTCATTTAGCGGCTCATTCGAGAGTTGGCCTAGTTGCAGATCGATGGTGGTCATACGCTCGCGCGCGAAGGGACGTGATGCGAGCTCTTGGGCGAAGGACTTGAACAGGATGTCATACACGAGATCCTCGACTTGGACAACAATCTCTTCGAGGAACTGGAATGCGAAGGCTCGCAGGAGCGCAATGACGCACTCTAATGAGCCTGACCGGATAGATAGACAGTCGAGGAGCACACATGCGGTAGCGCATGCGGTATTGGTAGGAAGGCAGCCCCAGTCATAGTCGCGCAACCGGATTTATATTTCCGCATCTTGGAGAGAGGCAATGGAAGCCAGGTGCGAGAGCGCAGAGGGGAGGAGAGGTATCTCGGGCACCGAGAGCGCAGTGAGACTCCTGAACGCGGCGCTCGCGGTTGCAAGTGGAATGGATAGATGGTCCAGATCGATATCCCTGTAATACCCCTGTTCGCGTCCGTCGGCCTGCACCGTCAGCACCGTTAGTGATGGTGCGAAAGTGAGCCGCCCGATGATACGAGTGCTGACTTCTTTGACCGTCTTGTAAGGCTTCGAGCGGCGTTTGTGCACGATGGGTGGTAGTTCCTGGACGGCGGCTCGGACCAAGTGGACTTTCTGAACACTGGGACCGAAGGCCAGAAAGACAGGATAGCGGCGGACCGAAAACCTGTGACCATTGCCGTAGATGACCGACCGCAGCTGCGGAAACGCTATTTCACTTTGGTGCTGCTCGAGCTGATCCCAAACGTTCTGCAGAACACCTGTCGTCGTTAAGGCATCACGCTGTTCGTGTGTCTCGTCGATTTCGACCACCCGAACAGCGTAGGCTTGAAAGCGGTCGAAATCCGCAGGGGTTGCATTTCGAGTAAACTCCTTCAGAGTTCACGTGGGCAATCTGCTGGGATTCGGAGGTCGAGTTTGATGGCGACTCACAACTTCTGGCCAAGGTTTTGAAGTAGCAGGGTGCATGTATGTTTGGATAGAGCAAAGATCGGAGGGAAAGGTGTACAAGAGCGGCACCAAAGACGGAACAGTATGCCATAGCGCGTCGAGAGCCGTGTCGTGGAACAGTCGACATGTTTTTGCGAGACGTGCAAGGGATTTAGACGCACATAGAAGTCGCAAATGAGTGCATATGAGCGCGATATGTCCCGGCGAGAGCATATAGATGGTGGTCACAGCCAAGTGTCTGTCGTCCAGCCTTGGATGTGCTTTGCGGTAGACGGTGGGCGCGACGACCGACTGTTGTACGTCCAGTAACTCCATTTCTGGGGACGCTTCAAGCATTTTAAAGTGTTCAGATGAGTCCTCTGGTGAAAGGTTGGGGGTGTCAGACTGCCTTGCGCTAAACATGAGGCCAGCACGGGAGTTACCGCCGGTGAAGGCAACCTTGCACGCTCACACAGGCGGTCGTGTTCATGATCTGTGTACCTGCCTGCCGAGTTACAGCCTCCTCTCACAAGAGGTAGCCTCCATGGAGAGAGAAGCAAAGATGCTGCCAGAGACTCGAGCCTGAGGCCAGAGTGAACGAGAGTAAGAGAGAGAGCGAAGGGGAGCAAGTAGCCGTGCCGGGCCTCCCCGGCACGTCGGCCCGATATCCCCGGAGACTCCTCCCAGCTTGCATTCGTATCCAGGCTTTTTCTCGACGTCCATCTCGGCGGCACTTCACGACCACTCTCTGTCTCTTTTCTCTGAACGACCCCTCATGTATCATCGAACGCGATATACATCGAACTTCTAATCTGTGCATTTGAGCTGTGCCACCTCAGGCTTCGCGTTGACGGTGCAGAGCCCCGGTAGCTGTGTCACACGAAAGTACAGCTGAATCAGACAACTCGGGCCCTCAACACCTCAACGCCAGTGGTCTGCTCACCTTGCTTTCAGCTGCCATCGCTATACATAACTCGTCTCCAGCCCCGTTTATCTAGTGAATTCACTCGTTTCACAGGCGTCACCGCGCAAGTCGACGATTTTGGTGACGCCGTGTCAAGACAGGTGGGTGGTCTATAGTACATGTTGACGCACATTTTGTGTTCTGATATGCGTTTGCATCAGCGATGGGCTGCGCTCGAACCCAGCGAGAGGTCGCCAGCGTTTTCAAGGTCATCACCACGGCCACCGCGGCTGATAGCGGTAAGTATCTGCGGTACACGGCCAGACGATCCCATGGTACGGCATTCGGCTGGAATCGAATGTTGTGGTGAGCGATGGCAGTATCTCTGTCCCTGCGGTTTTTTTATTTCGGGTATGCAACACGATGCTTTTTGATTCTGCGCCTTTCTCCCCCAACAACCGAGTCGACACTAAAGTAATGATTGAGGTATACGATCGTGGGGTAGGGGACGTAACTCAGATATAAGCTGCCATTTGTAAGAGCACGAACCTTGCATTAAATTCGCCAGAAATGTAACTAATTATCGCGTATGCTTGTCTCTAGGAGTCTATATCGATACTGCCAGCCCGGCACTGTGTGCTGTCTAAACCGTGGCGCGGCATCTAGCTGCCCTTCTGAACGATCGTGGCTCATATTAATCGAAGCAGGCTCCGGATCGCGCGAAGGGCAACTAGACATCGCATTATGATTATCGCAATACCTCTTCGGCCTGCACGATGACGAGTGTCAAGACTCTAGCACTCGAAGCAGCAACTGGTGCACTTGTTCTGATACATATGCCGGGTACGTTGCGATGATTCCCCCCTCATCGGCGCCCTCGTGACGCGCCGCCGTCATACAACGGCTGGTAGGTTCGCTAGCGATAATTGGCGAGAGAAGCCTGTAGGAAGTGCATAAAATGCGCGTACAAGGGGCTTTCTGCATACCCGACCCAGCAACGCACGCCATGTCGTCCGCAGCTCGTCCAACTACCTGGCTTGTTACTGGGTCAGTACACGCCGGTTTTGTTTCTCTGTAGATGTCACACTGACCGCTCCGCCGCGCGCTAGTGCCAATCGCGGCATCGGGTTTGAGCTCGTGAGACAGCTGCTCGACTCCCCGAGCAACCTGGTCATTGCGACGTGCCGCAACCTGGACAAGGCGAACGCGCTGAGTGACCTGAACAAGACCGCCAAAGGAACGCTACACATAATCCAGCTCGACGTCACCGACTTCGCGAATATCCGTGCGTCCGCGAAGGAAGTCGAGATGATTCTCGGTGATATCGTCCTTGACTGTCTCGTCAACAACGCTGCCATCGTACGTACTATTCACGATGGTGTTGCTGCTCTCCGTGGAGTCAAATGATCCATGCTCACCTCGTCGTCGTTCGATCTAGATCGCATACGACTCCGTATTCGACATGGACGCAGAGAAACTTGCCGATATCCTGCGTACAAATACGGTTAGCCCGGCCCTAATCTCGCAGGTGTACCTGCCGCTCCTGGAGAAGGGGCGTGCGAAGAAGATCCTGCATATCTCAAGCTCGGCAGGGAGCATCGCGGAGTTCGAAGGGCTGATTGCGGAGGAGCACCGGAAGCTGGGAGCGTACGCGCTGAGCAAGATCGCGCTCAACATGCTGGTACGCCCATGGCGTCTCTATCAACGATCCTCGTCGTGCGCATTCTGACATTCGACATGCATTTTCAGGCTTATAAACAGAAGGTCGCGCGCCCTGACCTCATCGTCATCGCGCTTTGCCCTGGATGGGTCAAGACAGGTAAGTCTTTCACCCATGTGTGGTTCCCTCCGCCGATCGCTGACGGTTTGTTCTTCTTCCTGTAGATATGGGCGGCGAGAAGGGCCTGCTCCAGCCGGAAGAGAGCATCGCCGGTATCATCAAAGTCGTCACCAATGCGACTTCCGCCGACAGTGGCAAATTCCTGCGGTACAACGGAGAGGAGATCCCGTGGTAGGCTCGGCTCGGTCTCTTCGCAAGCTGAAAATACTTGTCTGTACACGCGTGAATATTTGAAGACTTGTTCTCGGCCACAAGCAGACGTCCGCTTATCCATCAGCTCCTCCGGCGTTGGGCAAAATTAACATGAACGGCCAGGTTTCTACGATCGGCTCTGGCACACTGAGCTGCACGGGTTCGCGTAACACTGCCAACCTGTATCGATGGCGGCGCCCATCTCTCTGAGGCAGCAAGCCCCGGATCACCACCCTCCTACCAGCGCCACCCTAGAATGCGAATGCCGACTTCAACCTCTAACCCCTCCGTCTGTTCAAAATGGTACGTTTTCACTCGCCACATCCCTTCTGCACGCCTAGACACCGCGCAACAGCCCGTTCTCGCAGCCCACTGATGCACTGGTCGCAGATTGTCAATGACGCCGGGTTCACCTTTGAGGCCGAGATACTCCTGAGCATCCTGGAGACGAACACGATCGGAACCGCACTCATCTCGCAGGTCCGCGCAGAAAATCCTGCATGTATCCAGCCTTGGGAGCAGCATCGCGGGCGTGGGCACCATTGCGGGCTTCGGCCCGACGGTTGTGTCGTACGGGATGAGCAAAACTATCCTGAACATTCTAGTATGCACTTGACTTAGTGTGAGCTAGACAGACGCAGTTCGCTGATTATATGCGCGTGCAACGGCGGGCTCTTCAGGCGTACGAGCAGAAGCCAGAGCGTCCGGATCTTATCGTCATGCTCAGGTCAAGACAGGTGCGCGGTCTATAGTACACGTTGGCGCAAACTTCATGTTCTGATCTGCGTTTAGATTAGCGATGGCGACGACAAAATTGCGCTCGAACCGAGCGAGAGCGTCGCCGGCGTTGTTCTGGTCATCACCAGGGTCACCGCGTGCGATAGCGGAAAGTATTTACGGTACAAGGCCGAGACGATTCCGTGGTAGGTTCCTGTTCAGGTACATTGTATGGGTATGACGAAGGCTGCATGCTGACGAGTTTTTGTATATGCTCAGAACGTGCAACGCGATGCATTCTATGCGCATGTTTCGAATCAGGTATCCTTGCTGATGTCGTTTAGCTCCGGCTACGTATGTGCATATGCTCAGGAGCGGCCTTGTCGAGCTCACATGTCCGCCTTGCTGTTCGCTAGACGTCCTCGACGCGTGCACGGAGGAACACGTTGGCGCACATGCGGCCTGATCATCCGGGATCGCGTTATAATACCCACGAAGCAAACACAGAGGCGGCTCGTTGTCAACGTACACAAGCGAACAACAAAGGTACGAAAATTCGGCTTTCTCACTGTATCGGTCACTAAAATTCAAGCAGGATTGAAGCACCTGGACGTCGGGAGATGCTTGCACGTTTGCAGTTGGTCTTTGGAGCAAATGCGATTACGCACCTCCTACGGATACCAGATTGCTTTCAGCCGGCATATGAAGGCATCCGGAGACATATCAACACGTTTAGGATTTGCTCCTCGGATCTATGGTTGCCTTCGCTTCTCATCTGAGAAGCAGATTAGTTGTTGCGCATAGCTCTTCGCTGGAACTCGCATCAGAAACAGCTCGTTTCGTTTGTACCACCAGGACTTCGAACGCCGAATGCCAAGTCTTGGTGGGCAGGAACCTCTCTCCTACACGCTTCGTGGCGCAGATGATCGTGGGGAGCCCCGGAAGACGCATATAATGCTCGCGCGCCCAGCGGCTCCTTTCCCATACCCCCATACCACACACGATATGTTGCTCATAGCTCGCCCAACCTCCTGGCTCGTTACTGGGTGAGTACATGCTGCTCACTTGGAGCGCTACTGTTTGATAACCTCGACGCTGAATACCTCTACAGCGCCAACCGTGGCATAGGCTTCGAACTCGTGAAGCAGCTGCTCGACTCTCCGGACAATCTAGTCATTGCGACATGCCGTAATCCTGACAAGGCGACCGCGCTGAGTGACCTGAAGAATACCGCTAAAGGAACGCTGCACATTATCCAACTCGACGTCACCGACTTCGCCAACGTCCGCGCATCGACGACGGAGGTCGAGGCAATTATCGGCGATATCGGCCTTGACTGCCTCGTCAACAACGCTGCCATCGTACGTGCAATTCTCATGCCTGACGCGACGACGATTGACCCATGCTTGTTCCATCTTCTTGCGCAGGTTGTCTGGGACTCTGTGTTCGACATGGACCCAGAGAAACTCGTCGACATCCTGCGTACGAATACCGTCGGCCCGGCGCTCATCTCACAGGTGTACCTGCCGCTCCTCGAAAAGGGACGCGCGAAGAAGATTCTGCACATCTCGAGCACGGGTGGGAGCTTTGCGGAGTTCGAAGGGTTGATAGCGGAGGAGCACAGGAAGTTGGGAGCGTATGCGCTGAGCAAGGCCGCGCTCAATATGCTGGTACGCACACCTAGTATATACTGGTTTCTGTTGCGGGCTGACCATTCTGGGCGCGTTTTGAGGCTTATAAGCAGAAGGTCGCGCGTCCTGATCTCATCGTTATCGCACTTTGCCCTGGGTGGGTCAAGACTGGTGAGTCTTCCACGCAAGCCTTGTCTTTTCTGCTCATCGCTGATGGCTCGTTCTTCCTGCAGATATGGGCGGCGAGAAGGGCCTGCTTCAGCCGGAGGAGAGCATCGCCGGCATCATCAAAGTCATCACCAATGCGACTTCCGCCGACAGCGGCAAGTTCCTGCGGTACAACGGAGAGGAGATTCCGTGGTAGGCTCAGGCTTGGCGAGCACAGTTGATGAATGCGAATGTCAGTACACGCATGTATGTCTACAGATACTCAAATCCTGGCCCAGATGGTCGGCCGACTTGTAACATGGCGACGCGGTCAGGCTTCTCCTCTCGACTGGGTTGATGCTAGAGCACAGAGGTATACGGGTTCGTGTAACATCCGTCACTCATATCGATGGCCGTGCCCTTCCCTCGGAGGCAGATCAAGCTCTGGATCAGCACCGCTCCGCTAGCGCCACCCTAGAATACGAATTCCGAACTGGAGTCGGATCAGGATGGCGCAAATCAAGCACCCTGAGATGTTTCCTTTGTTTCGTCATCTATGAAGGAGACGACTGGTCAGACTATTCTAGACCACATCCACCGCAAGTACTTGGCACCTCACACCTCAAGGGCCATATCAAAACAGCCTGTTCTGACTGGTACGTCGTCGATTACCACATCCCTTTCGCGCCCCTGGACAGCGAGACCTGCTGTTCTCGTGGGTCACAGCACTGATCGGTGCCCCATATAAACCATAACAGAGCGACCGAGGCGCGTTACAGTATCCCTACTACAGTAGACTCACTTTCAACACCCGCGTCCTCTCGCAGCGCCAACCGCGGCATCGGCTTCGAGCTCGTGAAGCAATTACTCACATCTCCCACTAACCTCGTCGTCGGAGTGTGTCGCGATCCCGAGCACGCGACGGCGCTAGCCGACTTGAAGCAGACCACACAGGGCACACTGCACGTTATCCCGCTGGATATCGCTGACTTCGACAGCGTGCGCGCGTCCGCGACGCAGCTCGAGCGGATCCTCGGGGACACCGATCTGGACTACCTGATCAACAACGCGGCCATTGTACGTCTCGCGCCTTGACATCCTCTCGCAGCGCCCTACTAATTAACTTCTGTCCCTACTCCCTACCCCGACGCGACGCGACGCGGGTGCAGTTCACGTATGACACGGCGTTCACAAGCGACCCAGACACGCTCCTGTGCCTTCTTCGCACGAACGTGGCCGGACCGGCGCTCGTCGCGCAAGTATGCCTGCCGCTGCTCGAGCGCGGGCACGCGAAAATGCTCGTGAACGTGTCGAGCACATCTGGGAGTATCGGGAGCGTGAAGCATATCGAGAAGGAGGAGCATCGCGTCGGGGGCGCCGCGTACTCGATCAGCAAGGCCGCATTGAACATGCTGGTATGTGCGTGTGCTTCGCGGTCCGGTAGATGTTCTTACTGACGGTTGCGCGCATGCCTTCGGTTATACTTTTGTAGACGTATAAGCAGAAAGTCGAGCGGCCGGACCTGATCGTGCTCGCGCTGTGTCCGGGGTGGGTGAAGACAGGTGAGTGCTTCATTCGACGTGAGGGCCTGTCTGCTTTGATGCAGCGTTGACGTGGCCGTGGACGCGACCGCACAGACATGGGAGGCCAGCAGGCGGCCCTCGAGCCCGAGGAGAGTGTCGCTGGCATACTGAAGGTCGTCACTTCGGCGACGCCTGCGGATAGCGGCAAGTTCTTGAGCTTCAGCGGTGCGGAGGTTCCGTGGTGAAGTCGTTCGGCGACGCGAAATGAGTGTAACGGTAACCTACAGCCGTGTATTCGTGTATCGACTCGCATGCGGTGTCTTAGCAAGGTTGGCTGCACCTGCTGACAGTACACATGTCCTTGAGGCTTGGCTACCGGCCGTTTGGCGCGTAAGCCTACGCGCGTACTCGTACCCTCCGGACGTTCCGGCTTCTGAACCTGCCATCTCGCTCCCGAGCGACGGACGTCGTAGGACATGTAGAACATCCTCGCACCATCCCATACATATGGCGCAATCCCTCGATGTCGGTGAGTGTACGTGGTTCGTATGTGCTAGCTCCGCATACAACACCCACTTCTCGCGTGCTTATAGGCCGATCGTGCCGGCGATCGATCGTCCTTACTCAACATTAGCAATCCGCCGCCGCCGCCTGTCACTGTGCAACCGAGCGTACGCGCGGCCGCTCCCAGGAGGTTCGAGTGACGGGATGGGCTCTTCGGCGGCGGGTGTATAAAGCTCGGCGACGGGGAGGCGGGTGGGTAAGTACTCTCGGACACGAACATCCCTTTCAGAACATCTCGCATCCCTTGCAGAACATACCAAACATGTCTTCTACCACTCGTCAGACTACGTGGCTCATTACCGGGTACGTGCTCTCTCGTACTTCCTCGTAGTGAAGTCGCTCACACGGGGATGTTCGTTTTCATAGAGCCTCCCGCGGAATTGGCCTCGAGCTCACCCGCCAACTGCTTGAGTCCCCCAACAACCTGGTGATCGCCGCATGCCGCACCCCCGAGAAGGCGACCGCGCTCAGCGCGCTGAAGAGCAGCGCGAAAGGCACGCTGCACGTCGTCAAGCTGCAGGTGGACGAGTTCGACAGCATCCGCGCGCTCCCGAAGGCTATCGCGCCCATCCTCGGCGACGGCGGGCTCGACTACCTCATCAACAACGCCGGCATCGTGCGTGCCCCACCCCGTCTCATCTCCTGCGACCCCAACTGAGCCTATTTATGTTTGCAGCTGAAGGACGACACGCCGCTGACGCTGGACCCGGAGGTGCTGCTCGAGACGCTGCGGACGAACACCGTCGGCCCGGCGCTGGTGACGCAGGTGGCGGTGCCGTTCCTCGAGAAGGGCGCGACGAAGAAGGTGCTGAACATCTCGAGCACGCTGGGGAGCATCGCGAGCGCGGAGACGTTCGGGAAGGGCACTGTGACGTCGTACTCGATCAGCAAGGCTGCGTTGAACATGCTTGTGCGTACCCTGCGCGTGTCGTGGGTGTTTGTGTTGCTGACCAGGGGGGCGGGTGGTGTAGACGTACAAGCTGAAGCAGGAACGGCCGGATTTTATCGCGATCACGTTGTGCCCGGGTTGGGTTAAAACAGGTGAGTTTTTTGGGTCGGTGTATGCGCAGGGATGGTGTGCTTACGAGGATGTGTACCAGACATGGGCACGCAGGCGGCCCAACTCGAGCCCGCGGAGAGCGTCGCCGGCATCCTGAAGGTGATCACGGGTGCGACCGCGGCAGACAGCGGGAAGTATTTGAGCCATAGCGGCGCGGTCATCCCGTGGTAAGGAGTGTTAAAGCGCGTGGACGCTGTTGGCTGTGTGTGTATTCGTGTAGCAATGTATTTCAGTGTATTACCCCATGGGGTTCTGGCAGGATTCGATTGGCACTGCCATGGTGGGTTGTCGGTGCATTCTGACTCTAAGTTCAATGTCAGCGACGATCATGATCAGCGTGCTAGCAGTACGTACTAGTTAGTATATGGTCCCTCTGGGGCTCTCGAGAACCTGCACAGTCTCCATTGAGCCCTTGCAGCACCTAGCGAGCCGTTCGAGGAGTATGATGTCGCTGATATCTCCATGAACGGACTCTACCAGCACGACACCCAGGCCTGCCATCACGGTTGCAGTACTAGTGTTTCACAGCTTGAAGGAACAGTGCATAATGGCGAACCACCTTGAGATGCTTGTAGTAAGTGATATACAGGCAGAGATACTCAGATAGCCAGTTCGTATGTCGTTCGGAGACAGCCCAGGCGGACCTCAGCGCAAGGAAAGAACAGAGCAGGGACTGAGCGCGAGTGAGAGAAGGCTCTAAGCGCCGAAGAGCCTCGTGTTAGTGGCCCCGGCGGATCGGCCCGACTTGGCCGCTCCTCTCATTGGCTGGCTCCTCCCTGGCCTCGTGAGCGTGAACGCGACGCTCTTCTTGCCTGTACCATCAGCTAGCGCCTTCAAAACCAAACCGGTATCGGTGACTGGATCAAAGTCTGTTGCAGTATGCTGTCTGGGAAACCCACTACGCAAAAGCTGCGCCCGACGGCATCGGGACTCGGGAAACTGGTCGACACGACGTTGCGCGTCTGCTGGCCCTGCTCGCTCTCGTCGAACTACCTTCTATCTGTATCTAGTTTGCCCAACCCGCTCTGGATGCTCTCTCCTTGCACTGCTTCCGCTCCGCTCCACCGCAGACACTCTCTGCTCCCGTCGCTGGATTGGACCACTCTGCATCACCCCGGGAGCCTAGAGACCACGACGTCCCAGGGGTACAAAGAACAGAGCAATATGAATTTGTGCTGCCTTTTGTACCTCTTGTGCGCCATTCGCGTCTCATGGGCATTGGCGTAGGTGCTTGGATCTGGTGCGGATGGATGCGAGGGGCATGCATACTTAGGTCCTCGGTAAGTTCAGCGATCTCTAACAGCACACTGGCTTGCAGGTCGCGTACCCGCCATCCGCGCCCGTCTACGAGGAGTACTACGTTCTCACCCTCTTCCTACTGCGCTCTCTCCTGTTGCGATCGAAATCGGTGAACATCTCGGGCTTAAAACGAAGGATAGCGGCCAATGTGGTGATCCACTTCGCACCATTCCGGTTGCATCTGGCTCGCCCGGATATGTTGTAGTGATGCCCAAAGTACGTAGTACCTACACTCCATCTGACGAATCACCGACCGGAATTGATCACATCACCTGCCTCCTACTCGCAGGTGCTTCTCGTGCTCATAGGCCGCAGCCCGCAGCCTGCTTGTACGGCAACACCGGCCTTCGAAACGTGCCACGCAGGCCACCTTCACCGATCCACACCCCAGAGCATCCGATGAGAACCCGGTTTCCGAGTCAGAGTAACCGTCGCGGCCTGCCGATCGGCGCTGCATAGTCGTACATCGACGACACTTTGACGAGCGACCGTACGTACAAGCTATACAACGGCGAGCATGCATACTTCCACGTACCTATGGACGAGAGCTCTTTATATGGCGCTGCACACCGCTTGTCACCCCCGACGACGGAATTCACTTCTCGGGATATGACTGGCCGCAGTGTACAACGCGGCAGTGCTGACTCATCGCTCCAAGGAACATACGTCGAACCCCGCCTGGACCGGATATTCGACCGGACCCACTTGCCTGGCCAACATACAGCCTCGTCGCCTCCGAGTCGATATCATTCGACACTTGCCTTGAACTTCCGGCTTAGGCCAACCCGCGTACCCCTTTCTCTGCCAGTCTTTGGTCATAGGTCCTAGCGACGCTCCTGCGACGACAGACCCAACTTGCATCCTACACCAGCAGATACTACAGGAAACGCGCACGACAGTACTCTCGTTCTCGGATATGCGCCGCGTGGACCCATGTCCCCTACACTCTACAAACCCGGTGCGCTCTCAGGCACACATTGCTAAGCATACGACGACGCGTCGATCTACGTATTGCGGCCACCGCTTAGCAATAGCGATATCCCTCGGTGCCTCACCCCTCCCATGTCCCGGTAACCTAGACTGTCCCACGGGATGTCTATAAATTAAGCATCGGTCGCGCCGCTGACATCTTTGCATCACCCGTTCCCCTCACCTCGGAAGCAATCGAACACGCATCATGTCCCCAACTACCTGGCTCGTTACCGGGTGCGTCCTCCGTTCATTTTCCCCCGCGCAAAGAGCAGCCACTGATCATCCCCGCCCTCAGCGCGAACCGCGGCATCGGTCTCGAGATCGTGAGGCAGCTCGTTGCAGTCCCGTCCAACGTTGTCGTCGCCGCGTGCCGCAACCCCGACAAGGCGGCGGCACTCGCGGAGCTGAAGAGCAGCGCGAAAGGCAAGCTGCATCTCGTGCAGCTCGACGTCTCCGACTTTGCAAACGTCCGTGCGCTTCCTGCGAAGCTCGAACCCATCCTCGGGTTCACCGGGCTCGACTACCTCATCAGCAACGCTGGGATCGTACGTCCGCTCCGCTCTCCCTCTATCACACAAACAGAGACTGACCTCGCGCGATAGGCGATCATCGACTCCGCGTTCACGCTCGACCCGGACGCGTTCCTAAAGACCGTGAGCACGAACGCCGCGGGCCCCGCGCTCCTCTCGCAGGTGCTGCTGCCGCTGCTCGAGAAGGCCCCGACGAAGAAGATCCTGCACGTGTCGAGCACGTCGGGCAGCATCGGGAGCGTCGCGGGCATGGCGAACCGCACGCATCAGCTCGTTGCGTCGTATGCGATGAGCAAGGCCGCGCTGAACATGCTTGTACGTGCTCCCGGTTTTGTAGGCGAGTGTAGAAGGGAGAGTGGGGCGCTGATGGGGCGTACCGATAGGCGTATAAGCAGAAGGTGGAGAAGCCGGACTTCACGGTCATCACGCTGTGCCCCGGATGGGTCCAGACAGGTGCGTGCTGCATGGGAACTGCAACATGGGGCGATGCATCGAGCTGACACGGACGGGTTTAACAGATATGGGTGGGGAGAACGCGGTGTTGAAGCCCGAGGAGAGCGTCGCGGGGATCATCAAGGTGATCACGAACGCGACGACGGCGGACAGCGGGAAGTACCTGCGTCAGACGGGAGAGGAGATCCCGTGGTAGAGTACGTTCGCGATTCTGGTTGTAGCAATTTAATGGTAGGAAGCTTGTATCACTGTGCCTTCCTCCAGGCAGCGCGGAGGTGGAAGGAGCTTTGTATCTTGACTCGTACTCGTCGGCGGCTTTCTGTGTCTCACTTATGTGTACGCGAGGTTCTTCCGGACACTCTCCTTGCTCATCCACCGCCTCCGCCCGCGCTCGACTGCCTTGCATTGGAGACCTTGGAGGAGACCGCGACGAACATGAGGTACAATTAGCATAACATACAGATTCTGCTTTGTTGTGCTAGTTGTACCTCTCGTACGTCATCCATATCTCGCGGAAATGCATAGGTAGTGCACAGATGAGCGCGATGATGGGCGGTATATATGCTTTTGTAGGCTCAAACACCCTGGAACCCGATGTGTTTGCATCTGGGTGGAGTACTGTATCTCTTTGCTGATATTACGGGGGCGCCCTCACCTTTTCGCTATTTAAACGGGCGGACGTCGGATCAAGTTCTGAGCTCCGGCCCGTGTAGACTAGCCGGGAGGTGGTCGGAGTGAGCTTGTGTACCGAAAACAGCTGCATTTCGCGCATGTCAACTTAACATCCGTGTATGGGCCTGTCAGCCGAAGTATTCTGGGGCATACGCGGAACCCGCTGCAAGCCTGCAACGTTCACATATATATCTCGGCGGCTCCCCCGGGGCAGTGTATGGCGCAGTTTGCCGTTGTTGGGACGTAGGTGCGCAGCCACGACGGCTCGGAGGGCCAGCTATTTGCTAACTCCGCGCCCCGCAGCGCTAACTGCTACTCCTACGCCTGTGGGTCGCTATCTCCTACGAGCCGTCCGAAGAACGAGTCTTCCTATGCGATGTGCGATGAGTTGTACGTGCGGCTGCTCGAGATGCGAACTTGAGGAGGAGGGCTTCGTGGGCCGCAGTGAGGGCACTTAGTATAAAGGGCGAGGCGTGCACGAGGGGAAGGCCAAGAACTTGAAGCCCTCGACACAGATACAGCAATCCTCTTCGAACCGCGAACATACCCAGCTTGAACATGTCGTCTACTACTGCTGCTGCTGCTCGTCAGACCACCTGGCTCATCACCGGGTACGCCTCCCTGCCCTCCCTCCCTCCCTCCCTCCCACAAACTGCCGCTCACACCCCTCCCTCCGCAGAGCCTCGCGCGGGATCGGCCTCGAGCTCGTCCGGCAGCTCCTCGCCGCCCCCTCCAACCTCGTCATCGCCGCGTGCCGCGCCCCCTCCACGGCGTCCGCGCTCGCAGACCTGAAGGCGGGCGCGAAGGGCGCGCTGCACGTCGTGCAGCTCGACGTGGCGGACTTCGCGGGCATCCGCGCGCTGCCTGGGGTTATTGCGCCGATCCTTGCAGGGCGGGGGCTCGATTACCTGGTTAACAACGCGGGCATCGTGCGTACCATCCTCTCTCATCGTCTGCCAGGGGAAAGAAGTGCGCTGACAGCGACGCGGACGGAGCAGCTGAAGGGCGACACCGCGCTGACGCTCGACGCCGCCGTCCTCCTCGAGACGCTGCGCACGAACACCGTCGGGCCCGCGCTGCTCACGGCCGCGTGCGCGCCGCTGCTCGACGCCGGGGGCAGGAAGACGGTGCTGAACGTGAGCAGCGGGCTGGGGAGCATTGCGGGCGCGGGCGGGTTCCCGGGGACGGGCCCGCGCGCGGTCGCGAGCTACTCGATGAGCAAGGCGGCGCTGAATATGTTTGTGAGTGGGTTTTCGTTTACGGGAGGGGGTGAGGGGAGAGACAGGGTGCTGATGGGATATGGGGTGGGGTGGTAGACGTATAAGCTGAAGATGGAGAAGCCGGAGTGGGTCGCGATCACGCTGGCCCCGGGGTGGGTCAAGACTGGTGCGTGCTTTCTCTTCTCCTCTTCCTGCGCACCAGAAAGAGGACCTGCACGCTCACGCGCTGTCTGGCAGATTTGGGCGGGGCGGACGCGGCGCTCGAGGTCGCGGACAGCGTCAGGGGGATCCTGAAAGTGGTCACGGAGGCGACGGTCGCGGATAGCGGGAAGTACCTGCGGTGGGACGGGGCGGTGCTCCCGTGGTGAGCGGCGGTAAGGGCGGGGTGTGGGGTTTCTGGGGAGGCGCGATGTGCGCGTTCGTGTTGAGCGGATGGAGACGGTTGTGTGCGACGAGGGGAGCTGGCTGCATGTTGCGTCAGGAACGCGAGCGTATCGAGAGTGGCGGCGGGGCTTGCCTGTGTGTCGGAGTGCGCTTTGTCGTAGCGGGGTGCCGACGTTGAGCGATACCAGCGCTGATCCTCCTGGAGCGGGATGCAGGAGCCTGGTATGGTAGACGGCAAGTAGAGCAGTGCGTATGTTACCGTAAGGCGAGTGCGGTCGCGGACACGGGAATTTGCGACGCGTAGCCTCGACTGCAGCTGCAGCTGAGAAGACGCCTGCCCCGCCTCTGCCAGTGGCCCATTCCAGACAGTGCAGAGCAACTTGAAGGCCGGGTTAGGGTGCACGCCATCGCCGCGGGTCTTCCACTTTGCAGAACGCGAGCGCGGATCCGGAGCTGGATAGAGCGGTACGCCAACGACCCTTTCTGCGCTGGACGCGAGCTGGTGCAGATCAGCCTCTGGACGAGCGTGTACCGTGTACGCGGGAGTGGAACGTGGGATGCGCCTGAACGACCACCGCTGACATAGAAACGCAGGAAGCAGAAAAGCCCACGCGTACATCCAACCCAGCGGACCCGCGCCTGTACACCCGCGTGCTGCGCTAGACGCGGGGCCCATAGCGCTCGGCGCCCAGCCCCGTCACGTCTAGGGTGTCGAGTGTCGGTCCGTCAGCGCGTGCATGGTGCCGTGCATCGCTGGTGGTGTCGGACGTGGCCGTTCCGCGCGCCGCCAGTGCGTGTCAGCCTGCGCTGCGAGCGTCCATACGGATGGTGACGAGGGGGGCATTAACCCCAGTACGACGTCCAGCGCTCGCCGCAAGTGCAGCTAGGTGAGCTGGAGACGGTCACGCTCGTTTTCCGAGATGATGCTCAGCCTCTTTGTGAGGGACTGTGTCTTAGCTCAAGCGAGGGCCAGCGAGAGCCCCGCGTCGGACGAGTGGTGCTATCCCGGTGTTCTACAGGTCAGCGCGCGCATATAGCGAGGGAATGGCAATAATGAGTGGACTCACAACCGCGATGTGGTCTAGCCGGGACACGTCGAGGGGCCGCACGACACCGCGCGCACCGACGTCGTGCAGCGTGCCCTGGACGGATGCCACACGCCCAGAGACGATTAAGAGTACGCGGGGTACTCGAGCGGCAGCGTCGTGATCTGGACGTCCGTCGCGCAGCAGCGAGGCAGGGGTACACTCGATGACGAATGGAGTGTAGGAGCTGGAACTGGGGGGACGGACTGCCGGTGATACGTGCAGCAAGGACGTCGATTGGTGAGCGGGGACGTACTAGGGTGAAAGGTGAGCCTACCGAGCGTACGCGAGTCGTATCACACGAAGAGGGGGGAGGGGGGCAGCAGTGATTATCATCGTATGCGCGTGCATGAGCTGTCCTGGCGCGGGCGCTGGGAAGGTGTCTGGCGCACGGTGGACGTTACAGTGGCTGCTCAGATAGAGACGTGGGTCGAGACGGAGGGTGCGGCTCGGTGCAGCTCAGACTGTCCTTGGCGTCATCCTTTGGCAATGCACAGTGAGATTAGCATGGACAGGGAAAATGGCGCAAATAATCACTCACCATGTGTCTACAAGACGTCGACCGACTAGGAGAGGCAGTTTACAGAAAGCCCGAGAAAATATGAAGAGGACAAGAAGTGACAAAGCAAAGAGGTCCGCAAGACAGCAACAAATACGTGAGAGGGAAGGGCAGGATAGGCAATGAGGGGGTGCGAACAGGGAAGGCGAGAGAAAGCACGGCAGTCTGAGCACTGTAGATGGACGCGCGCGGGCTTGTAGTGCAGACGTGAGTGCGACAGGCCGACAAGGACAGCCAGTCAGATTGATATTTGACTACTAGACCTTCTCGTACAGCTCTAAGCACGGCTGAGATGAGCGGGAGAGACGCGGGCAGAGGAATCGACGCAGACAAGCTGACCTGGCAGAGCGCTCTCCACCGCTGAGGCCTGAGGGCCGTAGAGTGTATGAGAGGTGCGGTGAAGGCTTTTGCGAGGGAAGCAGCCACGGCGGACAGAGACCGACAGGCGCCCAGCTGTGGCAGCGAAAGGGAACCCTAACCTTGGCGCTGTGGCGATGACGTAGCGCGTTCGGTGCAGCCGGCGCTCGCTCATTCTGTGTTGACCGCCTACAGCGATGCTCTTTGTATGCTCGCGAACGAGTGCTCTACCTCGTGGCGTCCCTGGCCTTGCCCTGCTCTGCTCGGAGGCGAGGCACGCGTCTTCTCAGCTGCTGCCAAGTCTGCGCACTTCCCGCGTTCGCGCCGCGTCCGTCCAACACACGCTCTGCTGTAAGTACTCGCCAGCTACCGTACCACCTCGCTCAACGCTTCTCTACCCGGCCCTATCACGATTCGCGCCCGTGGTCCTCAACGTCGGCACCCCGACGAATAACACGCTGCGATAAAGCGCACTCCGGCACGCAAGCCCTGCGGCCACCCCCGTATGTCCGCGTCTCCTGTGCAAACATGTCGCCAACTCACCTTGGTTCACACAGCTGTCCTGATCGGTAAAACAGAAACGAGAGCGTCTACACATTGCAGCGCTTCGCGCTCCGCCTCTACTGAAAGCCGTCGGAACAGAACCAAAGTACGACTCTGGACATCGTGCGGTAACATGTGTTCAACAGTACCAGGTTCATTGCGGAACACTGTCGTGGACGGAGTCACGCTTCGTCGCGCCCGCGACGTCGTACGCAATCACCAGGGACGGGCCGATGCGCGAGTGAGCATCCTCCTGGCCTATACCGCTGCGCGTGCGCCCTCACGTGCATGCAGCGCGGACGATGAGGAGCTCGACGCGATAGACGAGGTACGGTCGCCTGCACGTGTAGGTGCCCCTCGTCGATCGCAGCGCACGGACGTACGGGCATGGGCTCTACGCCGTACAGTATCGCGGAGCTGGGTTGCATGCACTCGTAAGCATTCCTACCTCCGCGTCCTACGTTGCAAAAAGGCTAGCAAAAAGGCTAAGTCCAGGACATACAGGCTACGACGGCGACACAACTTGAAGCACCCTCCATCGTCCACTTCCGCATGGACGCTCCCCAAACCTATCCCGCCCGACAGGTGTATGCGCACGAAGGAGCGCTCTCTCGTCGCGTCGCATACACTGCTCGGAGCGGGCCAGAGGCGCGGCACGCGTCCGTCCCACACACCTCGCACCACCTCCCCAGCCAGGCCAGGCCAGGACAGCGTATGCACGCATGCGCACATCCGGGAGTCCGTGTCCGCCCCTCGTGTGGCTCGCGTTCTGCACACAGTATCGCGGAGCTGGGTTGGATGTGCTCGCGAATATTCCTGCTTCCTACGTTGCAAAGACGCTGATTCTCAGGACATACAGGCTACGATGGCAAGACATGCACCTCCGCGTGCATTCTCCCTACGCCTATCCCGCCCGACAGCCGTACGCCCACGAAGGACGGCCTAATCTCGTCGCGTCGCATACACTGCTCGGAGCGGGCCAGAGGCGGGGCACGCGTCCGTCCCACACACCTCGCACCACCTCCCCAGCCAGGCCAGGCCAGGACAGCGTATGCACCGTGACGCACATCCGGGCGTCTGTGTCCCCCCCTCTTGTGGCTCGCGTTTTGCACTGGCACCGTAGTACGTCCCCGCTCGTACATCGACGTGGTCTCACACGCAGACTACAGGCCAGGCTCCTGAGCGCACTTGGGAGTGTGTGCATCGGTGCGTGGCGGCGTGCATGCGTTGATGGACCTCCCACAGCTCGCCACTCGGGGTACGAGAGAGCGGTCTGCACCGCGAACGGCGTCTCCCGGCTCCCGGCTCCCGGGCGCGCGTAGGTGCCCCGAGTCGGACACGATGCGCTGGTGCACGCGATCGCGGAGGCTGGGCTGGATACGCGCGTACGAGGCCGTCCTGCGTCCTGCGCAAGGACAACTTGGAGGCGTATTCAGTGGGGAACCTGCTGCGATGGTGAGACAAGCACGGCCCACAGGGCATTTCTGCGTGCATGCATGGTCCCGGGCCCCTGTCCTGCACTCGCTTGCGCTTGCGTGTGGCACAGACTGGGCTGTGGACAGCGCACGCGCCTATGCAGGTCTCTCGCTGGGCACGCCTGCCAGTGCGTCCCGCGGAATCGGGCGCCCGATGGAAACAGTACGCTTGGTAGGCCCGCCCCTTACCCTAGTACGTCCCCGCACCCTGATTGCTGTCCGCGCTGCTGGTGCTGGGTCGCCGAGGCCAGGCGGAATGCGCCCGTGGTTGCTATCGCGGCTGGGGCTGACGTGCACTGGCGGGGCGAGGAAACGCGACGTTCTGTGTCACCATGTGTGTATAGGGCGACGGGCACGCGTCGACGGGGGTGCACAGCTCGACACTCAGTACTCTGAGCTGCAGAGGAGGGCGCGGCGTTCAACGCGAACATCGGCGCCTGCGCATGGATGGACCCCTCGTCGACGGCGAAGGCAGGACACACTAGCAGCGTGCGTACAGGCGCGGGTCTGGGGTCATACAGGAGCGCTGATGTACCCGTAGGTGTTCTTACTACTTGCGTTGCACACAGTCCTCATTTCGGTGCGGGGATGGACAGGCTGGGATATATATCAAGGCGAGCACGGTCTGTCGCATGGTCCATCCGCGTGCGCATGGTCGCGCTGCGCCGCTGTACGGTCTCGTGCATCGCGCTCCGCGAAGTCGGGAGCCCGGTCGAAGACCCGCACACTCAGGCTGGTGGCCCAACACACGTCCTCCCGGTTCTCCCAGGACGTCCACGTCCGCTGTGAACGCACGCCCCGTACTCAGGGCGATCCGTACCAGCGGAGAGCGGTAGTCTGTCGGCCTGCGAACGCTCCCACGCTGCGCGTTATAAGGCCCGCGCCCTCCTCTGCGCGTGTCTCCTCCCCCGCCTCGCACGTATGGCAGATACACCAAACTACACCTGGTTCATCACCGGGTCCGTCCGCCCCCCTCCTTCTCCCTCCGTACCACGGCTCACTGACACCGCTCTGCAGCGCGAACCGCGGCATCGGCCTCGAGCTCACGAAGCAGCTCCTGGAAAGCCCCGCGAACACCGTCCTCGCCGCGTGCCGCAATCCCCCGGAAGCAGACGCGCTCAACGCGCTCGCGGGTAAGGGGCGCGTGCACGTCCTCCCGCTCGAGATCACGGACCGGGAGAGTGTAAGGGACGCGGTGAGGGCCGTGGGCGAGATCGTGGGCGAGCGGGGGCTGGACTATCTCGTGAACAACGCTGCTATCGTGCGTCCCCCTCCCCTCCCTTTCTTGCTTTAGAGTGTGTGGAGCTGACAGAGCCGGCGCACGGCCCGGGGCAGAACGTGGAGGAGTGGGACGCGCCGTCGACCCTCCAGCCGGAGGTGATGCAGGCCGTCTTTGACACGAACGTCGTCGCGCCCGCGTACATCACACAAGCATTCCTCCCGCTCGTGGAGAAGAGTAAGAAGAAGACGGTGGTGAATGTGTCGAGCACGCTGGGGAGCCTGGGCGCGGACGGCTTTGGGACGCGCTCGACGAGCTATGCGATTAGTAAGGCCGCGCTGAACATGGTGGTGCGTCCTTTCTGTTATGTTTGGGTAAGGGAAGGGGGGAGGGCTGATGAGGGGCGAATGGGGAAAAGACGTATAAGCAGCAGAAGGAGCGCCCGGATATCGTGTTCATCTCGATGTGCCCGGGGTGGCTCCGCACGGGTGCGTGTATCTCTCTGTTTGGTGAGCAGTGGGGGACAGATTGGGCTGACGGGGGAGCAGATATGGGCGGGGAGGACGCGCCGAACGACGTGGCGACGGGCGTGGCGGGCGTGTTGAAGACGATCGAGGGGCTCACGCTGGCGGACTCGGGCAAGTTCTTCAATTTTAAGGGGGAGATCGTGCCGTGGTGAGCGCTGGGCTGGGTGTGGTTTATGATGGTAAGTGGCGTCTGAGCTAGTGCTGTTTCGATCGGAATACTGAAGCCTGTGGTGTGACGTCCTAGGCAATCGACGAGGTGTATGCCGCCGGTGGCGATAAGGTGAAGCCATACGATGGAAGCGAAAGCCAGCTTGGGATCTGAGAAGTTCAATATATTTTACAAGGCTCCCAGTACAGGATGCATGCGCCGTCTCAGTCGCCTTACCATGGAACGCTCGCCCCGTCGAAGCGGAGGAACTTGCCGCTATCCTCCTTGATCGCGGTCGTGATCACCTTGAGAATACCAGCGACGCTCTGCTCCGGCGTCAAAACCGCGCCTTCGCCGCCCATGTCTGTGGCGAACAGTCAGCCAGCGCGGCCTAGTGCGAGCATGACATGAGGAACGTACCCGTCTGGACCCACCCCGGGCACAGCGCGATAAATGTGATGTCCGGCCGCTCCACCTTCTGCTTAGCAACCTGCACTCATGCACCTCGTCAGCTCGTCACCCTCATCTCTTAAACGGACACTGTTGGACGTACGAGCATATTCAGTGCAGCCTTGGATATCGGGTACGACGCGAGGCGCGCGAACTCCTGCGGGATCTGCGCGACGCTCCCGATGCTGCCCCCCGTGCTCGAGATGTGCAGCACCTTCTTCGTCGGCGCTGCAAAGAGAAAGGGGAGCACGACTTGCGTGAGGAGTGCGGGCCCCGCGGCGTTCGTGCGTACGAGCGTGAGGAGCGTGTCGGGGTCGAGGGTGAATGCTGTGTCGTCGACCCACTGCGCCGCGAGCGTTCAGTGTTCAGTAAGAGGGTAGGGCAGGGGGCGATGGGAGATGGGAGATGGTGGAGGGGGAGGGGACGTACGATGCCAGCGTTGCTGATGAGGTAGTCGAGCCCTGTGGACCCGAGGATGGGCGCGAGCTGCGCGGGGAGCGCGCGGATGTTGTCGAAGTCGGAGACGTCGAGCTGTACAACGTGCAGCGAGCCCTTTGCGCCTTTCTTGAGGTCCGTGAGCGCGGATGCTTTGTCGGGGGTACGGCAGGCGGCGACGACGAGATTGGACGGGGAGCTCAGGAGCTGGCGGACGAGCTCGAGGCCGATGCCGCGGTTGGCACTGGGGGCGGAGTGGTCAGTAGGCGACAAGGACGTAAGAGTGGGATATGCGTACCCGGTGACGAGCCAGGTGGTCGGACGAGCTGTAGAAGACATGGTGTGTGTTCAACTGTTTCTGAGGTGAAGGGAATGGATGGATGCGAGAACGTTGGTACGACCGAAAGTCAATTTATATATCTCCTACTGTATCGTTTCGCTTGTGAGCATTTGTGAGCAGGAGACTAGCGTTGGGGCGACACACTGGAAGACACATCACCGTGTGTCATGAGTGTGTAATTCAGCGCAGAAGGTATGAGGTGCGACAGTGCTAGCGCGGGCTCCGGTTATCTGAAAAGAGGTGCCTCGGAGGTGGGCATCGCCGGAGTGTGAAGGAAGGAGCAGACAATTGGGCTGTCCAGTACCGCACAGATAATCGCCAGCTTTTGGAGACGCAACCTGACAAAAGCCTGAAAGTATCAGATGATCCTTACACTGAGAATGTTTGGCAGAATACTTCAATTTCTATCCATGAATGTGGAATTGCAGCGTCGAGCTACTGCTACTAGAGTGTTCAAATACGTACAAACGAGGCCTAAGATGCACAGCAGGAGCGAGGCTGATTAAGAAAACCCGCAATGACCGAGGCACCAGTAGCGGGAGAGACGCTGCGATCAGACCCAAGACTTGGCGATTGGTAAGATAGCGGGGAGGGAGCCGTTGCGGAGAGAGAGCACGTATAACCGCGGCGGGGCCGGTGCTTGATGGTCGAGTTGAAGGCGCGCAGGTTCGTTAGCGCCGAATTTGAATGTTCATGGGTTTTACGGCATGTCTGCCTCCCGCGTACTCCTCGACAACACGCCTACGTGGAAAGAACCTATATGAGAAGATGAGGGTGTTTACGAAGAATATTCAAGACTTCTATGGTTTTGACCATCGAAGACTTGCGATTTTGCCAGTTGGAGTCCGAGAGACTCGGACGCACCCCGGCCCCCTACGATCTCGCTCGCGGAGCACACGCGCGACGCGAACGGGGAGCAAGTCACTGAAGTACACCTATTACACACCTTCAAATACACGACTATATGCGCCCAACGCACACTCCTCAGGTCTATCTTACCACGGAATAATCTCCCCGTTGTACCGGATGTACTTCCCGCTGTCCTCCGCGGTCGCGGACGTGATCACCTTCAGGATGCCCGCGACGCTCTCCGCGGGCTCGAGCCGCGCAGCCTGCGTGCCCATATCTAGTACGCGAGGGTGAGCGGTAGGTTTCCGACGCATATAGGCAGGGGCTCACCGGTCTTGACCCACCCTGGGCAGAGCGTGATCGCGATAATGTCGGGGCGCTCCGCTTTCTGCTTGTACGTCTACCCCACCCCAGTCAGCATCGCAAATGCAAACGCACGAAGGGAGCAGAGAGGGACGCACGAGCATGTTCAGCGCAGACTTGCTCATGGAGTACGACGCGCCGCGCGCGCCGAACTCGTCCGCGCTCGCGACGCTCCCGAGTGTGCTCGACACGTGCAGGATCTTCTTCGCGCCGCCTTTTTCGAGGAAGGGGAGGGTGACTTGCGAGACGAGCGCGGGCCCGATCGCGTTCGTGCGGAGGACGGTGAGCATTGATTCGGGATCGAAGGCGAATGCGGTGTCGTGTACGCTCTGCGGGGGCGCGATCAGCACAAAGGACAAGGTATGGAGGAGGGAGGGAGAGGACGCACGATGCCAGCGTTATTGATCAGGTAGTCGAGCCCAATGGACCCGAGGATAGGCTCGAGCTGCGCTGGGAGCGCGCGCACGCTGTCGAAGTCGCTCGTGTCGAGCTGCACGATGTGCAGCGTCCCCTTTGCGCTCTCCTTGAGGGCGCTGAGTGCAGTTGCTTTGTCGGGCGTGCGGCAGGCGGCGACGACGAGGTTGGAGGGGGACTCGAGCAGCTGGCGGACGATCTCGAAGCCGATGCCGCGGGAGGCACTGGGTGGGGCGTGAGCGATGTGGGGAAGGGGAGAGGAGGGGATGACGTACCCGGTGACGAGCCAGGTGGTGGGGCGAGTCGAAGACATGAGAGACGTTGTTCAGTGAAGCTGAGTAGCTGAAGGGAGGTGTTGCTGTCCGCTGTGCTATCGTCACGACCTTTATACGAGAACCATAGAAGGTTCGCGGTGTTACGAAACCTTCTCAGAAGTTAGTTGTACTAGCACACGGGTGTCCACCCGGGCCGGAGATAGCAGCCTCCGTCGCTGCTGGTCAGGGGGTACGCGTTTCGTCATACACCCGTCGTGCGTCCTAGGGAGACCAAGAATGGACTGCGGCTGCGTATCTGTAAGCTGTGCTATGAAAAGCTCAGGAAGGCGGAAGTACTCACACCAGAGCTCCGAGTCGGCGCGTCGAACCGCATACTAGGACGCGTGTACCTTGTTATGGAACAAGATGTGGAAGCTCTGTATAGTTCTGGTCCATACGAGCAGGCTACGTGAGTCGTCCTCTCGAGTGCCACCAGAACGCCACCAAGCGTTACGCGCTGTGTGCAGTAGTCAATCGTATCACCTTCACGCACAAGCCCCAGCGACGCGATTGCGTGCGATGTGCGTAGACGAGCATGACATGCTCACGAGGGGAGGACTGCGAGCGAAAAGGAAGTCTTCTCATCTGATTCTGCTGGAGGATCCACAAGTCGAGTCAGAGCGAGCGTCACGGGAGAACAGCCCCACTCGGAGCCTCGGAGTGGAGATAGAGTGCGCAGGGAACGTAGATATCGTTTACGAGAAGCCGGGAAGCGAAGCGCGGCTGCGTACCCGGGGACGCGCTATCGAAGTCTCTTCGGGGAGATGAACAGTAAAACGCTTACTAGAAATATGCCGTTTGAGAGACGCCGCTCGGGTCCAGCTGTGGGTGTATGCGTGTACAGAAATTTGGCGGAGCATATAGCGAGCAATGGCCCAGACTTCGCAGGGGTTTCGATGCCAGTGTATTCGCAAGTCTCAGAGAGAGTCGATGACGAGACCCGAGAAGCAGAATCACCGAGAAGGCTTAGAGTGTGTTCACCGGTTGTTTGGGGAAGAACTAGAAGCAGCACAGGTCGAAGAAGGCTTTCAAGGGGTTTCTAGCGTGCAGTAGGGTTGTTGCATAGACTTTGCTGAAGAGTCGATAAATTGATGATGGACGAAGAGGGTTAAGAGACGAAGGTGTATAGGCGCCCACGACGTCATCGAGCTCGATTGAGAAGACGATGCTTGAAGAGACACTCGCCGGATCTCCCGGATCCGAGTCTTCAAACCATCCCAGTACGAGTTACAGTAACACAAATTTTCTACCTGCAGAGTCGCAAACAAGTACTCTCTACCACGGGATCTCCTCGCCATTGTGGCGCAGGTACTTCCCGCTGTCCGCCGTCGTCGCGTTCGTGATCACCTTGATGATACCCGCGACGCTCTCCTCCGGCTTCAGCGCGGCCTTCTCTCCGCCCATATCTACAAGGACCGTCAGAGCTGCAGCAGATCGTGTAAGCACGCCGAGTACATACCTGTCTGCACCCACCCAGGGCACAGCGTGATGACCGTGAACTCCGGCTTCTCGGTCTTCTGCTTATACGCCTTTACATACCCCACATCAGCCCCTGCTCCCCTCTATCTGCACACGGAAACACAAGCACTTACGAGCATGTTGAGCGCGGCCTTGCTCATCGCATACGACCCGACCATCTGGTGCTCCTTCACCTGCATGCCCGCGACGCTCCCGATGCTCCCCGCCGTGCTCGACACGTGCAGGATCTTCTTCGTCGGCGCGCGCTCGAGGAAGGGGAGCAGCACCTGCGAGAGCAGCGCGGGGCCCGCGGCGTTCGTGCGCACGACGCGTAGGAACACGTCCGGGTCGAGCGTGAATGCGGAGTCGACGATCGCCTGCGCGTGTCCCTCGGGCGTCAGTAACAAAGGACAGGGATAAAGCGCGGAAGGGGAGGGGAGGGGGGACGTACGATGCCGGCGTTGCTGATGAGGTAGTCGAGCCCGGTGGACCCCAGGATAGGCTCGAGCTGCGCGGGGAGCGCGCGGATGTTGTCGAAGTCGGACACGTCGAGCTGCACGAGGTGCAGCGCGCCCTTCGCGCTGCTCTGCAGCTCCGCGAGTGCGGTGGCTTTCTCGGGCGCGCGGCACGCGGCGACGACGAGGTTGGTGGGGACGGCGAGCAGCTGGCGCACGATCTCGAGGCCGATGCCGCGGTTCGCGCTGCGGGCGGAAGGGCGCGGTTAGTGTGTGAGGAGCTGGGGGAAAGGAAGGGGAACGCACCCGGTAACGAGCCAGGTAGTCGGGGACATGATGTGCGAGATTGGGTCCGAAAGGGAGGAATGAGAAGGCGGAGGATGCGAAGACGTCGGCGCAGCCGAGGCTTATTTTATAGACGTCCTGTGGGAGTGGCTATTGCTATTGCTCAGCGCGGGCCGCGATGTGTAGATCGACGCGGCGTCATATGCTTAGCAATGGGTGCGTGGGAGCGCGCGGGGGATGTATACGTAGTCGGCGGGGCCGCATGCGGGATTATGGTGCGCGTCCAGAGTCCGGGGACGCTGAGGGTCGAGGCGCGTGCGTGGTGTCGGGCGAGCCGCTCTGTTGGATGGGCTACGTTACTTTAGGGTCGCCGGTATCCGGAAACACGAAGCACGAAGGGTGACAGGAATGAGGACGGTATGCGGGTTGACCTGTAGAGGATCCCGAAGCGCGGATTCCGATATCGACCTGGGAAGTGGAGGTCCGGAGGAGGATGCTGTTCGGCTATAGCAGCGAGTGAGTGCGTCCGATCGATTCGATCTAGACGGTGTGCGCCGTGTGTACCTTGAAGCGGTGTGTCAGCACTGCACGTACACGGCCAGTCATTTTCGGGAAAGTGAGTTTGCTTCCGCCGTCCAGAGCGACAGCAAGGGGTACGTAGCGCCGTATACACAAACGCCCTCATCGACTGCGTGCATACTCACAGTTGTACGTACTTCCGTTCGCTCAAGCGTTTTTGTGCATGCCTCGAGCGGCGCCCATCTACACGCCGTATACATTACTCTGACCCGGGAACCAGGTATTCGGATATTCTGGAGTGTAGAGCGGGATCGCCGGCCTGCGCACTCCTTGGCATGACTGGTGCTACAATTCATGCGAATTGCGCAATAGAAGCACCTAGTACCAGGAGGAAGGCAACGTGATCAGGTGCGGTCGGTGATTCGTCAGGAGGGACGGGCGTACTACGTACAAGGACGCTGCAGGATGCTATGTGCGCTGCTATCTCCGCGTCGACGTCGAGCTTGTGGTGTGCGGCAGACGGAGGTACGAGGGCAGCGCAGGTGCGTGTACCGGCAGCGGAGGATGGTCAGGCTGGAGTTTCGCAAGCTGTCAGTGGTGAGCTGCGGCCAAGAGAGCGTATATGCGCGCAAGGGCTCGACGTACCACTCCGTTGTACCCTCTGGTGGCGATGCTGCTGCCGTGCGGAGTCGCATGTTTGTGTAAGCGAAGTTGTGTAGTTCAAGTAGAATCGAGTCGTACGCAGTCCACGTCGGAAGACATCTCTGTGAGGTGGCATGCGCTAGATATGCAAGAGCAAAGAGACGGCCTTTTGGCAGCGAGTGGTAGACAGCAGAGAGAGAGTCGACGGGTTCTTTGCCGCTCTAGGGGAGAGCGGAAGCTCGGGCCGCGGCTCCGGAACGCCAACACGGGGCTCTTTGGCGCTTAAAGTTAGAGCGGTCTCTTGCTTCCTGCGCACGCCATCACTCACTCTGGTCGCGTCCGCGTCGATACAGTCGCTTGTGCTTGAACGGAGTGCGGAATCGAGCTAGATCGTGCGAGGCTGGCTTATACATAGGGCCGCGACTCGATGTCGCCATATCCACCTCTCCGCCGGGATCAAGCGAGGCTACGGCTTTCCACTTCTATGGATCTATAACCAGAAGAATCGCTCCTTTATCCATTCAGAAACGATGGTCAGCCAGGAGCGATAGTCAGGAAGCACGTTCTGGTACATTCTCTCTCGCATTACTCATCTCGCTGCTTCTCGTCTCGCTTGCAGTGCTAGGAGAAACCCATGCAATTGACAAAGCAGGTTTTCCGCGGATACCGTCTCGACGACTTGTCCAAGGCATAGAGCTCGTTCTTTCTGCTACCTCCGCACCTATGAGCCGGTCAGACGCTTAGAAAGCAATCCGTGTACACCACTAGGTAGCTCAATGCTATCTCCGATTTCTACTACGTTCTCGTTGCACGGTGCTGGTCGTCGAAGGACAGCGCAAGTATAAAAACCCCTTGCTCGATGGTAGCTTGAACACAGACAATCCTAACCTGATCGCTCATACACTGACACACAACCCACCATGTCGTCCACAACTACTCAGACCTCTTGGTTCATTACCGGGTGAGTACGCACCTCTATCCTCGTTAATCCAGGCTGACAAATATGACTCGTTTTTCGCAGAACTTCCCGCGGAATCGGCTTGGAACTGGTCAGACAGCTCGTCCAGTCCCCGTCGAACCTCGTTGTCGCGACGTGCCGCAACCCAGAGAAAGCGACCGCGCTCGCCGCCCTGAAGAGCGACGCGAAGGGCACGCTGCACATCATCCCGCTCGACGTGAGCAGCTTCGACGACGTCCGTGCGCTCCCAAAGCAGCTCGAGCCCATCCTTGGGGAGACCGGGCTTGACTACCTCGTCAACAACGCCGCCATGGTATGTTTTCTCCCCTCGCTCGCTTCGCTATCCACTGACCGACCGTCACTTTCTGTGCACCCGCGATCCAGGCGGTTTGGGACACGGCGTTCACCATGGACCCCGACGCGCTCCTGGCCACCATACGCACGAACACCGCCGCGCCCGCGCTCATCTCGCAGGTCGTGCTCCCCTTCCTCGAGCGCGGCCGCGCGAAGAAGATCCTGCATATCACGAGCACGGGCGGGAGCATCGGGAGCGTGGACTCGGACCGGATGCAGGACCAGTACCGGAAGGTCACGTCGTATGCGATGAGCAAGACTGCGTTGAATATGCTTGTGAGCCCGAGTGCGTTTAGGGTGTGGGGCATATATGCTGACTGTGATCGGGTGGGGTGTTGGTGTAGGCGTATAAGCAGAAGGTGGAGCGTCCGGACCTTGTTGTGATCACGATGTGCCCTGGCTGGGTCAAGACGGGTGAGTATTCAGACATTTACAACTGTCCACATCGCTCTCTAACCATACCGTCCACGCGTCTATCAGACATGGGCGGCTCGGACGCTGCTCTCCAGCCTGAGGAGAGTATCAGCGGCATCCTCAAGGTCATAACCTCGGCAACCTCCGCGGACAGTGGGAAGTATTTGTCGTACAATGGGGACGAGATCCCGTGGTAGACCACACTGCATCGAGACACTTCTGACTTTACGAACTCAATACGAGTGCACCTTCGCGTATTCTTCGCTTAACAGAGCACAACGTATTGGAGCCCTGTGTGCATCCACTTCTCGAAGCTCGGCCATGCGCATATGCAATTGAGTCGGTCTACCTTTCGCCGACACAATTCGGACTTAAACGGCCACACCATACTTATCAGCTCCGGCAGCGGCTGTCGAGGGGAGGCTAGATAATCGCAGGCTGTCATTTGTGAGCTGCGGTCAAGCGCGAGAAGAAGTAGACATGGTCAACGTGTACGCGCGTAGGAGTTCAAGGTAGTCAACCTTTGACTCGTCGGCGGCGATGCTGCAGCTGTAGACGGACGGCACATATTCCGTGGCGACGATCAAGCCAGTGGTGTGGTGATTCGGTTGAACATGAGTTGTCCGCAATATGCGCCTTGATTCCTTGCGAAGAAGGGGCGCGCTAGGTATATATGCAAGCGCGAGACGACCTGCTTGTCAACAACACGAGTGATAGAAAGCTGAGAGACCGGTGGGGCCGTGGTCTTTGTCGAGGGGGAGCGGACGCTCGGACCGTGATTCCGGGAAGCCAACACCAGGCTCTTTGGCGCTTAGAGCCTCGTCCTTTCTTCCTACCCTCGCGATCTCGCTCGTCCGAGTCGCCTCTACCGCAAAGCTTGTCTACAGTCGCGCAATCGAACCCCTATGGAGTGTGGGTTTTGAACGCGCACACCAGTCCTGCTAGATTGGGGCTTGAGATTCACCACTCTGCATAGCCACTCTATCTACCTCTGCGCCGTGCCTCGGACATACGACCACACGGATACAGTGAGATCATGGCAGGTATTGGTTCAGAAACGATCAAAAACCTGGGTAAATACTCAAGAGACACAGGCAGTGCTCTGGTACATATATGTTTGCACTATTCATATCTATGTCACTCATTTCTCTTGCAGCGATATACCTAGCGATCGCCACAGCAGGTCTCCCATGGCACTTCGACGGTCACACAAGGCGTAAAGCGCGTTTTCCCTGCTACATCCGACTCCAATCAACCTCATGAACCGGTGACACGGTTAAGAAGCAAGCCGTGTACAACATTAGGGTTTTCGATGCTATCTCCGACTTCTACGCTCTCGCTGCACCGTGCAGAGCAAGTATAAAAACCCTAACTTGACGGTAGCTCAAATTCGCGCAGTTTTAAGCTCTCTCAAGCCTTACACACGATCCACCATGTCATCCACAACCAGTCAGACTTCTTGGTTCATCACTGGGTGAGTACGCGCCCCTCGCCTCATTCTTTCAGGCTCACCAACATGGTTCGCATATCTCCAGAACTTCCCGCGGTATCGGCCTCGAACTTGTCAGACAGCTTGTACAGTTCCCGTCGAACCTCGTCGTCGCGGCGTGCCGTCGCCCTGGTAAGGCGACCGCGCTCGCCGACCTGACAAAGACGGCCAAGGGAACTCTGCATATCATTAAAATTGATGTGAACGACTTCGACGACGTCCGTACGCTCCCCAAGCAGCTCGACCCGATCCTGGGAGAGATTGGGCTCGACTACCTCGTCAACAACGCGGCTACGGTACGTCTACGCGACTGTGACTCATTACGACAGCCCTGACTGACCGGTGACTATGTACGCCCTTACTAGACTGTGTGGGACTCCGCGTTTACGCTCGACCCAGAGACGCTCCTCGACATCTTGCGCACGAACACCGCTGCGCCCGCGCTCGTCTCGCAGGTCGTACTGCCGTTCCTCGAGAAGGGCCGCACGAAGAAGATCGTGCACGTCTCGAGCTACGGCGGGAGCATTGCGAGTGTGAGCTCGGATAGGATGCAGGAGAAGTACCGGAAGGTCACGTCGTACTCGATGAGCAAAACCACGCTCAACATGCTCGTGAGTGCGTGTGCTGTTCGAAGTAGGTGCATATGTGCTGACGATCGTGTAGGCGTATAAGCAGAAGGTCGAGCGGCCTGACTTGATCGTGATCGCAATGTGTCCTGGATGGGTCAAGACGGGTGAGTACTTAGTTACCCGCAGCCGTTCTACACGGTCTCTTTATCCCGTGCATCTATCAGACATGGGTGGAATGGACGCTGCCCTCGAGCCTGAAGAGAGTGTTAGCGGGGTCATCAAGCTCATCACCTCGGTGACGTCTGCGGACAGCGGGAAGTTCCTGTCATACAACGGGGACGAGATCCCGTGGTAGACCATGTAGTATCCTGAAACTGCTGACTTCGCGAACTCAATGCAAGTGAGTCTTCGCATCTTCTTCGCTTGACAGGGTGCCGCACATCCGAGCTTTGCGAGCGTCCATCCACCTCTCGAAGCACAAATGCGCGACGTCGGTCTTCGCTTCGCCAGGGCAATTCGGACTTGGACGACCGCGTCGTACTCAGCAGCTGCCGGCACTTTAGAGCCACGTGCGCCCGGCTCTCATGAGAAGACAGGAGGAAGCTCGAGGGAGGTTCGCCGAGGAGGCGCATCTCTTGCGCGTTCATCCGGCAGCGGCATCGCCACCAATTTTGGCTTCACTTTTTGCGCGTTCTTCCGCACGCCGTCACCGTGGCTCGCCCTACCGCTCCCACACGCATGCGCGAAGCATGCTTACGACCAACCTACGCTCTGCATACCCGGTACGAGGCCGGTGCTATACTTATCATGAGTGCAGATATCGCTACTCAGCAGGTCCTGCCCAACGCGTATGAAACCCGACACTACGAATGGAGCAAACACGCACCTATCAACACCTTCTGGCATGTCGTCGACGGCTTCCACTACGACTTGGCTGGTTACTGGGTGAGCACGAAATCTCTACTAGCGTCCTAAGATCCGCGCCTGACTGATCTCCGTCTCCATCTGTAGGGCCAACCGCGGCATCGGTTTCGAACTCGTCCGACAGCTGCTCTCCTCTCCTGCAAACATCGTTCTTGCAGCAGTTCGCAGTCCCGGGAACGCGACAGCACTCACCGCCCTGGAAGCGGGCGCGAACGGGACTCTGCACGTCCTACAACTCGATGTGAGCGACTTCGATAATGTCCGCGCGCTCCCTGCGCGGCTCGCGCCCATCCTCGGCGACACCGGACTCGACTACCTCATCAACAACGCCGCCACCGTACGCCCTTCTTCTCGTTCATTTTAGTCAAACTTTCATTCGATCGGACCAGACTTGCTACGACACGGCGTACACTATCGAGCCGGAGGCGCTGCTCGCGATCCTGCGCACGAACACTATCGGACCCGCACACCTCTCTCGCGTACTCCTGCCGCTGCTCGAGCGTGGCCGCTCGAAGAAGATCCTGCACATCTCAAGCACGACGGGCAGTATCGCGAGCGGGGGCGCGGACCCGGTTGTCGGCGGGCGGTACACGGCGTATGCGATGAGCAAGGCTGCGTTGAATATGTTTGTGAGTATCGCGATTGCTGAGATTTGTGGTGTTACGGGATTGCTGAGAAGAGCGGGGTATAGACCGCGAAGCAGGCGTTGGATAGGCCGGACATCGTTGCCATCACGCTGTGTCCGGGGTGGGTCAAGACAGGTACGTACGGCCCAAGCTACTACAACCGTGCTCTGACACGAGGACTGACGCTCGCCTGGGACAGACATGGGCGGCGCGAACGCGCTGCTCGAGCCCGCGGAGAGCATCTCGGGCATCCTTAAGGTCATCACCTCCGCGACTGCGGCCGACAACGGCAAGTACTTCCGGCACAACGGGGAGACAATCCCGTGGTAGGCGCGAGGCTGCACAAAGAATATAGTATAATATGATCGCGGTTATGCTGAAAGAAGTACAATCCCCGTTCTATGTATGCCCATCGTTGGTACACGAGAACACATTTACCGTCAACGTCTGGCGGCGAAACCCGAAGATGGTAGTGTCGACCAGGGTGACCATGCGAGTTCAGAAGAAACAAGGTTAAACACGTTCAAGTGACGGTGCTCGAGAGGCTCAAAGGAATACATGCAATCGTCCATGCAAATTCACTCATAGTGCACCTCACCATGGGATGACCGTCCCTTTGTGGCTCAGGTACTTGCCACTATCCGCCGCGGTCACGGAAGTGATCACTTTGAGGATGCTCGCGACGCTCTCCGCGGGCTCCAGGTCTGCGGCCTGCGTGCCCATGTCTGGTATGCAACACTGTGAGTATCCATACGAATGTATATGCAAGCGGTACTGACCCGTTTTGACCCAACCAGGGCACATCGTGATAGCGGTCAGGTCAGGCCGTTCCAGCTTTAGCTTGTACGTCTGAGAAAGGGGAAGAATCGTTTGTTAGCTAAGGGCGAATCGCAGCGCGCGTATGCGAGGTACACACAAACATGTTCAAGGCCGCCTTGCTGATGGAGTACGAGGCCGCGCCGCCGGGGCCAAGGTGGTCGAATTGGTGTGCACTGGCGACGCTACCGAGTGTACTTGAAATATTGATGACCTTCTTCTCCTTCCCCTTGTCGAGGAAGGAAATGCAGGCCTGCGTGAGGAGCGCGGGCCCGAGCGTGTTGGTCCACACAGTCTCGATGAATACGTCCGGATCTAGCGTGAGAGGAGTGTCCTCCTTGCCCTGTGTTGCGAGTGAGATGGATGCAAGAAATCGCGAAATCAATGGGATACGAGTATGAAGATGATATGTACCATTCCTGCATTGTTGATGAGATGGTCAAGACCGCTTTCGCCTAGGATCGGCGCGATAGCTTTCGGAACGGCCCTCACGCTGTCGACGTTGGCGACATCCAGTTGAATGACGTGAAGAGTCCCCTTTGCACCGTCCTTAAGCCCGTGCAGCGCAGTCGCCTTCTCCGGGGTGCGACATCCCGCGAGGACGAGGTTGTTCGGGGATTCGAGCAGCTGCTTAACGATTTCAAACCCGATCCCGCGAGAGGTTCTGCAAAGACCGACGGAGAGTGTACGTTAGCGGCGCTTCGCGAGAACTCGGTGAGAAGCTGAACGTACCCGGAGACAAGCCAAGTCGTCGGTGATGCAGAGGGGGACATAACGTATGCTGTGGAGGGAATGGGGGAGATTGAAAGGACTCGGACCTACCAAGCTCGGCCCATATCGTGTAGCTTTATACACGACTCGCGACTCGTGGGAGGTTTCTTTGTCGCGTTGTCTCGGAAGCTTCTGTGCTTACGGCGAGTCAAGTCACGGGCCCGGGTGTATTCAGCTGCGGATAGTCGGTGATTGAAACTGCTATGAGCATGATCAGCGTCGCAGCCAATGCTGCGTTTTAGTATTTAGCAGATAAGTTGTTTCCGGCGTGGCTGATTCGGAAAGCTTGAGAGCTCGAGACAGGGACGATGGAGGTCAGAACGCAGTTCGAATTCTACAAAACCACATTACGTCGACGTCGACGAACTTGCGTTGGTGACGGCACCTCGCCGCCGCCGTTACCCGTCTCCTGTTCCTGCTTCACTTCTCGCTAAACCCATACTACAGCTCTTCCAAGACTCAGGGCAGAGACGAGTGGCCATTTTACCATGGGATCTCCGCCCCTGTGAAGCTCAGATACTTGCCGCTGTCGGCCACGGTCGCGGACGTGATGACCTTGAGGATCCCCGCGATGCTCTCCTTCGCCTCGAGAACTGCGCTCTCGCCGCCTAGGTCTGGGGAAATCGGAGATAGCCCCGCGTGAGCGATCGATATCAAAGAAGGCACGACCGCGCGAATATGGAGGACACACCTGTCTTGACCCACCCCGGACAGAGCATGATGACGATGAGGTCGGGTCGCTCCTGCTTCAGCTTGTAGGTCTATACGAGTATGCATTCCGATCAGCGAAAGGCGTACATCAACACCCTAGAACGACACCGCAAGATACACACCAGCATGTTCAACGCGCTCTTGCTAACGCAGTACGTGGCAGCGCCCCCGAAGCGGAGGTGTTCCAGAGCGTCTGCTTTCGCGATGCTGCCGAGCGTGCTCGAGATGTTCAGAACTTTCTTCTCCCTACCCTTGTCTAGGAACGGCATGCACGCCTGGGTGAGCAGCGCGGGTCCGACGGTGTTCGTGCGCAACGTCTCGAGGAACACCTCAGGGTCCAGCGTGAGCGGGGTGTCTTGTCTGGCCTGCGGTACGAGCTCGTTCAGCCAACGTTCAAGATAGACACGAAGCGGTGTGATGTACTTACGATGCCGGCGTTGTTGACAAGGTAATCAAGGCCGTGCTCGCCTAGTATCGGCGCGATCGCCTGTGGGACCGCACGCACGCTGTCGAAGTCGGTGACCTCGAGACGGATGACGTGCAGGGACCCCTTGGAGCTGCTCTGCAGCGCGTTAAGCGCGTACGCCTTGTCGGGGGTCCGGCATGCGGCAATGACGAGGTTGTTGGGGGACTCGAGCAGCTGCTTGACTAGTTCGAGCCCGATCCCGCGGGATGCTCTGGACAAACAGACGACGTGCGTGAGCGGCGTTTTTGGGGTATGTGAGGAGTCAGACGTACCCAGAGACGAGCCAGGACGTTTGGCGTGTAGAAGAGGACATGTCGTGTATGTGGAGAGTATGCGTCGAGTGATAGGGGGTCGGACTTGAACACTGTGCCAACCTCGCCGTCTATTTCGTGCGGTTTTATGCACGACCCGTGAGAGGCTGTCTCTGACACCTTCCTCCAAGAAGTGACGTGCGTATAAGCAGTCATCCCACGGACACATCGAGATACGGTCAACCGGCAAACATAGTTGTAAAAAGCATTACCGGAGTCGCTGTCAATCATACAGTATTCCGGAGCTAGCAGATAAGTCGTCGCAGCCGCTTGAGATGCAGCACAAAACGCGCACCGATCTGACCGATTGAAGGTGACAGAAGTCGTGAGATGTACGGCGGTGGATGTGTCCGAGTCATGGCGTACAGCAGACCGAGAGAGGTGACATGATGACTCGGAGAACTTCTCGGATACACAACCTGAAGGCGAAAACCCAGAGTTCTCAAATGACGCTCTATGCTGATAGCTGTTGAGCACGGAAAGCACAAGTACTGGGAAAGCAGTACGTTCCCCAGAGAGAACAGTTACGAGACCGCAGGCGAGTCAAATCTCAGAAAGAGTCTTTGTGCGTGGTCATGGTGGAAGAGAGAAGGGCGCGTGAACAGGCGCCCATCGACTCGGAGGGTAAGATGAGGACGATAAAACATAGTATAGCATATGTCATAGAAAATAACGAGCTAGCGATACAGGATAACTTGGATACATACTATTACACTAGGGAAAGCATCACAAACGGGGTTGATAACCACACGACACGGCCAACTGGCTACAAAGATGCCTCACGTGGAGGCGGCGGCAGCCCCCAACCGACGTTGCCGCATCTTCCGCTCCTGCTCCCTCACACGGTGAAACATTATCAGCATGTCCCCACATTGTTTCCAGAGCGAGCCTCCTGGAACGTCATCGTAAAATGTCTCCACCATCGGGAAGAACAGTGAAAGGTAGGAAGCGACCTTCACATGGTCTTCAATCGGCGACTCCCCAACGTTGAAGATCCGTAACGCGGGGGCGCAACTCGGTATCTCCGCAGGCCGCTCCCTAAGTCGGCCATCCAGCGGAGTCGGATCGAGCTCGGGCACCACACGCGCATCGAGGGGGAGGTGTAGGCGCTCCAGGAGCGGGCACGCACGCGCGAAGACGGAGATGCCTTGGAGCGTTACGAGCGGGCGCGAGACAGGCAGAGGGGGGATGATTTCCGGGTGTGACCGGGGGAAGTGTAAGTCGAGGGACTGGAGCGCAGGCCATGCGCGGGCAAGGGTTCCGAGCACGGCGTCGTCCAGGAGCACCTGGCACCAGCCAGTGATGCGCACGCAGGTGAGCGCGGTGAGCGCTGCAAGTGGGAGCATTGCTGCGGCGCTGACGAGCGTGGGTCCTGGGTGCCGACAGGCATTGTCTTCACCCGAGAAGACTGTAAGCATACGCAGTGTGGTAGTGCAAGGGAGCTGGCCGACGGCGGCGAGCAAGGCTTCCAGGACTGGCGCCTTCGAGGGCCAGGAGCGGTTCTCGATCAGGAGCTCTTGGAAGAATCGGGACGAGATGGTCTGGACCAGTGCGGCGCACCATACGAGACAGTTGGTGTAGATCCGAACGTTGACCAGGGCGGGGAAGCGGCCGGTGCGCTCGCCGGTGAATGGGAACGAGGCATGGTTGATATCGGACCTCACGGGTCTCGTCATGATTGTGATGTTTCGTAGATTCGGCAGCGAGGCGAGGTGCTCAACCGCCCCTGGCAGCAGCTCGAGACTGGGCGCCGTAAAAATTGTGAGGTTTCGGAGACCTTCGATCTGTACTCCAAGCGACATTGGAAGAGTCATTTTCGACCGGGGGAGTATGGAAATGTCGATGTGCTTGACATTGGGAGCTCCGGAGGAGAGAGTCGAGAAGAAGCGTGCGGCGGCCTCCAGTTCTGTGAGGCGAGCGCACATAGAGACTGCGGCGTATTCCAGCTTGGGTCCAACAAGAAAGTCCGACGGCCAGGCGCCGTCGTCGAAGGGGGGCGTGGTCCTAGTTTCGTTGTGCCTAAGTGAGACGAGATTAGGGAGCAGCGGGCCTTCGATGGCGTTCCCAAGCTCTGCCCATGCGACCGGATGGATGAGAGCACCGATTTTTGTATTGTGACTTTGCTTCGCTTGAACCACCCTGACCCGATTCGCGAATATGCGCAATCGATCCAAGTCATCCGGCCTGATGGGACGGCGGAATGTCTACGGAAGAGCTTAAGTGGTGTGACACTATGCCGGCAGAGAAAAACATACTAGAACATAAAGGCAGCGCCTTGTGTGGAGCATGGGCTGCCGCTTAACCTCCCAGAGGTCGGGGGGAAGGAGACGCAAAAGGGGAGTGACCCCCGGAATGCGTCTCCAGAGCGCATCGAGGGCGGGGTCGCGGAATGCCTTGGACACCTGCGCAAGCGATGCTAGCGTCTTAGAATCTTCTTCTGCGGCGACTTGATCACAAATGTATGTGACAACTTCTTTGGTGAATGAACGTGAGGCGCTATGTGTAGCCTTTTGCAAGTTTGCGTCAGTCTTGGTGGCTAAGACCTCGCCTCCGTTTGCCCGCTTACCAAATCCATGGTTTTGCAAGATGAAAGTCGTTAGTTTGAATGAGGTAGCCGTGAGAGGGGGCGGGCTGCGGTACCGGACAGCAGCAGAGTGAAGGTCGTGGTGGGAAGTGGGGGGAAGGAGTCGCTCAAGTCAGGTTCTTATAGGGAGGAGAGCGCCGGTGAGCAGAATTGGTGGCTAAACGTCCGGTGCACGGGCGCCGGTCGTTCCCGCCCATCATCCATTGTCGGCCCCGCCGGGCGGAGGTGGGACAATGAGGCGGAATTTGGACCATTCCCTGATAGCATTCGGAGACGATACGATGGGGGCGTATCGATATTGGGCGTCCTTCCGGTCAGGTCACGAATCGAACTCCAGGACGTGAACGGGGCCGTCGAATCGCACCTCCTCGACATGAGGGTCGACTGCGAAGACCCACTGCGAAGGCCCGGTCGCAGCGGAAGTTGAGACGTGAACGAGAACTCCATACATTGCATTCTGTCGTTTATGGCATTAGCACCGTGCTCGTCGTGGACTTCGAGCTATGCAGAAACTTACCTTTACACTTATGCTGCCCCTTCAGCGATGTCTTCCAGCCCGAGACATCTAGAACGCCCGCGTTACGGAACAATCAATCGCTTTCCTCCTCGAACGTCGATGGCGAGTCGAACTCCAGAACGTCAACGAGCTTGTCGAACTGGACCTTCCGCTGACCCCGGTTCCGACGACGCAGGCCACCCTCGTCTGCCTCCGCGTCTAGATCGTCGAAGCCCGAAGCCTCTGTCTGGGAGAAGTCCGATCCTTGCTTGTGCGAATGGGTGATGTGAAGCGGCGGGAGCGACTGCGCGCGGGGGCGTGGTGTGTGCTCGCGTGTTCTCGCGCGGCCGATATCACGAGGGTATTGTGAGCGGCGCGAGGTCGCTTTGCGGAGGGCGGGTCGAAGTGGTTGAACGACTTTATGCAGAGACTTTAAGGGAGTGAAAAGGGCGGGCGGCGTAAAAGCAGGTTCTGGAAGGGGAGAGGTGACGGGAACGGTCGTCAGAGGTTCCCAGAAGGCAGGATACGGCGACGTGAAAACGTCCCGTGCGGTAATCGCAGCAGCCTACAAGAATATATGAGCACGGGTGTGAATACGCGCATGAGAAACGTACGCATATCGAAGCGCGCAGCTGTATGGCTTCGTCGTGCAACGCTATGACGTCTTTCGAGAGCCCGGTTAAGAAAGCGCGTAGCTGCTCGGTATACGTCGTTGCCTGGTAGCTACGCAACCTCGCTTTGCGTGCACGCTTCTCTATACTGAAATGACACATCAGGCATGATCGTGTGTTTACGACTGTAGGCCAGTCTGCTTACCTGGCAATGTGTTCCTGGTACTCGCGTCGAGCCGTGTGCTTGAAGAGAACCCCATGTTGGGCGAGGTCGGACAGCAGAGACTCGATATCGGCCACGACGGCTTCGAGCTGGCGGAGAAGCGTCTGCGGGAGCCTGTTTTCGAGCCACTGCAGGACGATAGGGACGGCGCTCACGGTGCCGAGAATACCGAAGACGACGCCCAGGATATCAAAGAAAGATGCCATGCCGGTCCTGGGCGAGTTGAACGGGTCCGCGGACTGCGATGGGGGGATCCGTTGCGGTATTTGAAGACTTGGGCTCTCGAGGACACCGTTATACGGTTCGGAGCGCCGACGATACTATCGCGATGAGGCAGTGCGGCCGTTCATCCAAGTAGAGAGTCCGCGACCTCTGAGCGCTGTGTAAGTTTGGAGGTCATTCACAAGAAAACACTGCGACATACGCTGGTGAGAAAGTCTGGATGGATGCGGGAAGCTCGCTTGGGCGTGCATAACAGACGCACGTCGCGGCGCCAGGAATTGTGAACTGGGTGCGGGTCCAAAAATGCGTCCTAGGATGTATCCCAACTATCCAGATATGTTCTCATGCTCGAGGCGTGGTCGGAACTTCCTGGGGAGCGTCGATAATCTGACATCGCTCGATGGCGGTGTTCTCATGGTGTCGCGTGGCCAAAGCTGCCTTGGCCTCGTGGTCCTACGAGGATGCCATCATGAGATGGAAAATAACTGAAGAGCTGCTATGACATACGTGAGTTGTTTCCGCACCGCTGTCGAGTCCAGTGCGAATGGACGAGGTGGGACTTGGAAGACATATGTCCGGCGCCCGCGCCTCAAGCCTTCGACTCCGAGACGCGGCATGAGATGCATAAAGTGTATTCCGGCTTGTATATCAGCACATCGTAGTACATTATATACTGTATAAGAGACGACTAAAGAGCTCCCGCCCAACCCACCGACGACAACGAGACGAATCCTACTACTACTAAGTCCAAGGGCAAGACGAGAAAGAGAAAGCATGCGAGGGCGAGAGGCGGAGGGAACGTGGGAGCGCGGGGAGGGCGCGGGCAGATACGAGGAAGAGGAAAGGCTAACGAGCGTGGGGCGGGCCGAAGCAAGACGGCCCGCTGCAGGTGCTATCGACAGGACGACGATGAAGGGGTATGCTCGAGAATAGGATATGGGAGAGGGGATGTGGCGGGGATGGACAAGGGTGAGATGTACGAGGGGAGGACTGGGATGAGGGGGATGCGGGGTGGATGCGGTGAGATGAGATACATGCGAAGATGCAAGATGCGACCAGTCCGATACTCTAAACACCGACCGCTACACAGGCGACGAAGATGCATTGACGGCGATACGAGGCGCGAGGCACGAGGGCGCCCGCGCCACGAGACGAGACGAGAAGCACGTGTCAGAAGGACGGGGATTACGAGTCGGAGACGAACCGCTCGCCGCCTCCGCCGCCTCGCATGATGGCCTTCATGAACGAGAAGAAGCGACTGGAGTACTCCGCGGGAGGCACGGGACTGATTTTATGCTAGGCGCGACGAACGTCAGCAACCGACATTGACAGATGCGCACACCGCAACAGTAAAGACGCACCCTATCCGCGCTGAGCCCCTTCCAGAAGTGCTCGAGCTTCTTGAAGGTGTTGTACGGCGTGAGGATGTCGATGACGCCGAGGTAGTATATCGTGTCCATGTTCTCGTTCGCCTCGTCCGTCGCGCGCAGCCCGCCCTCGTCCTGGTAGAACAGGAAGTGCTGGCGCTCGCCGGTGTCCTCCTCGGGGAGCGTGATCGTCCCGAGGCGTTGTGGGTCGGCCTCGCGCATGATACGCCGCATCGCGATCGCCTCGGGCGACTGCGGGCCCTTGCCAATCGTCTTCTTGCGGTTGATGACCGGCATGTCGGGCTAGACGCGGGCGTAACGTGAGCTGCCACTACGGAACGCTGAAGAAGAGAAAAGAACTCACCGAAAACACGCGGAGCGTGTTCCTCCGCACGTTGTCGCGGTTCCCGCGTCGCATGCTATGGATGCCGACGAGCAAGCTGTAATCCATGACGCCGAGCTCCTTGAGGAGATCCGAATCGCGCCTGAGCTGCTCGGTGAGCAGCGCGCGCTTCTCAGGACCGAGCTCGAGCGTTTTGCGGCGGTTGATCCAGTTGAGGTCCTTCAGGACCGCGCGCGGATTCTGCGCGGCCTTCTCCTCGGGATACTCACGGCCAACAGTCGAGCCCTTGAGGTCGTACGACTCGTGGACGTCCTTGTGCGCGGGGAACAGGTTGTTCATGATCACAAAATGGATCTTGCGGCCATGCGGGAGCTTCACGCGGTGCAGGCCGTAGAAGCGCGACAGGAGCGTGTGGGGGTTGTCCTTCACGTGCGCGTAGTACTGCGGCAGTATCCGCCGCAGGAACTTGTGCTCGTTGTGGTGGATCGTCTTGATGATGAACCGGTAGTCGCGTGAGAAGTAGAAGAACGAGCCGGACTTGCCCGGCGATCCGAGCTCGGAGAGGATATACTTTGCGGTCAGCGACAGGAGGTAATCGGCGGGGTCGAGATGGAAATAGTCTTCCCGCAGCTCGCGGAACACCCAAGGCGCGTAATCCTTGAACTTGAAGTCGTATTTGGCCGAGGGCGTAAGCTCGTTGCCGACGCTGCGGAGGGATCAGGGCAACGACGGGGAACAGCGACGCGTTACGCACATGTCAAACGAGTACTTGTGTCGCGCTGTATAGTCTTCGGCCGAGAGTGGCCTCCGTATCTTCGCTTGACATCGCGAGACCTGCGAGGGATGAGTACGCGCGCGCTACGAGAACACGAGTACTCACAGCTATGCGTATCCCAGTGAGCATGTTATACATGAGCACGTAGTTTACGTGGTCTTCTCCGATCAGGTTGCCCACCAACGGCTTGTCCTCCACGCGTGACAGGACCGTCGTCGAGCGGGTCAGCGCCCGCTCAGCCTCCTGCTGCGCCTTCGCACGCTTAGACATTCGTTCGCGACGAATTTGCTCCGCTTGGAGCTCGATGTCGTCTGCGAGTTCGCCCGCGTCTTCTATGGTGGCTTGGTGTGGCTGCATGGTCATGGTGCGCGTCGGACGCGGCGGTGACTGGTTGGGGGCGAGCGTCGCGGACCCGATCGTGTTCCTCCGCGAGGGTTTGTGCGGGACAGGAGGTTGGAGGTAGCCATCGACAGAGACATGCGAACCCGCTTGTGTGGGCAGAGGCAAGCTCTTCGAGACGGTAGGGGTGCCATAGGAGAGGTCGTCGGTCACGGGCGTGTCGAGCGCGCTGCTTTGTGCGTAGCCAGATTGTGATGCGGTCCGCAATGACGACCTCGTCTCGGCCGAAGAGCGATGGCGAAGGCCTTGCGACGACGAGGAGAACCGAGGAAAAATGGACTGCGTTCGGGAGCCGGACGAAGTGCGCTGTAGGGGCTCCTCGAAGGTGATCGGGCGGGGCGAGGACTCGACGGACGCGAGCTGCTGCCTACGTGGTGCAGGCGGAGGACCATCGTCTTCTACACTCGATGGTGGAGAGGGTGGCGGCGGTCCGACGTTCGAGTCCGCGCTGCCCTCGCGCTGCTCGCCGCGGTGGAAGGTCGGGACGGCGTGAGCGAGCGACGCACCAACTTTGTGCAGAAACGGTTCAGGGACAGGCCCCTCTCCGATCTCGACAACGCTGTCTGTGACCTTCAGTATATGTACCTCCTGAGCTGGTGACTGCTTTCCGCCGGCGAAAGCGAGGGAGTGGATGGGGTTGACCGAGTCGGAATCGCGCGAGGACGGGTGCATCGGCGACTGAGGCGAGCCAAGCGGGGCAGTCAGATACGAGGTGTGGGAGGTGGATGCATAGCTCTGGCGCTGTCGGTCGTCGAACGAGTTGGGGGACGAGGTGCGGGCGATGGGGATCGTGGCAGTTGCGGCCATAGACGAGAGAGACGGCGGCAGCAGGTGGCGAAGTCAGATAAGAACGACTGGGGTTGCGTTGCCGTCAGGAGTGGAAGATCAGGACAGAGAGGAATCCTTGGTCGTCGTCGTCGCCGGCGCAGAGGACGTTGAGGATGATGAGGGCAGCGGTGAGAGCAACGTCCAGGCCCGCCCTCAATTATCCTCCAGGCGTCTATTCCGATAACTCGTCCGAAATTACTTATCCGCCCGTTAACTCCGCTCCGAGACTTGTCCGTCTCAATCTCCTCCTTCCGCAGCAACCCGGCCAAGCCTCATGATATTTCTTCGCACTCTCAACGTCGTCATTCGCTCAGCAGGGATTTATTCCTCACAAAAATCCTTGGGCAGTTCAACTTATGGAGTACCTGGGAGCGTCGGAGGATCCACCCGCCGGAGAAGGCACAGGTCGGCAGAGTGCCAAGTATACCGTGAGCAGGCTGTATCAAAACGGATACTCCATCTTCTCAGGCGGCCCGCGCCGACCACCGCTATGTATATTTTGACCTCGGCCCGACTCCTTATAGCATCGTCAGCGACCGTTTGTAACCACCACATTGACACAGAGGTTTGGCAGCAGGCAGTATGCCGCCGTAGAATAACACAGAGCAACCAAATGGGAGGTCGCGCGCGCGTCGAGTCGCCGTTCGAGCAAGCAGCGCGCGGGGATGATGCATTGCTATACCGCCATAGAGGGCGCGGCAGGCGCGAAGAAATCAGGCGCTGAGGACAGCAAGCAGTTCTGCTAACGGCAGGGGTCGGGACACGTATTACCCTGGGTTTACACTCTATTTGATACGCTGACGGGTGCATGGGAGCTAATTGCTCGCGCACGCAAACATTTACAACCTGGAACAGAGAGGTCAGCGAAGATCCCAGAAGCAAGGACGGCAATGACGCACTTGTTGACGTTCTTCCGCGCGCGTCCCTTGAAGCCCCAGCTAATTTGGCCCGCGACGTGGATATCTACCCCGAGGTCGTCCGCGAAGGACCACACGAGCCCCGGGTTCTTCTGGAACATCCGCCCGACAAACGCGACGTCCGCCTGGCCCTTCTCGAGTACGCCCTGCGCGACTTGCCCGCTCTCGAGCGTCCCAACCGCGCCGACGAGGATCTTGTCCCCGTGCGCCTTCTTCACCGCCTCAGCGAAGTGCGCCTGATACGCCGGCCCCGACTTGATCTTCTGTGCGGGGTGGTTCCCGCTTGACGAAACATCGAGCAGGTCGACGCCGTGCTCCGCGAGCAGCCCGGCGAGGCGCACTGTGTCCTCCGAGCGCCACGATGGCTTGTCGGGGAACACCTCCTCGAGCCACTCGCTCGCGCTCACGCGGAACAGCAGCGGCATCGTCGGCGGGATCACCGCGCGCACCGCGTCGACGACCTCGAGCGTGAGCCGCACGCGGTTCTCGAAGCTCCCGCCGTACTCGTCCGTGCGGTCGTTGCTCGTCGGGCTCAGGAACGAGCTGATCAGGTACCCATGCGCGCCGTGCACCTCGATGACGTCGAAGCCCGCACGCAGTGCGCGCTTCGCGGCGGCGACGAACCCAGCCACGATCCGCTTAATGCCCTCCTTCGTGAGCGCCTTCGGACGCGGGTACTGCTCGGCGAACGGGATAGTGCTCGGTCCCCAGACGTCGTCGGGCCACCCGCCCGCGGCCTCGTCCGCGACGCGCCCAGAGTTGACGAACGGCGCGAGGGTGGAGGCTTTGCGGCCGGCGTGCGCGAGTTGGATGGCGACCTTCTGGCCCTGCGAATGCGCGAACTCGACGATCTTCGCCCATGCGGCGGCTTGCGTGTCGTTCCAGATCCCGGCGCATTCGGGCGTGATGCGGCCCTCCGGGAGGACGGCGGTGGCTTCAACGACGGTGAGGCCGGGTCCGCGCGTGAAGATGCCGCCAACTACGCCGTAGAGTGAGTGCGCGCACGAGCAAGTGAGAAGGGAGAACTTACGGTGAGCGTGCTGCCACTCCTGCACTATGCCATCTTCGGAAGAGTATTGGCAGAGTGGGGAGAGCTGCGCGAGCCATGTAAGTGCGCGCGATCAAATGGTGATAGCACACCTACTGGCCCAGATACGGTTCTGAAACTCAACACCGCGGATCTTGAGGGGTTTGAACAGGAGCGGGATCGGCCTCCCGTCCGGCTGGGGGTCGAGCGCGGTACCGGCGACCGGGTACTGGGCCGGAGTGAAGTAGGAAGTGTTGGGGGCGGGTGCGTTAAACTGCGGAGGCATGGCGTATAGCGGGCGAAGTTCTCAACGAAGGGAGATGGAATTCGAGCGTGTCCACAGAACGAGGCAACTTATATAGCGCGAACGCAAAATGTGGGAAAACGCGTACGGGAGCGACACGAAGGCCCCGGAAAGAGAAAAGGAACGCGAAGGAAGGTCGGGCGCCGTGCAGACGAGCTTCGCGCCTGGCGACATGGCTTAGTAAAGCGTGTTCTGGGAATGTTTGTAAGCCAGAAGTGCTCGATCAGCTCTGGATGCGGAAGAACATACCGATTTCATTTTGACCAGTCTCCGTGGTGCAAACATAGAGCGATGCGGCATAGTACGGTGAACGAGAGCTATAGTAGTAGATGCGGCCGGAGTTCACGGAAGAGAACGCGGGACATTGAGCTCGACTGGTGGGAGTCGAGGACGAAGGCAACGCGGGCATGGAAAGACTGACATCTTCACATCCCGGAATGGCGAGTGCGCCATTGCAATAGGCCGCTACACTTGCGCATGCGACGTGGGCAACGCACTTGCAGATAGCTTGTAAGTCTCCTTTTACCCGCCTTACATGCATGCACTACTGCCCAGCGTCGATGGCTATCGTCGGCGGGTACCAATTCATCACTCATTTACCTACGTCCGCGCGCGTAGTACTGCAGGCTTAGTTAGCTATGATGATAGCGCATGAGATGTACTACTCGCGATGACATACCGGTCGGAGGGCGGTAGTTGGCAGAGGCAGGCCGTGAAGTGACGAATTATGCGGATGGGCCCATTGGTCACCTGGGAGAGAAGTACGCACGTCATTCGAAGGGCCGTTCGTCCAGTCGGCCATTGTCAAGCAACCGCCTTGTCCTTTACGCTGAGGTGAGACCGGGCGCCCCGATAGGAGGATGACATGCACGGGCGTTGCATGAAGATAGGCTTCAGAGATTGAAAGGAAGTTCACTGAGTACTTCCGACTGTGGAAATGTTCCCAAAGAAATTCGTCGTGTAACGATAGATTGAAGAGCAGGACGTGCGTATAACATACACAGACGCAGACGAAGAAAAAGCCTCGCAAGACGATGTCACTGAGCTCACCTAGGTACCTCTATGGGCCTAAGACTTCATCCCCACATACGTCGCGCTCTTCTGCATCTCGGCCTTTCACGGTGAGAAGGCAGGATGGCCTAGTCCGGAGAGCAGATAACAAGAATGGTCCGAGGAGTGCCGAGGAGTGCCAAGAAGCAGCTACAGCGTCTTGCTGGGGTACGAGGGCGCGAGGCCTGTTGAATCCTGGATCTTTCCGAGCGGTTGCTGCATGATATCAAGCCTAGGTGGTGGGAATGAGGAACGGCAGGTGGGAGGAGGAGGAGGAAGAGAAAGAGCGAGCCCATCGAGATTGAACGCCCGTAGATCTGGCGTTATCTCTTAGATAACGCACCGACTGCCTGCCATATCGGGCACCCCACCTCTTCCAGGTTCCACACTGTCCACCACCAAGGATATCGACAGCTGTCAGTTCCGGATTTGTGAGCGGTCAAAACAGTCACAGTATGCCATAGCTGCTTTTTTCTGAACCCATAGCTCATATCACTAAACCCCTAGAACCATGAGGCAACTCGTTACACGGCAACTTCGGCCTTATGCACACGCGACACCCTATGAACACTGCCCTCGAGCGTGCGGAACATCTACGGTCCGCAGGACGCTCGACCCATACCTCCAGGCTTTCAACATAAGCGAAATATCGCAGAAATTCCGAAGCGCATATTGAGCCCGCTAAGAGCTCCTCTATGCGGGACGGGACGTACGTCCCTTTGCACGCCGTCTAAATAAACTTCGCGCGTACTCACTGTCTCTAGTATCTATGAATAGGCCTTCATGCGCAAATTACACAGCGCTTGCCAATCTCCAGCTCTCTACTTACATGAACATCGGCATTGCCTCGCGACGATGGTATCATCGGCGCTCCGAGACACACAACGGCGCGCGAGGCCCCTCGACAACCTTCAAATACCCAGCACTGGCAGATCGTCGTCGTAGTCCACGGCCTCGCACTGAGTGCATAGCACCGATATGGCGACGTTATTTGACATCCTCGGCGTCGTCTTCGGCATTCTCGGAACTGTCAGCGCCATCCCCATCGTCTTACAGTGGCTCGAGAAGAGGCTTCCGCAGACGCTTCTCCGCCAGCTTGAAGCTGTCGTGATTGATATCGAGTCTCTACTCTCCGACCTTGCGCAGCACGGCGTCGTCTTCAAGTGTCGCCGCGAGTATCAGGAACGCATCGACAAGTAAGCGGACACTGGCTCCATTTCAGCGCATATAACTGTCCTGATATACCAATTCAGTATCAAGAAGAATACACGAAAAGCCACATTACGGAGCTACCAGGCAATAACATACTTCGACCAGCTACGCGCGCTTTGCTCTGGGCTTTCGAAAGAGGTTGCCGCGTTGTACGATGAAGCCGTCCTACTGCGCGCCTCGATATGCGTACGTCTACCATATGCGCATACGACCACATCAGCCTCAAATTTTCTTTCAGGAAGCCGCGATCTCCACGCAGGACGCTTCCACGCCGCTCCATCTACCGTTCTGGGAGCCTCTCACGACTGACCCCGTCACCTCACCCATCCCAGAACCACGCCGCCCGTCATCATCACCCCTTCGAATTCCCGCCACAGTTTCACGGCGCCGCTCGGACCCGCTCTCCGCAAGCCAATCTCGCACCATCGCCACGCTCGCGACTCGCGCCGCGCCGAATCGCGCGAGGGCAAACCGCGCTCCCGCGCGCAGTCGCTTCCCCCGGCGCTCCACAACACCCACCCCCGCAATAAAACGCTCGACCATTCAGAGGCGGAGGCTTCCGGTGTAGACGACGTGGACGTGGACGCCGAGCAAGGAGGGCTGCGCCGTCGCAGCCTAGGTCAGCGCAAAGTGCAATTCGACAAATACGTATCCGTTCTGGAGTTTGATTCGCCGCGCGTGCTGGAAGATGCGAGCGATTGACGAGTTGCGGTGGGAGCGTTCTAGGCGTCACGGCCGATACTGTATCGCTAAAGGGGCGGTACCGGAGTAGATGTAAGTCTCTGGTGTATCTTCGTTCCGGACGAGTGCGATGCTGATGCCGGCGGAATCCTTTTCAGATCATGTTTTGTTTTCATCTTATTTCAGATACACCAAGAGTTTGCGACAACAACCCTTGTCAGAGGATGTGCGAGTTAACGAGCCCTCCCGTTCGCCTCCTGGAGCCTGATTGGTAATCTGCGCCGGCAGGTACCTACGACTCCGTCGCCCCGTCGTGGAGGGTTGCCAAGGGCCCGTCCTGATTGTCCCACCTCCGCCCGGCGGGGACGACAATGGAGAATGGGTCCGACCGGACGGCGGCCGTGTGCCGGACGTTTAGCCACCACTTCCGCGTTCCGGCGCTCTCTCTCTCCTATAAGATCCCGACCGCCTGACTGAGTTACTCCCCACACTTCTACCACGACCTACACTCTGCTGCAGCGTGCATTCCCCTCCTTTCCACGACTCCCTCGCTCATATCAACCGCTAGCTTCAAAAATATGACGCAGGTGAGTGAGCGATGCGAAGTGGTGGGGTTTAGCCAGCAACACTAACGTCAACCACTAGACTATCCACCGCACGCCCCGCTTCTCACGAGAAATGGCGACGCTCATTTGCGGCCACCTTCGTAAAGACAGAGATACTCAGACACTCGCGTCGCTGGCGCGTACGGCAAAGATATTCCTCGAGCCCGCCCTCGATGCGCTTTGGAGCCGTATCCCGGGAATTACTCCGCTCCTACGACTCCTGCCCTCGGATCTCTGGGAGATCTATCAGGTGGTCGTATCTGACTCGGAAGAGAGGGGTCCGCTATATGTTCTGGTGCGTTTTCTTGTGCATATATACTGTGTCCATTCTCTTAGACATGTCTTGCAGAGGTTCCGTCGTACCCCCAGGCCGGACGACCTCGTTCAGATGCGTATTTTTGCTAACCGGGTCAAATCAGTTGATCCAAAACGAAGTTACACCAAACCTCACAATGCAATTATCTGTGAGCTGACATGGATTAGCCTTCGAGACGCTATCCAGGGCCCGCTCCTCCCTAATGTCACCTGGCTGGCGCACAGCGAGGTGACCTCGAGGCCGAACTTCGACGACTCCGTATGGGCGACGGACATCCTCGTTGGACCCAAGCTGAAGTACGCCACGCTCTCGGTACGCCCGACGCGCGTAGACCCTGCGCCTACTCTGCGCATTTTCTCTGAGCTCTCCCGCGGGGCTCCCGATATACTCCGGATCAGGATCTCAGTGGCTACACGCAAGATCAACGACGACAAGCCATTGTGGCTCGGCGGGGAAATCCGAGGACTCCGGCACCTCACATCCTTCAAGGCTCCCGATCTCGAGCTCCTGCCAGAAGCGGTCGAGCACCTCGCCTCGCTGCCGAGTCTGGCCAGTATCATAATCATGACAAAACCCGCGGGCCACAACACGACCAGATTTTCATATACCGGCGGGCATACCGACCGCTTCCCTTCGCTGGTCAACGTGGAGATTCATACCAACTGCTTCGTATGGTGCGCGGCATTTCTTAGGACGATCTCCTCAACGGTCCTTCGAGAGCTCTCAATCGAGAACCGATCCCATCCCTCGGAGGCTCCCGTACTTGAGGACCTGCTCGCAGCGGTAGGCCAGCTTTCCGGCGGCCCCGCCTTACGAAGCCTCAAGATCTTCTCCGGTAACCAACTAGCCGGCCTGCCTCCAGGACCCACAATTGTGAGCGCCGCAGCCATGCTCCCGCTCGCCGCCCTCGCCGCCATCACCTACGTGCATATCGAAGGCTGGTGCTCGGTGCTCCTCGATGATGCAACACTCGCCACCCTCGCCCGCGCATGGCCCGCACTCAAGTACTTAAGGCTCTACTTCCCACCGCAGGCGGCGCTCGCGGATTCTTTCCCTGTCTCGTGCCCTCTCGTGACATTAAAAGGCCTCGCAGTTTTTGCGCGCGCATGCCCAGTTTTGAGCCGCGTGTTCCTCCCCGTGGACGCGCGCGTCGTGCCCGAGTATGAGCCGATGCTGGGCGGACGACACCTGCAGCGGCCTGCAGAGGTCCCGGAGTGCACTCCAGCGCTGCGGTATCTCGGCGTCGGGGGCTCGTCGCCGATTCGAGATGCTGTGCAAGTGGCGTCGTACCTCGCGCTCTTCTTTCCGGGGCTCAAAGAAGTGTATCAAGATGATGGTCCGGGATCATTATGGTGCCAAGCTAACAGGATGCGTTGGAAGTTCGTGCGGGTGAGGGAGCAGGAGCGGAAGGCGCGGCAACGGCAAGCCGGTGCCTCCACATGAGGCATCTTTGTACCTTACAAATTGGCCGTGTCTTGTAGTTAATAACCCTGTCTGGAGTCTGTTCTCTATTGTAGTATGTATCCTTAGGGTGTATCGCTAGCTTGACAGTTCGTATGTCATATATTCTGCTATGTTTTGTCGTCCTCCGAGTACGAGTCGATAGGCGCCTACCACTCACGCGCCCTCTCTTCCACCATGACCGCACATAAACGCTCCCGGAAATCTGACTTACCCTGCCCTCTCGGAGCTGTTCTCTCTGGTGCAAATCTTGTTCTACTAGTGCTTGTGCTCTCCGTCCTTAACTGCTGCCTGTATGGAGCATCTTCTGTAACCTCTATGTACTCGCCCTTCACAGTCTGGTGTGCTCCTCGCACGTCTCCCTGCTTCTGCTTGTCTCGCCCGACCTCTTTTCCGCCACCGATATCCTCTGAACTCACTGCATTCCGCATGAAACTTGTCCGCGCTAGCTGCGCGAGCACAGTCCCGCCGATATGGCTTAGAACAGCGACAGGTACGTTCGCACATCGCGATTTTCGTCCATTCGCCCCGCGCCCCTCGTCGCCCTCGTGCGGGGATGCACAACTGCATCCAGTAGGTCCATGCACAACCCGCGGGGTCGTTTCCGCGGGGAGAATCCGCCGTGCCTGTGTATGCCGCGCGAAACACCGTCCCCTGACCGTTAAGTCAACTTCTCTCGCGTCCGTATCGCGCATTTCGGGCACTTTATTGAATACAGAACACTCGCTCCGGATGTTCCTCGCCCCTCTCGTACACACCCTTTTTCGGGCAGTTGGCCGCCAATCTCAATCTGACTCTTTTCCGAATCCGCCCAGGTCGATCCAAATCTCGTCCGACCAGTTTGCGACCGTTGTAGCTACACATTCACTGACACAAGTATCTACACCACTGGTTCACAAGGTCGCCCGCGATGGCTGCGAGGAGTTTCCGCCGATTCTCCTGCTCAAGCCGACTCGGATAGGCGCCCACACGCATCTCTCCTCGAGCATCACGTAGAAACAAGATCTCGCAGGATGGTCCAAAGTCCGCAGGACATCGTGAAAATCGCGCGCAGACTCGTATGTGCTCTATTTCGCTCGTACTGCCGCGATCGCTGACAGCTTGCCATTGCGGTGCTTCGTACATCCCGTACGCCCGCGACGCCACCGTGCGTATTCTCGTGGACGAGCAGGACGATGGGCTCGCCACGGAGATGTGTGCGCGCTGACACACCCCCATAATCACGTCTGCGCACTCGGCGAGGCTCGCCATTCTCGCATCGCAGCGTGTACTCCACGCACTCCAGCCTGCCTGCTCATCTCCCTTGCTCGCCCTCCTCGCTGATCTCTGCCTCGGGTTGCTCTGGAACCGCGACACCGCCTGCGTCTCGGCCCTTAACCCGTCTCACACCACTAGCACCTCCCGGAAAGCACTGGCCAATCAAAATCGGGGATAAAAACCGCAACAGTAACGACGACCTGCTGCGCTATACCGTTTGCTCGAGCTCGATACCCTTCTGAGGCCAGGTCAGAGACCTTCGGAGCTCCGCGTCTTCCCGGCGTCTGAAAGGCGCGAGAACAGGGTGAGCGCGCTCTGTATTGTAGGTCCTCCGCCCGTCTGCAACCGACGGCGTTGAGGGTGCCTATCAGACACGCGACGGCCATATTCGCAAGGGGACTGCTTCAACCGGAGCGAATCTCTTGGCGAGTGAACGGTTCCTGCTCGAGGACTACTCTGTGAATGGGCACATGCCGTGAGCCTCGTGGGATCTGGGACACCGTCGCATCCGCTTTCGCCAGGGAAGTACTCGACGCTCGTCCTCTGACTGTAGCCCGCTCCTTAGCGTGTCTCCTTCGTAGCACGGTCGTCCGCTCATAGGTCCGCATCTGCTCGGAGACTTTGTGCTCTCGCATGCCTCCCCTCTTCCGCATCAGACCTACCCGGACTTTCTCCAACGGCCAACCCAAATCGCCAAGTTCGCCCACCATAGATGTAACCGGATTGACCACGCCGCGCACCGCAGTCGTCCTTCCCGCTGTGAGTGCGGACACGCCCATGGGATAAATTTACTGGGCGTGTGAGGTATTTGACAGCTCGTTGCCCGTTCCAGCCTCCTTGCATTGACTCCTTTGCTTCTGCTTCTAAGGTCAACGATTGCATAACACGCTCGAGCCCTCAAACCCTGTTCATGAGCTTAAAAGACCTTCGCGAAGTGCTACGAGCAGCAGCGTAGGCGCACCTACCTACCCGCGTGCCCCCACAACTACGCGAGACCATGAAGTTCGCCCTCCTCCCACCCCTCGCGACCCTCGCCGCCGCCGCGCCGTCCGCGCCCGGCTGGCGCTTCGATCTCAAGGCACAGACCTCGGGCATTGTCGCGCTCGAGGCCATCGTCGTCTCCCCTACCCTCGTGCTCTTCTTCGATCGCGCCACGAACGACCCGCTCCAGATTAACAACCACTCTGCATGGGGCGCGCTCTGGAACCTGGAGAGCAGCACCGTCCGGCCGCTCGATGTCTTCAGCAACTCCTTTTGCGGCAGCGGTGCGCTCATCAGCAACGGTAGCATGGTATGCATGCCTCACTGCGACCGTCTGCGAAGCGGAACACTGACGCCGGATCCCAACAGGTCAGCGTCGGCGGTGACCCGTCCGGCTTCCCCGGAAACCCGGCCATCCATCCCGGGAACCAAGCCATTCGCGTCTTTGAGCCATGCGAATCTCCGACCGGCGAGGGCTGCACGCTCTTCGACAACCCGGACGCCCTGCACTTGCTCGTGAAGCGGTGGTACACGACTGCTATCCGCATTTTCGACGGCAGTCTTCTGATCATCGGCGGGATCCATGAGTCGACGCCCTTCTACAACACCGACCCCGCGCTCAGCTACGAGTTCTTCCCGCTCAAGGAGGACACTCCGCGGCCATCCGAGTTCCTGAACAGGAGTCTTCCGGCGAACCTCTTCCCGCGGTACGTCTGCAGTCTGGCTGCGACATACACAAACTGACTTTTCGTACAGAGCCTTCGCATTGCCGGACGGCAAGGTGTTCATCGTGGCCAACAACCAGTCCATCATCTACGACATCGAGGCGAACACCGAGCGCATCCTGCCCGACATCCCGAACAATGTCCGCGTCACCAACCCTATCGACGGCTCCGCGATCCTCCTCCCGCTCTCCCCGCCGGACTTCATCCCCGAGGTCCTCGTCTGCGGTGGCACACAGACCGACACCATCGACCCGCTCCTCCTCTCCTCCCAGATGCCGGCGACGACGCAGTGCTCGCGCATCCGGCTTGATGAGGCCGGCATCGCGAGGGGCTGGGAGGTCGAGCACATGCTCGAGGGGCGCACCATGCCTGAGCTCGTGCACCTCCCGAACGGCCAGGTGCTCATCGCGAACGGCGCGGGCACCGGTTTCGCTGCCGTTGCAAGCGTCGGCGATCCCGTCGGGAACTCGAATGCGGACCACGCGGTGCTCGTGCCGTCGCTGTACACGCCGACCGCCCCTCTCGGACGGCGCATTAGTAACGCGGGAATGCCGTCGAGCGGGATCGCGCGCGTGTACCACTCGAGCATCAACCTCACGCCGCAGGGCAATTTCCTCATCGCCGGCAGCAACCCGAACATGAACACGACGGTCGGGCCCGGCATCAAGTTCCCGAGCGAGTTCCGCGTGCAGACGCTTGACCCGCCGTTCATGTTCGCGGATCGGCCGAAGATTGGGGCGACGCCGAAGAAGCTTGCGTTCGATAAGAAGGTCACTGTCCCTATCTCGCTGCCGTTCGCGCTCACGCGGCCGGGCGCGAAGGTCCAAGGTGCGTCTTCAGCTACATGCGTTTGAGATGCTTCTACTGACTTAGTTTACACGCAGTCTCGCTGATGGACCTCGGGTTCTCGACACACGCATTCCACTCGAGTGCGCGTCTGGTGTTCATGGACGCGACTATCTCGCCCGACCGCAAGTCGCTCACGTTTACGACGCCTCCGAACGGGCGCGTGTTCCCGCCGGGCCCCGCGACTGTGTTCTTGACGGTCGATGACGTGACGAGCGAGGGCGCGTGGGTTATGATGGGCAGTGGGAACTCGCCCCCCACGCTGGAGTAAGTTGGTAGTCTTGGAAGGTAAAGCGGGATCTGTACGATAGTTCGCGGTGTTTCTTCGACTTGTACTTAGCGAGTCTTTGTGATAATGAACATTCAGTCGGAGCGACCTGTTGTACTTTTATCATATGCCGCTGGGGTTACATGTTAATATGGTGGGAGCAAGCAAGTACTACGCCGAATTGAGCGTGAGCCTTTCAAGCGAGGCGAAATGGGCGCCTATGCATGTACGCCTCCTACCACGAGAGGTTAATAGAGTGATTTTGAAGTAATGAAAAGTCGCTTTACATTACATTATGGAGCGCCCCACTTTTCACGAACTTTGCACGAAGTGGAGCGGCGGGGTCCGGGTCCGTTGCCGGCCTCGTCCACGGCCCGGAATAGACGCCCAACAGTCGCGACGCGACGCGTCGTCGTGCACGGTTTCTCTCTCTCTATCAACAAGATTCTGCTCCTCTTTTGACCACTCTGACTGTACACTGCTTATGAACAACAACTCTACGACTGCGAAAGACGACACCTACATCAACAGCACCCGAAACCACCCCGGCGGCGGCCACCCGGCCTACGGGGACCTGCCGCCCGAGTATCTCCCGTACTTGACTGCGTACGGCGCTGGCGACGATCTCGAGCTCGACTTCGACTACGAAGCATTTGCGGCTATGAGGTCTAAGCAGGGGAGATCTGTCTCTGAGGCTCAGGGAGTGCAGGTGAGTAGTATGCCTTGGAATCTTATCACCAAGCCATTCAACTGGGCTACCTATAAGCGTCCCTATCTGGTGTCACTACTGGCTACGGCTATAACTATGGTGAGAGGTCTCACAACAGTGCAGGTGAGTCTGTTTCAATGCACTGTGCAAGCCTGGGGTTGGCTGACCACCAAGTGGATGCTGCTCAAGGTTCATTTGCATCTCCTGCCACTGGTGCGCATGCACGGTTCTCCTCTCCCCTCTCGGCCATCGATGGAGAACCGGGGAACTGGCATGATGTGGCTTCGGAGGGTAGTGGCGGCTCGGATGCAGAGGAAGAGCCCCAGAAGACATGCCTCCGGAAGCCACGCATGACCTACTCGTCTGCAGATCACGAAGCCCTCGTTCGTGTTGCAATCGATGTCAACCCGTGGGGTGCTGCATATCGTCAGAAGGGCAAGGCCTGGCAAACGATTCTGGAGACCCTTCAGAAGCAGCAGAAGTTCCTCGGGGCCAGCGTCGGGACCATCCGGAACAAGATGGATGCCATGATTGCATGGCAAGCGGTATGGGACTGCTGAACTTCTTGCTGCCACAGGCTGTACTGACCCAGTGTCACAGGACAACAACTGTGCCCAGGGACGCATCATCAACGATCTCTCAGACAGCACGAAGCATGCGCTCGCCGCCTTGCTCGATCGCGCTTCGGAGCTCAAGGCGATGGCTGAGCATGCGACTGAGGAGGAGAAAGCGAAGGCCCAGAAGGTGCGCTTGTTTGCGATTGAATTGTAGCGACCACTCACATATCTGCAGAAAGCTGAAGACGACCGCATCGGCGGAGAGGCCATCCGTTCGGCTTCGTTGGCCACCTTCCGCAAGCGCAAGCGTGGTGAAGATACGGAGTCGGAGTCGGACGCAGAGAACCGACCCCCAGCTCAGCCGCCAAAGCGGGGCCGTCTTGCGAAGTCCGCCAGCTCCACAACTTCATCCTTCGAACAGCGGGATACCACTCAGAAGCTTGTCGAGGTCATCGCTGCAGGCCAGCAGCGTCAGGAGGAGTTCCAGAAGCAGGTGCTGACACAGATGCAGGCAACTAATGATCGATGCCTACGTGTTTTAGAGAACCTTGCTACTGTTGTTGCGCAGAGACTGTCCCGCTCTGATACTGCACAGTAGTTTGTGTATTATCCAGTAGTACAAATACATTCATTTCAGTGGTGCAAGTACTCGGTAATCGATGGGGGTTCACAATCAAAATATTGCGACACTTGGTTAGGGCGGTAGCAGTTGAGGATGTTAGTGAGAAGTACACCAACACGGTAATATCTCCCAACCGGTGACGAGTACACATGCATCTTCCAGTTGGCGTTCAAGTACTGCCACGTACTTGTCACCAAACCAAACCCATGCTCAACCTGGACCCGCACCAAACCCATCGCCACATTCCACTGTTCCTCCTCCTCCGTCCGTGGCCGAGCTCCCGCAAATGGACTGATGAGCTGCGGAGAGATCCCGTAAGCTGCATCACCGAAGAGCTGGAAATACCGTTGCTCGAGCGGGGAGTTCTCTGATGAGCCTGGCCATATAGCAAAGCGAGCACACTTCTCGAGGAGCTTGCTAGCGTGAAGGAGGAAGTTATCGTTTCGCCGGCCTTCAAACGGTCCAAACAGATGCCCGAACATCCCGTTTGGTAGCATCACCGCCTGGAACTTGAGCGCATGATACTTCTTGTGCCCGTTATAAGCCTATCTCTATAAAACCGGCCACTGAGCTCAGTGGCCAGATACAAGGTGGATACAAGGTCAGTGTTAGGGCTCTACCGCCACAACGACCTGGACAACAGGCTTGTATCCAGGGGTTTTCTGGTAGCCTAGAAGCATGGCTACACGATGCAGGTGGTTTCAGGGTGGTAGCTATCCTGTACGGCCCACAATCGCATGAATACAAGCAGATACAAGGGTATTGGCTGGATACAAGGTTGAATACAAGCTTGTATCTCCTCAACGAGCCTGGATACAAGGGTATATCTTGGTGTTTTCCGATAGCCCTGATTGAGGGCTACCCGAATCTGATGCGATTGTGGCTGTGCACCTTCGAAAAAATGATGCTCTGGCTAGTGCCTCCTGGTGCAAGGGCCATGGACACCCAACCACCTGACCTCTTATCTGGATACAAGGGACCTTATTATAGCCTATAATCAGGGCTACCATGCGCATTTTAGTTCGCATCAATAGCTGCCCTGGTGGTGGAGATATGGCCTGGGCAGCAGTGGATACAAGCTGGATATGGGACTACTGCAAGTCTGATATCTCCGCACGCCCCCTGGACAACCGGCTTGTA